CCGCGAGGCAAATGCTAGAAGGCAAGTCAACGAAGCCATTGCTACGCGCAATGGGCCCGACGTGAGCCTCAACCTCGACATGCCCCTGAATTCGGAGGTACGGGTATGGAGGGAAACCACAAAGCAATGGACAGGCCCATACAAGTTAGTCTCAATTGACGAACGATCTTGTGTCGTCGCGAGAGATCGAGACCAACCACTGGAGGTGTCGATCACTGCGGTACGACCGTACCACGTCGACCCCAGCGGAGTGATTTCCAACCCACAAGAAGAAGAAGAGCCAGGGGAACCACCTCAACAAAGCGATGAGGGACAACCAAGCGATGAGGGGCAGGAAACCATCCTCGACGAGATCATCGTCGCAGCACCCTCAGACGATGAGGCAGAAGAAGAACCAGTACCCCCACCGCAAGCAAGACGCCGAGGAAGACCCCGAAAAGCACCTCAACGGCAATTCATGTCTGACACCAAGGCTACTGCTGTCTTCTACACGGCCAAGGAGAAAGCAGACTTCGCGATGGCGGTCAAGCTAAGGGAACAAGGGATAATCACAACTGCAGGACGACCGTACGAAGGCTCCGACCTCATCGAAGCCGACACACTGCGCGATCGAGGGGTCTACAGATTCATCACCTACGACCCAGAGAAGCACGCGAACCTCCGCATCTTCAAGTCGCGAATGGTCCGCGAGATCAAAGGAAAGGGGACAAATCAGCCGTACGAGAAATCAAGGCATGTGATACAAGGCTACGGCGACGTCGAGAAGGCGGCACTGCTCACGCAGTCGCCGACAGTTCAGCGCTGCAGCCAACGACTAATGATGGCATTGATGGCATCACTACGGCAAAGAGGATACCGGATCTGGAGTCGTGATATCACCCAGGCATACACCCAATCGGCGACAAGGCTCACGAGGAAGATATTGGCTTACCTACCAAGGGAGATGGCAAGCAAATACCCGGACGACACGATTATCGAAGTGCTGAAGCCACTCTACGGCCTCGCAGAGTCAGGCACTCACTGGTGGGCAACATACCACGATTTCCACATCGACAAGCTCTCGATGATTACATCGACGTACGATCCTTGCCTCCTAGTTTCCGCGCATGCAGACGATCCATTTGGAATCGTCGGAATGCAGACCGACGACACATTAGGGCTTTCTGATGCGGCCTTCATGGAGAAGGAGGACAAGGAGCTGGAGAAGGCAAAGTTTACCGCCAAGCCAAAAGAGATCCTCACAGAGGACACACCACTTGCGTTCAACGGCGGGATCCTCACGATCGAGGGCGAGAATGTCGTCTTCCGACAGAAGGGGCAAGGCGAGAAGATCACCCTCATCGACCCAAGGGCAACCGACTGCCAGAAGCGGTACAAAGCAGAGCTCGCACGAGGAGCTTACATCGCAAGCATCTGTCAGCCAGAGGCCACTTTCGACTGCGCGAGGGCAGCGCAGGCCACTTCGCCGACGGAACGCGACTTCGACGCCCTCAACCGACGGCTACAGTGGCAGCAAGTGAACCTCGATAGGGGGCTCGTGTACCAACCCATCGACCTGAGGGAGGCGAAGCTCTACGTGTTCGTCGACGGCTCATTCGCGAATAATGACGACCTCACATCGCAATTGGGATATGTGATAATCCTTGCCAACGAGGCAATGGGAGAGGAGAACTTCACGATCCGCGGTAATGTCATCCACTACTCGTCGACGAAGAGCAAAAGGGTCACACGAAGTGTACTCGCCTCAGAGGTCTACGGCATGGTTAACGGCGTCGACATCGCACACGCGATCTCAACGACGCTGAAGAGGATTACCGATCGACTTGACATCCCCACGATACCGACAATCGTCTGTACCGATTCGTACTCGCTGTATGAGTGCCTCGTCAAACTGGGCACCACGAAGGAGAAGAGGCTGATGATAGACATCATGGCCCTCCGGCAATCGTATGAGCGCCGCGAGATCCTCGAGATCCGTTGGATCAACGGGGACGATAATCTGGCGGATGCTTTCACGAAGGCAACGCCCAACAAGGGGCTCGAGCACTTCGTCGGCGAAGGAAGGGCGACGATACGGATGGAGGGATGGGTAACCCGCAAGGAGCAGAAGAAGGAGGAAAAGGGGGCAGCCTCGGCGAAGGAGCCCGAGATCGAATTACACTTCCAACCGCCGTAGTTGGGCGATGAAAGAGAGAGATAGTCAGTGTCGGATTGGAAGTCCAATTCGACCTCGAGGCAAGGGGCCCGCGCAGGGGCCACTTACAGACCATACTTACGAGATCTACGGTCTACCCAACCTCCGGTTAGAACCTCCTTTTTACACCTTACGCAGAAGTTAAATATATATAGATTTTGACCTCTTCGTCACCCACGGTTCGAACCATCCCTGTGATAGGAATACCAACACCATCATTGGTACTATGATACACCAGCCATGTTCACCCTATAAACCCGGCAAATGTAAGTGTAGATAGGAAATGATAGGAATTGGGGTTCTCGTAAAATTCAGATAAATTTGAAATTGCCTGATTATCCATTTTTGATGCATTCTCAAGACGTTAATTTGACTTGAGTGATTTTCAACGAAGCTGCATTACCCCTGTCATTTCGATGAGCTTGTAATCTGGCCCCTTGTCTTGACGGACCAATCTATATCTTCCGTAGTTTTCCCTTAAGCTGAATTGGGTTTATCGTTGACAATATGTTAGGATTCGCAAATGCCCGATCCTAATTAACGGAATATCATCGTCGCAGTTTTGGATGGCTAAGAAGAAGTCGGTCCTTCTCAGCCTCTCGATGATGTCCCTGACCTTTCCTATCAATTGGGCGAGACGGTACACTAACTTGAGGGCAACCAGCAGTGCATGCTGATACTTGCGGGACTTGACAGCTGGATTAACCATGATTCGTCAGTGATGCGATAAGCATCCGCACAAGGTTGGTGGCAAGAGAGACGCCCCCTCCTTTAACTTTCCTGCAGGTGACAGCCTGCTCCGATGACTAAATTGATCTTCGCATTTCCATCTACAGTTTCGAGTATGCTGTTTTGCGTCCGTACCCGTTTGTTGCTCCGAGACAGACCACAGTGTTACATATGTGTTGACCCTGATCGTGAGGTCGCGCCGAATAAAAGTCGAACAATTTAAACACACGACCCGAACGATCGAAGAATGACGCAGGGAAGAAGCCTCAACGACTACAAGGTGGCATGGATCTGTCCGCTTGAGGTGGACCAGATCGCAGCGATGGAAATGTTGGACAAGGAGCACCCACCACTAGCAAAGTCCCCAACAGACCATAATGTATACAGCCTCGGGAGCATCGACGGCCACAATGTCGTTATCGCAGGTTTGCACCAGCCTGGCAACAGCCCCGCGGCTACGGTAGTGACACAGATGAGAATGACGTTTCCCAACTTACGCTTTGGTTTGTTGGTTGGCGTTGGCGGTGGGGTTCCCGTCAAGACGGATCAGGGGCCGATCCGGCTAGGCCATGTGGTTGTCAGCAAGCCTGCGGGTGGATATTCTGGCGCTTTGCAGTACGATCACGGGAAAGCGAAAGAAGGGCACTTTGAGCGGACGGGTGCCTTGGCGCCACCACCGGCACTTCTGCTTAGCGCTGCACAAGCTCTAGCGGTACAGCGGGATAGGTCAGAGTTCGATCCAGTGCAGCAGAGCCTTTATCGAATCAAGACAGACCGCCCTCGCCTTCGACGATTCCAGTATCCCGGGGAGCAAAACGATTATCACTATCCATCAGATTACGTACACCAGCGCGAAGGAGAACCTTGTGCAACGGTCTGCGACCCATTGAAGCGTTTGGTCAGACCAGTTAACGACGACGATAACTTCGTTATAGTACACAGGGGAAATATCGCCTCTGGAGAGTTAGTGGTAAAGAACGCAGAGCTGAGAGACACGCTGGCCCAGCAACATGGGCTCCTGTGCTTTGAGACGGAAGCTGCGGGGGTAATTGCCGACTTTCCGTGCCTCGTCGTGCGCGGTATCTCGAATTATTGCGATTCGCACAAGAACGACGACTGGCATGGGTATGCAGCAGCTGTGGCAGCAGCGTATGCTCGACAACTCTTCTTCCACCTGCCCGTGGACGAAGTGCAACGGTACGAAGAATTCCAAAATCGGGAACATAGGTCATGAGGCTTGGTAGCTAATATCAGCAGAATACCGTCTAGGAGCCCCTTCCATGATGAGTCGCGACAATCGAGTTCAACTGAACTAAACTTTCGTAGACGAGATATGTCACAGTTAGCTTTAGCTGAACCAGGAAGCGATGGAAGTACGAGTCGTCAAGCACCATCGCTGCCTGCCAGAAAACTTACTGCACATGCCCCACAACAACCGGCCCAGGAACGGGGCATGCAAATGCTTGGACAGAGAGTCCGAAACGGAGATACTGTTTCCGCCTACGGTGCCGCGCAAGATATGACATTCTCAATACCTCGGAAGCCAGTCAATAAGTCTGAGAAGAGAGTGTTGATTGCTGTTTTTGGCATGACAGGAACAGGGAAAACTTCCTTGATAAAAACACTTGCTGGTGAAGCGGCAAGCCAGCTTCGCATCGGGCATGGCTTAGAGTCTTGTAAGCATTTCCCCCCTATCCCTTCTACTTTGACTGAAACATATCAGGCACCCGGGATATCGAGACGGTCGATTTCTCACTTGACGGTCATAAAGTCACACTTGTTGACACTCCCGGGTTCGATGACTCGGAGAGGAGTGACACTGATATTCTGAAACTCATAGCCGCTTGGCTACAGGATTCTTACAAAGTACGTTCCCGGCAAGACTTTAGAGAAAATCTCAAGGGGTTTCAATTGACCTTGATAGAATGAAACGCTGTTATCGGGGTTGATCTATGTCCACCGAATCTCGGATGTACGAATGTCAGGCTCCTCACGAAAAAATATGCGAATGTTCGACAAGCTTTGCGGAGCTGATCACATGTCCAAAGTGTGTTTGATGACTACTATGTGGGATAAGGTCACGCTTCAAGACGGATTATCAAAAGAAAACGATCTCAAAAGTTCGAATTACTGGGGTCCGATGATTGACAGTGGGTGTTCCGTCAAACGACAAGATAGAGGATTAGAATTGGTGCGAGATGTGGTACGCGGGATGTTGAACGAGAAGCCAACGGCCGTCAAATTGCAAGAGGAAATGATGGTCGCGGGCAAGAACCTTGTCGAGACAGATGCTGGGATGGCCGTGGACGAGGAGATCCGCAGATTGGAAAGGAAGCATGCAGAAGATCTGGAAGACTTGAGAATACAGATGAGGGAGGCCAACGAGCAAAGTAAGTGGGGGTTCTTTCCAAAACCAAATCCGCTTTATTACTCACTCAGAATTAGGGAACATGGAGCTTCAAGCTCAACTCCAAGAGGAGTATGCTCAAACTATTTCCAAACTACAAAAGCGAGCCAAGGAACGAGAAGAGCTCAACAATGCGCACATAGCTGATCTCCAGCGCCGTTATCAGGACGCATCGCATGAGAATGAGAGACAGCAAGACGAGCTCCGCTTTACTACTGCGAGAGAACGCCGCATCATGGTCGAAAAACTGCTCGAGCAGCCTCATAGTTTTTCGGAAAGACCGGAGCACTTCGGAGTGGCGCCTATTGCAAGAGAGCCGCAGGATTCACTGCGAATTTCGGGAGGAAGGCAATGCTTCGCTAACTTGATAGTGGAGGATGACTACGAACAACGGCCACGTTGACGAGAAGCCGGAGAAGGCCACGATCCGCCAAACACCGTGATGGCGAGGCGTAATTCTGCACCATTACAGTCGAACGGAGGAACTACCGTAGCCGAGACGAAGACACGTCGGGAAAAGTATCATGGACGAGAGTACAAGACGTTTCCATGCTAGGTTCCGAGAACCTTCGGAAGCTCAGGATGCGGACGACCTTTTGATGTTGTTAATCCGGTAGCAGGGAAAATTCAATGTTGCTATTGTAAGAAGAGCTGGACAATCTGGGGAGCAGGAAATCGAAGGATCAGACATTAGTTGCCAATCCCGCACGAACATAGCATTTCATGCTTCTCTTGTCACAGAATTGGAACCACATCATTTACGTGTGGATCATGAACATGCGGTCTTGGAACACAGGTCAAGTCTAATGCCATGTCAGTTTATGCTCTAAGAATTGAAGCAGCGCGAGAATGACAATAATGAGTACTCGACACGTACAAAGAGTCTCATGTATCTGAACATCATGATCAAGTGGATTTACCCTAGTTGCCGCACTCATGTGGGCTGGTCAAATCACCAACTAGCCAGACTAATCGCATTTGACGCCTAAATACGTCTCTAAATAATGGTCTGCAATCCATGAGGTGCCATGTGTGTTAGTTGCACCTAGGCGTGGTTACCCCTATTTTCTCGTAATAGACGCCTTGTGTTGGTATCCCTATCACAGGGATTGATTCGAACCGTGGGTGACGAAGAGGTCAAACCCGATATATACTTAACTTCTGCGTAAAGGTGTAAAAGGGAGGTTCCAACCGTAGGTTGGGCAAACCGTGGATCTCGTAAGTACGGTCTGTATGTGGCCCCTGCGCGGGCCCCTTGCCTCGAGGTCGAATTGGACTTCCAATCCGACACCTTGTTCTTGTTCAGGGGATGTATCCTTTCGACGTCATCTTAACTTTATTGCTTGTGGGTGACTAAAGGACTCGCCCAAATACTTTTATGTTGAGTCTGGCAAATTTGAAACTAAGCAACACTGAAAATCAGATTTATAGGAGCAGGCATTTGCCCACATGCTAAGAGACTATCGTCAAACCTTTTCTCTACTCATTAAGTACAACATTAAATCCCTCTAAAGTTGCTAGTGCCTCTCGGCATTCCTCCTGGTACTTCTTAACCCCTACTAAATACATCAGTTGCTCTCTCTTTTTGCCAGGTATGTTGGCCCCGTTGTACCATGAGTCGGTCAAGGGCATCAAAGTTCTGTCATTGGCGTCTTGGATTGCTTGCTTCCACTTCTCCTCGGCACCTCGCTGGGCTTCAATGGACTTCACACCCTCGTTCTGAAGCTTCTGAAGAAGTCCAGCAATCATGTCAACCTGAACCTCAATAAAAGGGGGCCCGTTGCTGAATGCCGTGGGTACTAAAATGACATGTTAAAGATAATAGCACAAACTTGATTCTTGTGATGACCCACCCTGAGGTCCGTAGACCATGAACAAGTTGGGACATCCACTGGAGCAGAGGCCCAGGTGGGTTTAAACCCCATTTTTCCATCGGTCTGCAAAGGTTATGCCATCCCTCCCTTGAAAGTTCATTTTCGTCAGGCTTCCTGTCATGGCGTCAAAGCCCGTCGCCATCACAATTGTATCGAATTCGAGCTCGGATCCATCTTCGCATGTAATCCCCTTGTCCGTGAACTCTCTTATCGGATTAGCCTTCAGATCGACGATGCTAACAGTGTCTCGATCGAGATACTCATAATAGTCTTGTTCGAGACTGCTCCTCTTCGTCCCAAATGCGAAAGACGCTTTCTCAGGCACAAGAAATGCGGCCTTGGCTGGATTCTTAACTCTTGGGCGGGTCTTTCTTGCCCCAAACTCATACATGAGCCTGTTGGGCTTCTCATCAACGAGAAAGTCTCGGTAATTTGATTGCTTGAAGTTGAAACAACCACGATTCCAAAGTTCTTCCCAAAGCTCTTCTCGTTCCGCATCACTCAAGTCGAGAACGGACCCAGGCTGCATGTCGTATCCGAGACTCGAATGGCTATTCCGGCAATATTCAAACATCCTGCGGTAGGTAGACTTGCTTATCTCCTGCTCGAGGTCGCTCAAAGGACGCTGAACCATGGGAAGTGAGATACTGGCGGTGCGAATATAGACTGTCAGATGCTCTGCCACCTTTGAGACCTCTTGAGTACACTGTACGGTCGTTGCACCTGAGCCAATAATGGCCACTCGTTTGTCCTTGACTTTCGCATCAGCTGGCCAGCGGGTTGAGTAGATAAGCTGACCTTTGAATTCGTCTAGATTCCGGAAATTGGGATAGTGTGGCTTGAAACAACTGCCAGTAGCACAGACTAGATACTTGCAAACGGCATTGTGGCCGTTCTCAGTCGTAACCGTCCATTCGCCGGAGTCCTCGATGTAGCTTGCTCGGTTGACGACAGCCTTATAGGTGATGTTTCTAGACAGATCCAGTGTCTTTTCAACGTGGTTGAAATAACCCCTTAACTCTTCCCCGCTCGGAAATCTCTCAGACCAATTCCACTTGCGCCAGACCTCAGGGATGGAGAACTGGTAAAACGGCATTTCCGAGTCGACGCGGGCTCTGGGGTAGGTGTTCCAATGCCAGACTTCCCCCAAAGCAGACCCCGCCTCGTATACATGGACATTGAAGCCGAGCTTACGAAGCTTGTAGAGGCTGTAGCATCCACCACAGCCAGCACCGATGATGAGAACATCCAGCGTTTTCGCACGGCCGGTTTCGTTACTCTGGAGAGGCGGAGATGTCATGTTGATTGAACAGGGCGAAGAGGTTTGTAATTGGTGGGTTTAAGTTTGGTATGCAGCGCTATTGATATTTGAAAGTGACCTGTAACGCGACTCAACTTTTCGCTGCTGTAAATATATGGGGGTTACAGCAGTTGAGCATTCTCAAAATCTAGACAACAAGTGGGAAGACCTGCTTGACTCCAAAAGCCTGCTGTAGTTCAGACACAATCCCGCCGGCTCGGTCAAGTAGTCGAGGGATCGGATGCCTTTGGTTGGGGGGATTCCCCGAGCTTATCAAACATTTTGACTGACAAAGCTTGCCAAATTTCTCTAAGCCAAGAGTCCTCGGTAACTGCTGAGCCCATACAATTGGCCTGAAGTTGTGTGTTACCTCTGGCCTGTCGCTCACGTTGGGCTCGAGGACTCCGGAATGTAGTTTGGACAGGATTCGTACAGCTAAACATAATGTATTATAGGAAACTTCAATCAAATGTCTACTGGGTTGACAGAGCTTTTGCAGACCACGGGCGTCGTTACTTAACCACCGTGTTACTGAGACGCAGGAGATCTCTACCAGGTGATCTGTTCGTGTGTTAGCATATGAGATAAGATTGAACCTAGTTGGCATGAGCGATAAATAAAGTTGACTGAAGTAAACATTTGCTGCCCAGCTGTTCTGTAGACTCTGTCAAATATAGGGCGAGTGGGTGGCAGATTGACCTCATTGTGCCGGGTGTCTTCGATGCTTTCCAGTTCACTAAATTCCTAATTTACAATGAAGGCACTAGTTTGCTGTTCTCGCTTTGACTGCCCCTCCCAGAGACTCGACGGGGAGAGAACTGCATGTTGACCCACGAAGACTTCACTTCGCTTTGCAGCCAAGATGACCACGCTGGAACACCACCAAAGTAGAAAAGAATATCCGCAGGCTTGCCAGGCATATTCGCTCCGACGAACCACGCCCCATGTGTCTCAGAGTCCTTGGAAGTGAGCAGACCCGCGAAAACCTCCCTAAGATGTGCGTACCACATGACCGCTGCCTCCTTCCTGACGTCGATTTTGGAAAAGCCATTCTGCCGCATATAACGAATGGTCTCGCCAATCCATCTCAACTGGATTTCCACTACTACTGGCATATTCCCAAAAGGCACGTGGGGCCCACATACCGAGAACATGTTGGGGAATCCGGGAATCAGTGTACCAGCAAAGGTATCAACTTTGGTAGCCTAGAATTCCTTTAGCGATCTTCCTTGAGACCCTCTAACATCTATCTCGCTGAGAGCGCCAGTGCCGGCGTCAAACCCAAGAGCAAAGATCACCATGTCAACCTCATACTCCCCTGAACCGTTGATGACACCGTTCTCATAAAGATCGATCTTATCCGAGCTGATGTCAACCAGCTGGACATTAGGTCTGTTGAAGGTTTCGTAGTAGAAGTGTCCAAAAAAGGGACGCTTAGTGATGAAGGGGTACTTGGGACACAGAAGTTCCGCCGTTTCCGGGTCTTGGACAACAGCACGAATCTTCTGACGGAGGTATTCCGAGGCAATATCGTTGCTTTTTTGATTGGTTAAGACGTCGTCGAACGTCTCGAACTGGAAATGGAAGCCGCCACACTCCCAACCTCTATCAAGGAGCTGGCTGATCTCAGTAGGGTTATGGAAGTCTCCGGCTCCTTTCCCCGATGGTGTCATTGCAAGTCCAAAAGGGTGGTTGGTGGCTTGATCCCATACGGTATCACATCGTTGCTTGATTTATGTGGCTTGGTTTTCATCGATGTCATGGTTTCGTCCAGGAAGAACGAAGTTTGGCGTCCGTTGAAAAACGGTTAGCTGCTTGGTAACAGGAGCAATTTTCGGGATGATTTGAACACCCGTGGCTCCCGTGCCGATCACAGCAGTACGCTTGCCGGCAAAGGATACCTTGTCTTTGGGCCATCGAGCCGATTGGTATCACTCGCCCTTGAACAATTTGAGTCCTGGGAAGGGCGGGGCCTTGATGGTTGACAGTGGACCGGTCGCTGGTACAAAAAAGCGGCAAGTGGTTGATGAGCCGTCGCTCGCCGCAATGGTCCACTTGTTACTCTCTTCGTCGTAATGTGCCGAAAGAACTCTCGTATTGAATTAGATCTGCTTTCGCAGTTCAAAATGGTCTATTGCTGAAAGTCAGTGACGCAGTCTTGCATAGACAACAGATAAGACTGACCAACAACGCGGCCCAGGTATTGCTCAACTTCTTTCTGACCAGGATAACCGGTGCGGTATTCCCATTCTTCCTTGGCACCGGGATCGAAATTCATCGTGTATACCCATGCTTCGCTGTCGGTGCGAGCACCAGGATAGCGGTTCCAGTACCAAACGCCTCCTACATCAGATCCACCCTCAAAGCACTTTACAGTAAAGCCGGACTGCAATAGCTCCCAAAGCGATCAGATGCCGCCGAATCCTGCACCAATCACGATGGCATCGTAGTCAACGTTTTAGTTGGTGCCATGACTGACTATTGTGTAGATGAGATTGACTGATGTGGTTACTCTAAAGACAATGGGACAGGATTGTTGGGAACATCGTATCTCGACTTGATTAAGGGTGTTTCCTCTGTTACATCAGCATTTATTGTTGTCACCCAGACTTCTTCGCCAGAGAGAATGGTGTTAAAGTAAGGTCCGGCGCCAGCCCCGAGGCCCGAGGGCTCGGCATTCTTATGCCATACTCCCCACACACTATTCCGGCAACGTGATCAAATTGGGCAAACCCTGGACTCAGTAATTTTAATCTAATTAATGAGAGTAATCAAGTTTTGGGAGCCTACTTGTTCTACACAAAATCTGGTTCAACTGGCTACAATGTCAGAGTTCATATATATCTGGGCACTCACCCAGTGGAACGAGCCGCTTCAAAAGCTGCGCCAACCCGTGCCAACTCCGAGCGGAACTGAAGTCCTTCTGACCTTCACACTGCTGAAGGAATCTACGACGCGGGCGGAGGGAAGCGCCTCTACGTCAAAGATCGCGGCATCCAGCTGCCTGTCGCTCTGGGCCATGAAGTATTCCGAGAGGTAACTGGTCTAGGGATAGATGCAGCCTCCATCTTAATCGGCTCCCGCCAAATTGTGTACCCTTGGCTTGGTTGCGGCTCCTGTACGCGCTGCATACAGGAAGAGGATGACCTGTGCGGTGCGCAAAGGGGCCTTGGGACATTTCGACATGGAGGATCTGCCGAGTACGTCCTGGTTCCGCACCCCAAATACTTGGTCGACCTGGGAGATCTTGACCCTGCTGTGGCGTGCACCTTTGGCTGCTCAGGAATCACCACTCTCAGTGCGGTGAGCAAGGTTCTACCCTTGCCTACGGATGAGCCAGTCCTCCTCATCGGAGCAGGAGGCCTAGGTCTCGCGGCTATAGCCGTGCTGAAGGCATTCGGACACAAGTCAATCATCGCCACAGATGTTGCCGACGAGAAGCTGGATGCAGCCACCGCCGCCGCGGCCACGAAGACGGTCAATATCTCCGGGCCCTCGGCGACTGAAGACATTCTCGCGGCAATCAACGGGCCCGTGATCGCCGTGATCGATTTCGTCAATAGCTCAATCACGGCAAATCTGGCCAACGGCATAATTGCAAAGGGGGCCAAATGGCTTCAGGTTGGCGTCATGGGAGGCTCAATTGAGTTCTCCCTTGTGGCCAACATCTTTAAAGGCTTGACCATCTTCTCAAACATCACTGGAAACCTGGAACACTTTCGACAAGTCGTTCAGCTGGCTAAAGAAGGCAAGCTTAGCCCCGTTCCGGTTCAGACGATGGACTGGAATTCGGCAAATGAAATACTAGTAGAAGTGTCGTAATTTCTGCATTGGCATTTATGTGACGAGATTTGGGTCGTATTCCAGTGACATCGGTTCGCGACTAGAGGCAGGTTGACCAGAAAACCGTTGTTGACGACCAGAAAACGTATGTAGACACAATCTCTAGTGGCAAACGAACTTGTCTCGTGTTAGTAGTTTGTTGAGCAAGTTTGTTCCTTGGTCAATCTGCAGCGTATCTTTTGTCCTTTCAAAAGGGTGTAATGGATTATATCCACCTCAGGTAGCTTCGGAATGGACAGACCCTTTTTTCTTGGCAATAGGTGCTTCAGACTCTTTGGGCGACCAATACATGCAATTTACACCTGAGGTTGAGCAAGCCTTCCAAGAAATAGAAAGGCACGGTTAGTGCGTCTTGACTCTTCGGGTGTGTTCTAAGAAGCGCAAAAAGAGAAGAAGACCGAATCGTAGGCAAGATTGGGATACGTGTACCTTTCACTGATTTGTGGCATTCCATCGACGCCGGAATGCACAAAGCCCAAAGGAGGCCGTTGAAGGGCCTATTTGACCCACATCTTACAAGACATCGACCGCATGTTTGGAGGGGAAATCACTCGGTACTCCTCGGCCATTGGTCCCAAGACCAATGATTACAAGATGCATGTCAGCACACGATGGGGTAATTCCAATCACCGTTAAATTCTACAGTGGCATGATATGCCGATGGCCAACCAACATGTCACAACGCCAGACACTGCGGCAATCTGACCTGGCCGAGGGGCAAACAGACACCCTGGCCCATGTTATGATTTTCTTGGAACAGGCAATTTGGCAACTCGGCAACCCACTGTGCCTCCAAACAATTCCGGCTTTATCCCTATTAAAGGGCCATTCAATGTGCTTAGAAGCGAAACCTGTGCTCGTTGAGGCCGTGAACATCAAAGTTGTCCTCAAGATTGGGAAAGCTGAGAAACACCCCAACTTGAAGAAACCTGTTTCCTAAACAACCCCCTTTTCATAACTCTTAGTACTTCGTACTCGTCACATCTGGGTAGAAATCACGCAATGACATCAGGTTCCGTTGCAATCATCACTGGAGCCTGCGTACGTTGTTTTCTGGCCCGTATTGTCTTCTTTGCTGTAACTGCTAAATTCTCTTAGTCAGGCATTGGCGAAGCATTCACCCTAGACCTGGTCAGCAAAGGCTGGCGAATCGCCATGTTTGATATCAAGCCCAATGCGGACCTTGTTACAAAGCTTGAAGACGCCGTCACATTCTACCAGGTCGATGTCGCGGATTACGAGAGTCAGGCGAAATGCTTCCAGGAAACATGGGACAAATTTGGCCGACTCGATCTGGTCTGCACTAATGCTGGTATCTTTGACCAAAGGTAAGTTGACCTGAGCGGAAAATCTTCATCGTGTAGACGTGATGAGCTTATACTTCTTTCGCCAGCTCACTGTACATTTTGAATCATCGACACTCCGATACGTGAGCTTCTTAAACTTTCTTCCTGTGTTCATTTCATCTCACAACTCATCATCTAGCATCCCACCAAAGCCAAATCTCAAGTGCAGATATCAATGTAAAGGGGGTTTACTACGGAACCCAGCTGGCGATTCATTTTATGAGAAAGAACAAGGTACCAGGCGGAACGATTGTGGCCACTGCGAGCGCTGCTAGCCTTTATCCCCATCGAGGCTTCCCGGAATACAGCGGCAGCAAGGCAGCGGTAAGTGCGTCCCAGATCTCGGGTCCTTGAAGAACTACTGACACTGCCATTAGGTCTGGCAATTTGTCCGTGCCAGTGCTCAAATTCTGCGGATGGTAGGTGAAATGGCTCTTTCACGATCTCACATGCATCATCTACTCACGATTCTATCAGAAGGAAAACATCCGCATCAACTGCATTCGTCCTGGATCAATCGCAACCCCACTGATGCCCGCAGCAATGGCCGCGGCCGCAGGATCAAGGTCAGTGCCAATGCTGTAGATTTAGGCCGCGTTCGTGTGACTAACAACAACAACAACAACAGCATCACCCCAATGTCCACTGTCATTAGCGCCATGAACAGAATCATCACGGACGAGTCGCTATCAGGAGAGGCTCTCGAATGCTCAGTTGACAAGGTTCTCCTGACTCCTGACCCTGAGCCTCTGAACGGAGAGACGTCTACACGCGCTTGTTTCGTCTGGGATCCAATTTTCCATCAGATCCACCATGAGCCGTCAGGACTGCCGGACGCTGCCGATCCCGTGCAAACAAAATGACCTCCAATTACCTTATATATAAGGGGTCTGGGGTGTTTGCGAAGGTTGGAGTAGCATGATGTTTGGACGCAAGACTATGTTAGATTATGATTCGCTCGCTATATGACTCTGTGAATAAATCTCCCGCACAGCGAAGCGTGCTATCTGGCTGCCATATACATGTATTTAGCTTATGTATTCAACGTATTTGTCAAGTGACTTCCCTTCCGGTTGAGTTAAAAGCTCTTTCTCATCGTTCGGAGGTAATGCTTGCTTCTCACTCACAAGTGGTTCCATGGTAAATCATGTCACTGGCAATCTGATGGTTCAAAGCCAATCCTTTTCATCTTATTCTTGAGCAGAAAATCGATTAAAACGCCTGTGGAAGCAGTGGTTACTACCCGCTGTGCAATTTTCCAGCCTCTGGGAATAAACAAATAGCCATACGCTCCTCTTTCCAGTACCAAACGGCCGACATAGCCGCCCCTGGTCCGAGACCTAAGTGGGCGAGGAGAATGATGAGAGACGCATTAACAACATTAACGTCAGCCCGGCCGACTCGCCTTAGGTCCCATACGGCGCCGATGCACCACACATATGAAGCAATGAAGAAACCCCAAAAATCGACCACGAAAATGTTGAGAAACGCCTGATCCAGGGGCATTGGGTTGACGGAATACGTCGGGGAAAATACCCCAGCGAAGGATAGGGCGGCGTCACTTAGAATCGTCAGTAGCACAGACCAGTGCAAAAAGACACCAAGAATGCCGGTAACAAAGTAGAGCTGCTTCAGGGATGCGCTATCGGTGGGCTCATCTTTGACGCGTGGTAGTCGCTTCTCCTTTGCGCTCAGAGATCTCTGCCAGCGGTTTATCATGCCCAGGAGCATTGTCAACAGAGGGACGTAGCATGGATATGGCTGCCAAAAAGTCTCCCAGTATTGTGCCGTCTCAGCCTCACTCCACGGAAGGAACATGAGCACTGTCGGCAGGAAATATCCAAGCAAAGTGGCAGGGAGAAGAGCCTTGGCGTACTCAACGGGGACTGCCTTGCGCAAAGGCCACCAGTACGGCTCTACATCCGAGATCGACGTATAAACAGCGTAGTAAAGAGGCATGAAGAAGCCGACACCCGTTGATTGGAAAAGAATAAACCAAAAGCTTGGGCTGTGACGACATCAGCAAAGCCTTCAGAGACTGTTGCGTGTGGGAAACTTACAAAGCTAAAAGAGTGAGGGCATTGCGTTTTCGGAACGACTCCACCATCCAGATACAGATTGGCTGACCGATGAGGCCCAGGAAGTAGACTTGCATCATCCTGAAGCTTGGGTTCCATCCCCGAAGACCTGGCATAAAGATTACAGCCAGGAAGACAAAATATTGGTCGAGAGCAGTTACACCGGTATATGCTGTTACAAGCTTGAACGAGGGGTCTGACTCGAATACTCCCGTCGTTATGACCTTCTCCACGAGAGGAATCAGGTCCCAGCTTTTAGGGAGAATCCACATGCCATAGTAGACGGCCACGGCTAAGAAACGTAAAGGAAGATGAACAGCCACTTTAGGGGACCTCGCGTTTTGGGCTCACGTAGAAGATCGTCTTTAAAAGGAATCGATCTCTCCTCTCGTCCAACGGGAAGCATTTCCAGCTTCTCGCTCGCTGGTATCTGGCACGAGAAGTTGAAAGTGACATCTTCCTTATCAATCAGAGGAAGAATATTAAAAGCCGTAAATCTCTTAAACCCGTCATCTCGCGCTTCAGTGAGCTGCTAGTTATGGGAGTACTCCATGATATCAACGGTTCGCTAATGGCGAGTCGCTTGCAAACGACTGAAGATGTCATCCAGCTGGCTAGTAGTCAGGTGTCCCGTAGATAACGCTTTCAGACTTTCTACAAGCAGGTTCGTGAGGCGCGCCGCGGTCTCGATATCGGCATTACCTCCATGGCCACCAACTAGGTGGAACTAGGGCTTTTTTCAGTCCATACGAGATTAAGCCGTGGTATCGGACTTACCTTGTTGTTATTATTATTATATTTAACGCCGTGGCGGCCGGGCTAGAGCCCTTACCGCAGACCTCCCGAAGGGTATATAGCGTGGAGGGCCGTAAGCCAAGGCTACCTACTCTACAATACATCATCTTTTTACATCGTCCTCCAAATCATACCTTATAGCCACTACATATTCTATCTATCCCCGGTTCCCGCTAGTACCCCAGTTTCATTCTTTCCTAAATCGTCCCTTAGAATCGGGAGGTTCTTTATAATCCGTACTTATATCTATATAAATATAAATATTACTATTACAAATAGATCTTCTAAAAAAAATCCGTTATATAAAAAAAGGCCTCGAAGCCTTATAAGTCGGTAATTAATTTTTTAAAATAGGCCTCGAAAGATCCTATAGGGCCTATAGGCTCGGGTATACTATAAGAGTAAAAGGTCGGCCACCGTTACCTCCTTACTAGCATTAATCAATAATAAACCAAATAGTCTATATCTTTTGCCTCTTTATAAAAGTATATTATTAAAGTATCGTCGTAGTTAAAACGTCGGTAATATTATTTAAAGTCCCTATAACCTAATCGTACCGCTAGTAGGTAATATAATATAGCCTATAATAAGGCTAGTTTAAAAAGACTAAATAGAGCTACCTCAAGCCCTAAGTCCGTATATTATAGCCTTCGCTCTTTATATTACTATTTCCTATAATAGCCCTATAGTTTTTCCTTTATAAGCCGCTTAATACTTACTAATATTGTTATTTAACCTATCTGTACCGATAGTATCGTTCTTTTTTTAGCTAGCCGGTCTGCAGCCTTATTTCCTTTAATACCTTAATATCCTAAAGACTAGTACGTCTATATATTAAAAATCCTAATTACTTTTTAGATTTTAAAGAATGCTTTTTATAACGAGTCCGGTGCTTTACCGTAAATACCTTATATAATGTTAATATTATTAATATATATATAGATTAAATAACCGTAATTAATAAATAAAGCCCTTTTAAGGCTAGCTCGTGCTCCTTTGACCTTAGTATTAAATACTTTTACTAGTTTAAGTTAGCCGTACCCTTATACTATACGTTTAAAATCTTAATAAATAATAAAGCCGTACCCTACGGCTCCGTTCGTCGCCCTAGAGCCGTTTAAAAAAACGATTATATAGCTTTCCGGTATTATTTTTAGCTAATATTTAAAATCTTTTATAGCCTCTTCTTTATATTAAACTATTATCTAATCCTATAAGCTTAGTAGGTACTATAATTAAAAGAACGCTAATCTTCCGTATTTTAATAGAAATTTAGCTGTCCGTTATAGTCTCGTTTATTACTATCCTTATTAAGAAAGCCGTACGATTAATAAGTATTAGTGATCGATCCTCTATAGTTAGACTACGGCTTATAAACGGATGCCCTTTAGAGCAACTTTAGTTAACGGTAAGCTAGCGTTTTGGAGGAGGCTATTAGTTAGTATTATCCTCTAGATAAGTAAAATGGCCTTTATTGCCGCTATAATAACGCTATTAATCTTCTATATAAGCCCCTTCTAACTTATATTAATAGGTCTTCTTTAAAAAAGCGGATTTGTGTTTATTTCCGCTTAGTGTTTCGAAGCCGGCTTTATAATACCTATATACTATATTTCGGCATTAAAAAGCGTAATCGGTAGTACGTAGGAGATAACGGCTTTTCGTATAGCGGCCGCTAATAGTCCTCTCTTTATATTTATAAATTACCTCAGGTATTAAGCTACCTTTTTTACTATAACTATTTTTATATCGATATAATACTGGAAGGATAATCTTTTATCAAACTAGACACCCAGCTAGTATATAGGTTTTATTAAGGCCTTAACTACTAAATCCCCTACCTTAACCTTTAATAGCTCCGCTAACTAACCGTACTTCTTAATAAAATAAATAATCTCGCACTTATTTAAATTAAAAAAGACCTTATTCTTTAAACCCTATCTAAAAATACCGGCTACGCTTTAATTAAATATTATAACGTTACTTTCTAGAGAGGGGCTTATAGCTAAAGTAGTAATATCGTCTATATACCTAAATCGTATATCCAGGTTATTTTTAAGTATTTCTATAATATAAAGTAAAAAAACGATAAAAGATAAAAGCGACCTTTATAATAGCCCGTATAATAAAAAAAAATATTCTATTATACTTTCTTTTAATCGGACTTTAATAATACGGATATAATAGAAGCTAAAAATAAGTTTAATTAAGCCGTATAGCTATCCCTATTAATATAGTTTAATAATAAGCTAATTTTGAAAGACGGAATCGAACGCCCCTTTTATATCTATAATTAGAAATATCGCTGTAAGCCTTTTTAAGAGGGCTATTTTGATATTATAAGCGAAGTAGGTCGTTAGATCGATGGCTAACTTACCTTATAAAGCTCTGATCTATTACGGACTAACGATATATTTAATAATCGCTAAGGATACCATCCTTTTAACTATTAATCTCTTAAGTCCTTTACCTAGGTACGAGAGGAGTATAATCGGACGCTAGGACCCGAACTTAGAGGTATCCTTATCGGCCTTTTAAATTATAACTACCTTAGCTCTATAAAAAGATAAAGGAAAATAGCCGGCCCGTATATAAGATTAAAATAACTATTTAACCGGCTTTAAAATAACGCCCTAATAAGCTTAGAGGAGGCGTATAGTAATCCCGTCCATATTAGGGGTCGTTATTTTTATTAAAATAACCGTCTTTACTTCTTCTCTATTAATATTATCTTATTAAATAATCGCTCACTTTAAGATAACGGGTATATTAAATAGGTTACTTAATATATTATCTTCCGTACTAAACCTATCGAAAAGAGCTTTCTAGAGCGCTTAGGCCTTTTTATTAATATCCTCGATCGTTTAATTATCTATAATTAATAAGGGTATTTTAATTAATAAGCTCGCCTTCCGCTAACCTATAACTTAATAAAGGTCCCGGTCTAAAGCAACTCTATTAATCTTTCCGGCCTAATATATTTATTTAACCTTTTTTATAATACTTAAGAATACCTTCCGCTCTTTTATTAAAAAAGAATTTATATTTTATTCCGTTTCCTAGGCTTATAGGTTACGGGCAGTACGGTACGTTCTATAAGCCTTTATATATTCCTCTGTCTACTAAGCCGCGCCTTTTTCTTATTTTCCTTTTTTCTTATTAACCGCCTTAATAGCTCGGGAAAAAAGCTCGATAATATAATTTACTTACTTATTTAGGTCTACTGGAATAAGTTAATCTTCTAAATTAAATATCGTAGCTAGCCCCCTTTCGATTAGGTCTCTTAGCTAAGGTAGTACCGAATCGGGCACTAATAATAACCGTAATTATAGGTAGCCCTCTCCCTATAACATTAAGCGTTTAAATAGTAATATAACGGCCATAATAGCCTTATAATTAGCTCTTAAGTATAACTATAAGCTGACCTATATATGCGTAAAAAAGATATTAAAAAAAGCCAGGTCTAGAATATATCCGCAATCCTAAATTACTACCCTAACTTTATTAATAAAAAAAAGATTATAGCTATTTACCTAGCCTATAATATTATCTCCCTAGTTCCCGTTCCTTATCCCAGGCTCTTAAAAATAATAATATACGTTAAAGTTACTTATAATTAAAGCTTGCTCTGGGGGTTTAAATTTTAGTAATATCCCTATTATACGGTTATAAGGGTTGCGGGGTTATCTATATATATTAACGATAATCATTATTTTATCGACTACTAGCTATAATATATCTTTTATATAGATAAGCCTTTATTACTTTACCGTCATCCTTATCCCTTTATATATATAGATTAATACTTTTAGTTTAGTTCTTTTACTATTTTAAAAATCGACTAGGACGAAAGAGTTAAAACCCGGGTATATATTTAATTATATATTTCTATCCTTCTAGCCCGTCTAGAGTTCCTAAACAAGGACTATATCTATCTAAACCTCCTAATAGAACTATAAGAAAGCCGTATATACTAGGGAGATTTTTCTAACGTTACCCTATATAATGTATAGCATCCGTAAGGTCGCCGCTCTTAGCTTATATTTTTAAATTAAGTTTAAGGTAAATATAAGCATTCGTAATATTATAATTTAGCTTCTATACTACCTATTAGCTCCTATTTAATATAAGTAGTATAAGACGGTTAATAAAGGTATTATTAGGGGAATCTTTATCCTTGCCTTTATCTACCTCATTTTTATCTATACTACTACTATTAATATTTCTATTACTAAAGTAAACAATCGAGCTTATAGAGGGCATTCTTATACGTACGCGCTTAATACCGGGTTACTAGTTCTAATTAGTAAAGATAGGGACGCTTACCGCCTCCTAGCTATTATTAGATTAAATAACCTTATATAGAATATCCGATATTTTCTAACTAACCTTCTAAATCTAAGCCCGCTCCTTTCGACTAAGAAAAAAAATAACGCTATTTATAACCAAGGGCCTCGCTAGGTAGTCTATATAGCTAATTTAAAAGGGGCCGCAATAATTAATATATTAGGGCCTAGCCATATAGGGTCCCGTTTTATATAAATCGGAAGGTTTTCTATAATTATTATAGATCGGTTATCGTCTATAGAACTAGTTAAAATAATAGCTCTAATAACCGAGGTCGTATTAAATAAGCATCCTTTATTTCTTAACGAGCAAAGATCTACCGCTTTAGTTAAAGAGCCTAAAGGGCATAACTTTTAATATAAATAATATAAACTAAAATATTTTATTCATAATTAAGTTAAACCTAAAGTAGGACGGTTAAACAAAAACAGGCTTTTATCCTATCTATATAAAGACCTCATCTTTAATAAATATAATTAGGTCTAGAACGTCCTTACCAATATTATATAGTTTTATTAAATATCGTAGCATAACATAAATATACTACTTAATAGGCATTTCGACCTAATAAGTACCGAAGCATTCCACTAGCTTTACCTTATTTATAAGTAATTTTTCTTATATTTATTTATTTCGTAGCTTTAAAGAGTAACCTATACTAATATAATAAATATAGGGAAAGTCTATTAGCCCTAAGCCAACGGCCTTATAAACGATCTATTATATAGTAAATAATATAATCTTCTAAACGGCCGTTAAACTTTCTTTTAGGACGTAGGCAAAGATATAGAGGTCCTCCTTCGGTTATACCTATAGCTAATCCTTAATAAAGAGTATAGCCTTTAGGTAGGTAGAGCTTTAGTAGCTCTAGCCGCTCCGGGTCGTTATAGTAATATTACCTACTATTAGTATAACGATAGCTGCCTAACTCCGGGCCGTTATTAAGCTTATTTTATAATTAATTAATCTTTTAAAAGTTTAAATAACATAAATAATAGCTTTTTTTATAATCTATTTTCTAGAACCGTTAAAATTAGTAATAACGTTATCGACGGATTATATAATAATTAAAAAAACGTCTTTTTATACCTTATATTATTTAGCTTCTTTTATAAAGGCTATTAAGATAGACCCTATAATAGATCCGTTTAGAGTAGATATAATAAAGGCTACGGGCCCCTCGGCTAAAATAAGGGCGTCGGTAATAGTATTAAGCTAGCTTCCCGTTAGGCTAGGCCAGGTCGGCTATACCTCGGCATTATAGTATTATTTAATTCTTAAAGTAAGGTTCGGCTCCGGAGGTATCCCGGAGCCTAATTCGGGGTTAGCTTAGTTGGCCAATATTAGTCCGGTACCTAACGGCGGCTATAAGGCCATTGCGGATGCGGGCTCCGGTAAAGGGAGGTGAAGAGTTTTCGGCTATTAATAATTTGGTAGTAGGCTCACTTATTCACTAACAGCAGATGCTAAGAAAAATTAGGCGAGAGGGAAGTTCCGGACTTACCTTGTGACACGAGTCTCCGACTGTTGACACTCTGCCAAAATGCCATGTACTGTAAACATGCTCCACAAGCGGTGTCATAGAGACGCTGACTTTGCTCCTGATGAGCTCTGACATCTGGACGCCAGGAAGGATGTACTCATTCGAGAAGGTCGCCACCGCGTCCTCCACATCGGTCTCAGCTCCAGATGAAGTACCTTACCACAATGTGTGTCCTCCACAGGCCGCAGGTTTTCTGCTCTGCTCCTGGGCCCGAGTTTGGCGTGACCAGAGCATCGTCGCGGGAGAAGCTCACTAAGTCCGCCATTGCCATGACCAAGCTCGCGCTCGAGATGGAATTGGGCGACCAGCTTCGTTACCTATCCAACATCAGCATACCAGTCTTCTTATCGGCCGCACTAGTACACGCCTTGGAGGTCCGTTCGCCAGACGAGGAGGTCAGAAACATCAGCATTGGTCGTTTTTACCAGTGTTTTCACGTTTTGAGCGAGCTTCAAGAGATGTACGCCTCAGCAGACTACGCAGTCCGGTTTCTGGAGATGGTGCTGGACAGAATGAAGACTAAGATTCCCATGCTCAGATTGACTTCTAGCGCTCCATCAAGGCAAGGTTCAAACGTTCGGAAAGGCTTGACGCCACTGGACGGCGCTTCGAGCTCGAAGCCTCAGGCTCGGAGGACAGATTCTTCAGTCGAACCCCTCAGCCGAACCCCTCAATGCCCTGTGTCCCGACCAAACTCAGTCACTCACACCCTTTTTGGGTCCCTTTGACACTTGGCCTGTGATAGCAGAAGGACTTCTCATGACCAATCATAACCAGCTGGAAGTCGGAGCGGTCGGCGAGTCTTTATTCTCAAGTTCATGGGCGGATGTAGATGCGCTGCTTCCGGTCCTGTTAGATAATGCCTCTAGTTGATAAGAATGACCTCGAGCACTCTGCTCCAGTTCGAAAAACCGAGTCTGCTCTAACGTCTCTGTTAACGTCTCTATCACTTTCTTTTGTATACCACCTTTAGTGACTTCAGTCTTCATAGTCACACCTCGAGTGTCAACGGACAGCCAAATGATGACACACCGTTATAAGACGGAGCAGAAATTCTCCCTACTTCATCTTGGTCTCTTGTTAAACTTATTACCAATTGAAAGAGAGCTCAGTGCCGCAGCTAGAATTGCTCAAAGCATCCCGCTCAAAAACAAAAGTGTGAACGAAATCACGCAACCAAGTCCAAAAGTTTGCAACTATGTCCACTCCTTTGCCACTCAAAACAACCAGCTTCGGTAGTTGTTTCATCTTAGTCTTCAAGCTTTGGACCATTAAACGTAGCCTGAAGACCTTTCCACATGATGTACGACGCCATCATCCTTTGGCGCTCCCTTGAGTTTGGAATCCATCTCGTGATCGGCAGCCTTTCTTTACTCCTCTTCCTCAGCCTGGGTAGCATGACTGTAGTGGACAGCTACTTTCTCGCCAAAGGCCTCGCTGATGTCCTCGAGAGACTTCTTGGAAGTCTCGGGGAAGAAGAAGTAGACGATTAATAGATAGCATGCTGTGGGTACAATGAGCACAAGGAAGAACCTCCAAGTAATCTTCTCCAGAGCGATTGGTGCGACCATGAGCATGATCAATGATGCCAGAGCGCTGTTGACGATGCCAAAGGCGCTGCCCTGACTGCGAATGTGGTTCGGGAAGATCTCTGTCAGGTACACGAATTGCGTCGCATCTATGCAGCAGCCGTAGAACGCGATGAATAGGTAGATGAAAAAGACGGCGGCGTTCAGGCCTGTGATGTTGTCTGTACCCAGATATTTGGCCTGCAAGGCCCACTCGCAGATGAGCGAGACCAAGATGCCGGATATCCCTACGAGAAGAAACTTGCGGCGGCCGAAGCGGTCAAGACAAAGTGCCGTAATGATGTTGCCGAGGAAGTCAACTGTGACCCAGATTCCGAGAAGGAGCAGCGGCATATAGCCATCGAGGCCGAGACTGATGAACAGGAGGACGCCAGAATTGGAAAGAACGAGGGTTCCAGTGAGCTGGCCCCCCCACATGAGGACCATGGCGATGATGGTCCTCTTTCGATTTGGTGCAGTCCGCAAAAGCTCGTACCAGACAACTCCACTCTGGTTCTCTTGATCTTGTTCGACTTGTCGTCGAATTTGGTGAAATTCCTTGGCAACGCGTGAGATGGACGCTTCGTCATTGGACGCATGCAGACGCTTCAATACGGCATGGGCTTCTTCGAACCGGCCCTTTCGCATGAGCCATCTTGGAGAGTAAGGTAGCATAGATGATCCAGCGAGGAGAACCAGTACAGGCGCTGCCTGGAAAGCCATGGGAAAACGCCAAGGAAAGCTCGATGTAGAGCCGGATGCTGTGATAAAGTAGACACCGAGACTGATCCAAGAGCTCAATTAATAATCCACGCCAATTATTACACCGTGTATGGACACCATAAACCCGCGGGTCTCTGGCGTGCTAATCTCGCTCTGATACATGGGAATGATCTGTTTATGGTTGTTGCTTAGCAGAACTCGAACTTGTAGTTACTACACGTAGGATGGTACGAACGCTGAACAGCATGCCAAGGCCAAAGCCTGCAATGAAACGCGCGATCAAGAACATTGTAGTGTTGGTTGATCCGGCGCAGAGACCAGCCCCAATGCTCACGATCACAGCTCCAAGCTGCATGCTGTGTTTGCGAGAAAAGCGATCTGCAGACCAGGCACTAAAGACGGCCCCAAGAACCGCGCCCGCGGAACTAAGACATATGAATAGTCAGGGTGGATTGTAAGTTTTGCGCGGCGACCTGAGAGGCGCAAATTTACCGTTAAAGGCCCCAATCAAGGCACTCGTTTTGGCATAGCCAGGTGTGCCCGGCGGTGCCAAGTTCAGGAATACATAAAAAGATGGCTGTCCTATGATAGATCTATGATTTAACGCTACTAGCGAGCTGCCGCTACCAATGAAATATAAAGTATGCTCCATAAGCTGGGATGAGCATGATGATGGATCCAAGCTTACCCCATAATTGCAAGGCCATAAGAGCAGCCAATTGAGCCGATTGCAACAAACACCACAGCCCAGAGATTAAAGACGTTTGGTATAAACCGAGCCATGGCAGCGAAAAGGGGGTCTGGAACGAACACGGGCAAGGTAGAAGACAATTGTTTGAGTGATTGCAAATTTCAATGTGGAGGTGACAAATGGAACCCCTTTTTGTCGTTCCTGGCTGTAGGACGGTTCTTATCATTGAAACCGGCTCTCTTCAGCAGCGACGTTGGGGCACATAGTGAGAAGCATTTCCGGGATAGTTCCACCCCTCAATGGCAGTTTAGCTCGGGTCAAGGCGGGGTTGGCTAGTGCAGACGACGAAGGTAACCACTCGTCAAGAACAACATCTGCTCGTAGTCTCCCACCGGCTCCTGGTTCTGGCCATGTTGTGAATACGATGTGTATAACTAAGACGATCCGCGAAGAAATCGAAGCGAGTTCTATGTTTGGCTTAGCGCGACTGCCGATGTGGAGCCGCGGCGACGGATCGCTTAATGGGGGGACGGAAGATTGCGGGGTGAGTGCGGGGCAGGAATCTGGGGTAAAAGGGAGCTCGGCAAGCTTGGATGGCAAATAGATAAGAGGGCCGCGGTACCTTCATATTTGCCTCGGCCTGCTGCCGAACACACTGCAGTTTCTCTCCACACCCGCGATTTGACTGAGCACAAGACGATGAGATGAGTTCGACTCCGAAGACGTCCAACGCCAGGCCTACGCTGGCTGCTACAGCGATGGCTGGCAGTACCAAGAGGAAGCGCTCCGCTATTGCATGCGTCGCCTGCCATCGGCGCAAGGTCCGCTGTAATATCGCCGCCCAGGGCCCGCCCTGCACGAACTGCTCGGAGGATGGCAATGCAACCTGCCGCATTTACGGCAGCAGGGTCCCGGCAGAGGTCCCGCCGCCGCCGCCGCCGCCGCCGCCGCCGCCGCCGCCGCCGCCTGCTCCGGCCATGCCGTCGCCCTCCAGTTCCTCACATCATTTGCCTGACCGGGGCGACGACCACCCCAGCCCCAACTCGATCCCGGATCCGCGCCCATCTTCGAAGCGACAGTATCTTCCGACCAGTATTGAGAACATCCTATGTACCGCACAAGACCCGAGTTATGCAAATGGCACCCCGAACGCACCTGTCATCTACTACACTGGTTTGTTTTCTCTCTCATCTGCCTGGTTGGCAAGTTCTCTAACGTAGGAATTCGGGTCATGACTCACAGGCGAGTCTGCTGGCATGGCTTTGCTCTTCGACGTAGTCTATCCTTCTCGTCCCCTGCCAGGCAACTTCTACATCATCCAGCGCCAGCGTCGTTACTTTCCCCCGGCACATACCACCTCTCCCCTGATGGCGCGCCCGCTGCCTGAACCGGCGGCCCTTCACGACATGATACGTTGCTATTTTCGCTACCTTCACCCATATTTACCTGTCATCGATGCGGGCCGTTTCATTTCAGCATTCGCCGACCAGCCAAGCAGTATCAGCCCCCTCCTCCTTTGGAGTGTCTTATTTGCTGCCGCTACGGTAGGGACCTGCCTTCTGTTTGACCCTGTCCCTATACAGTTGTAAAATAGCCAGGTTCTAACATGACACTTTATCAAGTTCGTCAAGCCAGAGCATTGGCAAGCTGCTGAGTTCAGGACCAGAAAGGAATTCCAAGAGGATATCTATCGACATGCCAAGGTGAGTTTTCAGTGCTCCCTCCGGACATACAAGCCGTCGTGTCCCTGGCGAAGAACAACGTTCTCAACGCATACGAGAACAGAAGCACTGACAAATCCTTACAAAGGCGCTCTATGACAGCCAAATTGAGGTAGACAAGCCGACAATAATCCAGGCTTGCATACTCCTTTCGTATCACCTCGTAGACCGAGAAGATCTGGACGGGCCGTGCCACTGGATCGGAGTGGCAACCGGTCTAGCACAGAGCATCGGCTTCCACCGAAAGCCAACCTGCGAACGAGTCCGGTCTTCTCCATTTTCCCAGTCACAATGCAACATTTGGAAACGCATCTGGTGGAGTCTTTACTCCCGCGAGATCTGGCTAGGCCTCGGCTTCGGCAGGCCACTCAGAATCAACTCGGAAGATTGCGACATGACAATGCCAAAGGCCGCTGCAGTACTGAACGATCTTGACGGCCTTCCAACTATGCTTCGAGAAACCTACATTCCTTGCGAGTTTGAGACACTTGTAAATCTATGGATAGAGTTGTTGAACCTGTCTGTCGAACTGGAAACAATTCTACGACTCAACTACCGGCCTGGTCAACCACCTGCATCGCTCGCGGCTCTCGAATCACATCACAGCATTCTGCAGGCGATGCAGAGTAGAGTCTGCGTGGATTTGGCGGGGGAAGCACCACTGCTATTATTGCACCGCAGTATTCTCAAGATTTACCATGGGACTGTATTGATCGCTCTGCACCGGCCGTACATCCTCCCGCCAGCACCAAGTTCAAAGTCTCCTCTTGGGGAAAGTAGCATTCGATCCCTCGCAATGGACAGGTACACTACAGCCGCATCGGCCATTACAAAGGCCGTCAACGACCTTGTACGCGCCGACCTCCTCAATGTTTCACCACCCACACTCCCGACCTGCATCAATTCCGCCATTGGAGTACACCTACACGAGGCGTGCCGCTCCGAGGGCATCGGCCGCCAGCTCGCATTGCATAACGTCAACCTCCACATGCTTGTCCTCTCTCATCTCGGCAAGATTTACTTTTCCGCCGAGATGCAGTATCGGTTCTTCCTCCAGATCATGAAGACTGCTGAGCCGCTTCCCTCGGTCCAGAACACAAGAATGCCTGGTAGGGGAAGCTTCAGTCGTGCGGGAACAGCAGCCGTTGGTATCCTGCAAGCTAGTGAGCCGCAGGATGCAACCCGTGAAGCAGCCGCGTATGACGTGGTCACTCCAGTATCTACGCACCCGGCACCCGTAGAGTGTCAAGACGCGCTTCACGACCAAACGCCCTCTTACAGTGAAGGAGATATGCTCTTGGAGGATGCAAACATTGATCACAATTTATTTTTGCCTTCTACTCTGTTCAACATTGATTCAACTCCTTTCTCCGAAGAAGAGATGGATTTCTACAGGCACTGGGGTCTGACGAACATGTAGGAGATGACTTAGATGCTTGAAACATAAATATCTGCACAATGTGTCGTCTGAAGATATGGGCCGTATCATGAGGAAGGCTGGCACTAGCAGTAGCTCTATTATCTAGAGAGACCATGCCCCAATTATAAAAATTGAGAGTGCTGGACATCCTTCTCTCGTCTTCTCATCTTTTAATTATCCCAACTTCAAGTGTCTCTAGCACACGAGAGTACAGTCAACATTTTCAATTTCATCTTACAGCTTGGATATAGGTTGAGCTGTGGTGTGATCTTCTCGACCCTCCAAGATTTGGGCATACAATTCCGAGAGCCGGTCTCGATACAAGTCTCCGACTTTCTTTCGCTGAAGTTTAAGAGTCGGCGTAAGGGTTTCGTTGCCTACTGAGAACGGTTCGATGGATAGGTCAAAGTTCTTGACGCGCTCGTAACTCGCAAACTTGTTGGCCTTGCCTAAGGCCTCGAGATCCTGGAACACCCGAGCACGCACTGCGGCGTCACCACAAGCCCCTCTGACGGCTGACAAGTCCGACGATGGAACCACGCGGCCGAGAACCTGTGATGCAAGAGCGGCAAAGAGCTCGGGGTCTACGCCAAACATGCCGACGGTGAAGGCCTGTAGGCTGTCACCATGAACAAAGGCCTGTGCAATGTATCTGCAGCCGGATAGATAGATGCCTTCGAGGCGCTCGGGTGATACGTACTCGCCTTGAGCGAGTTTAAGAAGGTTTTTGCGACGGTCGACAATGGTGAAGCGACCCATGTCATCGATTGATGCGATATCGCCCGTGCAGAACCATCCATCTTCGGTGAAGCTTTCCGCTGTTTGCTCTGGGTTCTTCAGATACTCCTTGAACAAGTTTGGTCCCCTCAGCAGGAGTTCACCACGCGGGCATGGGACATCCTCGATGGTATAGCCCATCTCAGGCACGGAGAGCAAGCAGGCTTCTGTCGATGGCACGAGACCACCGCAGTGCCCTGTGCTGGCATCAGCCCGATTTTGTGCCAATGCAGAAGCGTACGTCTCGGTCATTCCATACCCCTGTACAACGCTAGATCCACTCACAACACTCAAGAACTTGTGCAATGCTGGGTCCAGTGGGGCGGAACCCGTTATCATTGTGTGTGCGCGGTCGAGGCCAAGTGCAGCCATGGTCTGCCGGCCCCAGATCCTATCATGAAGCGGGTGCTTATTGGTAGGAGCTTCTGCGTTCTCGAGGTTCGTCAGTTTGGTTGCCACAATGTACCTGCTCACAGCCCCTCGAATCCCGGAAGCTTCGACTGTGTTCGACTTGAGGGTGCTACCGAACCGATTGTAAATCCTCGGAACTGATGGAAACACGGTCGGCCGGAGAGACTGCAGACCGTCTACGAGATTGGAAATGTCGCCACTGAAATATCCCATCTTGGTCCCGCTGAAAGCGCCAACATGTTCCAAAAGTCGGCCATAGACATGAGCTAATGGCAGATAGGAGATCATGACATCGTTCCCGGGCAGTCCCGCATCAAAGAGAGCGCCAACTGTCGCTGCGACTGAGCCCTTGTGTGTCAAGACGACGCCTTTGGGCGCCCCGGTGGTTCCCGAGGTGTAGTTGATGGTGGCTATGTCATCTGGCTGTGGAGGTCGCAATGGTTTGGAAGAGACTGCGCCCAATTGTTCAATTTCTTGAAGCGAATAGATCTGAAGGTCCAGCTTCAGAGCTTCCGTGATGGATATCAACAATCGGTTTCGCGACGGAGAGTCTTGATTGTCTGACTGAGGCTGAACATTGTCCAGTATCACCAGACACTTGAGCTCAGGCAAATTCGGCTTGAGAGCGATCAACGCTGGAACATGGCTGTGAGAAGTGACGACGCACGTCAAGTCGGCGTGACGAATAATGTACTCTGATGCGCCAGGGCCCAGCGTATCGTACAACGAGACACTGAAAAGTGACTGCGACATGCATGCGAGATCGACAATTGACCATTCAGGTCGGTTTTCGCACCACAGCCCAACGCCAAACTGTTTTCCGACCTTGCCGACCTGCTCGTGAACTTCTACCAGGCCCTTGCCAATGTCGTTTTTGCGCTCTTGAACGGTTTTGAAACTAAGCCACTCCCATGGAAGATGGCATCGCCGAACGGGGTCGTATGGCCGGCGGCCCAGATAGTCGGATTTTGGACTGCTTTTCGCAGTCGCCTCGAACATGTCGTGAGCAGTCAATACATCCGGGCCAATGGTTTCCAGCAATCCATCCACAAATTGCCAATGCCTATACACATTCGAGCGGCCAGGTTGGCTTGTACCTGGGAGTGCGACTGAGTATGGCTGGTTTTTGGGTCGCGGTTCTCGGAGGTCGAGTATCCTTTGGACATGCGACGGGTAAGATGTTGAAAACACCATGCTTGCTTCGAGGCAGTGAGGGTAATTCTAAAAGTGGAGGACAGAGTGAGATTTAGACCTAGACAGCAACGGGGGAGTGTAGGGCTTGCCGACAGGAGTTGGCGGGAGCGGTGCAGACCGGCCAGATGATTAAATAGTAGACCTGGCAATACGGATAAACTTACCCTTGGCGGTGATGAGATTACTCGGTTAGATAAGGTAGGCAACGCACCCTTCCATCTGCCCCGCGATGCTGCCAACTTGAAATCGCCTGTGCACGCCAGAAGGGCAAAATCATTTTTGTGCAAAGCCTCGGCTTGGGGATTTTGCGGCTGCAGAACGCTCCTAGTTACTTGTTTGAATGTGCGATCTCTTTTTATGATTCGGTCCTCGCCTCATGAATCAGGCCTCGGGCTTATTTTCCATCAAAATGTTCCGGGTGGGTTTTCCAAGGTTGTTGTAGTTGGGCGCTGTATTGATTCGGAATTTCAGATTGATGGGCTGCTGCATCGCAAAGATTATCAGACTTGCAAGCAGCCAGATTCCTACTCTGCCAATGACCAAAACAGCTGTTGAAAGGGGGTTTCATCCCATCGCGGCGGCATCGGTTCATCACCGAGATCCCTGGATGGGCTTGCAATAGGTAATACGGTCACCAATTAATCGCTGCCCTGCCGAGGTTCGGCCCATTCTACTCAAAAGTGAAAAGTAGACTCGGCCGGCACGTTTGATGCCGCCAAGTGGATCATCGGTTCCCAAGTGGGCAACCACCACTGCCGGAGACCTAGGCCGGATTTGAGTGGGGCCGGCTAGGGAACCTCGGCACAGCACAAGACTCGGCACTTCAAGGTTGCTTTGGATTGCCCCTGTTTCGGTAAGCTTACACCACCTGATTGTGTGCTATACCAACAAGACCTGAATAGGATGTCAGCTCGATCAGATTTTGGGACAATTGACCTGGAAAGAAGAAAGATAGCAGCGCTTTTGTCAATGGAACAATCATGGAGCTGTAGTCTGAGGTAAGTCTCGTTGTACGTGGCACGTAACGTGAATCGTTAGCCTCATTATGCAAGTAAGTTAACGTCTTTAACTTTGATTATCAAAATCAATCACAGTCATTGTAAAGTCAACGATATTTACACAACCCTCGCATTCCTCCTTCTGCTCACATCCGCCATTTTATCCCCTTCTGGGTACCCCCAGGCATCGACGCCGCAAGTGCCCCATCTCCGCCACCAGCGATATCCATACGACACTCCTTTTTTGGCCATCCAGTGATTGTTTGGAGTCCGTCGAACCCGAGGGCGGCCATGCAAGCCTGTTGGTGTCAGCTAACAGCTCCTCAGACTCGAGTCACTCGGCACTATATGAGCCCACTCACATCTTCCGTTGTATTTCTTCGTCCTAGGACGCTTCGTAAACTTTTGGCACTCGGCACAGTATCTCCGGTCTCCCATCGACTCGCGAAGTCTTGCGTACAGCGGACACGTGGTACACGAACAGTGCCTACACCACTTCCGCCGGCAAATGGCGTGGTCGGCGGCATACGATCGACAGGGCGCCCAGTTTGAGCATCTTTTCGGGGGCTCTGCGTACTTGTACATATGGCGTTTCTTTCGGTGCCAGTAATTGTCCTGGACAACTCCGACTGCCGAAGTGTCGCCGCACTCGCACTTGAGCACTTCTGGGGGGTGTACTTGGTCGTAGGAGAGCAGCGAAGGTTTTGCCGGTATCATTGGAAGCATCATGGTGCGGAGAGAGTGTGATGCAAGGGATATACAGATGAGATCATTTTGTTGACAGTGTGAAACGACCTCAAGCTGAAGCTCAGGTGGGAGCTTGGTGAAGAGGGCTAATGAGAACTGTGTAAGTGGTTGTGAGGAGGTGACGGAGGGGGCTTTTCCGGACATAGCTCAAGAGGTTGAGATGATGTCAAGGTATCCAAAGACCTGTGGAATAAAAGAGGCGCAGATTGAACAGTGATTTTTCCAGGAGTTTAGACTGATTATTGACTCCCCGGGAAGCTCACAGAAAATGAGGTTCAGTCTCCGAGCTTTTGTATCCGACAATGACCTTCATTGGACCCCTGTTCAGGTAGCCGTTAGCGTGTGCTGCCTGTTGCCAAGCCGGTCGGCCCCACTCCATCTGCCTAAACACTACGCGATAGACGGAAACGCTAGTATGGAATAGGACGGTAAGGACTTTGGGTGAAATGGAGAATTGCATTTCTTGCCAAAATGTTTTGTGACGATACCGTTGTTCAGTGGTTCTCGATCATTACAATATGACATGTCTTTAAACGCTCCGCCAAGTTGGGAAACCTCGTTTTCTGGCCCGAAGATACTCAGGCAATATCATCTTCCTCCGCTACGTCCGATATCTGCTCCGCAGATTCCTCCAATTTCTTGACGGCGCCTTCGACCACATCAACCTCATCGAATTCCTCGTCAGATACGTCTTCATCCGATTCACCAATTACGTCATCCGAGACATTAGGAACCCCGATCGGATGGTTCATCAAACTAATACAATACCTGAGATCGAAAAGGTCTCAACTTGGAAGGTCTTCTTGCGTTTTCGCAGTGATATCAAACTCGTGGCCATCTCGGATGACGCGCCGGGCCACTGAAGAGACGAGGCAGACTCCTTGAGGCTTGTTGTCGGCGAGCTGGAAACTCTCCAGCAGCTCACGGGGATCTTGCGCTAAGTTGTTCCACCATACAGATTGTTCGTCTTTATTTGCCCGTGTCCGTAGCAAATGCACGCGCAAGCAGATGAAGTGGTCGCCGTCCGGATGGGTGCCTCTTTCAACGTAAAGGCAGCAAGATCAGCGAGGATAGTGAGGATGTCGAGAGTATACAGAGGCAGGGTGAGGGGTTGATAAAACTTATGGAAATTTTGCTCCTCAAATATTCGTCTGTAGGCTAGAATCAAGTGCATCATAGGCACTATTCCTAAGTCTTGATTTTACAAAATAGAGCCTCTTGATAGTCCTCAAGAAGAAAACGGCTTGCAAATGATCGATCATGGCAACATGTGTACAGCGTGGCCTACGGCCGAAAGTGATCTTCAGCCCAACTTCGAACACGATTAAAGTTGCGGCATGTGTGAGGTTCTTTCCAGTCGGCAACAACCCTGCCAGCATCATCCGACCAACTGAATACCATGGGTGTCAGGTCACCGTGGCATTGCACCGTCTGTCTGAGATAGTCGAGGCAGTGGTCTAGAACTGCAATTAGCTGCACTGCTTGTAGATTCGAACAGCATCATGGCTCACCAACGTGCATCCTATGAATTCTGGGGCTTTCTTCCTCCTTGTAGTAATCTGGATCCAGAGCCATCCTTACTTTGTTCTTCAATATGTGTTAGTTGTCGTTGCCAGCAGGCCCTGGGCTGGAGATACTCACCACGCAATGTAGGGTATGCATTACTGTTGGTATTCCTATCACAGGGATGGTTCGAACCGTGGGTGACGAAGAGGTCAAAATCTATATATATTTAACTTCTGCGTAAGGTGTAAAAAGGAGGTTCTAACCGGAGGTTGGGTAGACCGTAGATCTCGTAAGTATGGTCTGTAAGTGGCCCCTGCGCGGGCCCCTTGCCTCGAGGTCGAATTGGACTTCCAATCCGACACTGACTATCTCTCTCTTTCATCGCCCAACTACGGCGGTTGGAAGTGTAATTCGATCTCGGGCTCCTTCGCCGAGGCTGCCCCCTTTTCCTCCTTCTTCTGCTCCTTGCGGGTTACCCATCCCTCCATCCGTATCGTCGCCCTTCCTTCGCCGACGAAGTGCTCGAGCCCCTTGTTGGGCGTTGCCTTCGTGAAAGCATCCGCCAGATTATCGTCCCCGTTGATCCAACGGATCTCGAGGATCTCGCGGCGCTCATACGATTGCCGGAGGGCCATGATGTCTATCATCAGCCTCTTCTCCTTCGTGGTGCCCAGTTTGACGAGGCACTCATACAGCGAGTACGAATCGGTACAGACGATTGTCGGTATCGTGGGGATGTCAAGTCGATCGGTAATCCTCTTCAGCGTCGTTGAGATCGCGTGTGCGATGTCGACGCCGTTAACCATGCCGTAGACCTCTGAGGCGAGTACACTTCGTGTGACCCTTTTGCTCTTCGTCGACGAGTAGTGGATGACATTACCGCGGATCGTGAAGTTCTCCTCTCCCATTGCCTCGTTGGCAAGGATTATCACATATCCCAATTGCGATGTGAGGTCGTCATTATTCGCGAATGAGCCGTCGACGAACACGTAGAGCTTCGCCTCCCTCAGGTCGATGGGTTGGTACACGAGCCCCCTATCGAGGTTCACTTGCTGCCACTGTAGCCGTCGGTTGAGGGCGTCGAAGTCGCGTTCCGTCGGCGAAGTGGCCTGCGCTGCCCTCGCGCAGTCGAAAGTGGCCTCTGGCTGACAGATGCTTGCGATGTAAGCTCCTCGTGCGAGCTCTGCTTTGTACCGCTTCTGGCAGTCGGTTGCCCTTGGGTCGATGAGGGTGATCTTCTCGCCTTGCCCCTTCTGTCGGAAGACGACATTCTCGCCCTCGATCGTGAGGATCCCGCCGTTGAACGCAAGTGGTGTGTCCTCTGTGAGGATCTCTTTTGGCTTGGCGGTAAACTTTGCCTTCTCCAGCTCCTTGTCCTCCTTCTCCATGAAGGCCGCATCAGAAAGCCCTAATGTGTCGTCGGTCTGCATTCCGACGATTCCAAATGGATCGTCTGCATGCGCGGAAACTAGGAGGCAAGGATCGTACGTCGATGTAATCATCGAGAGCTTGTCGATGTGGAAATCGTGGTATGTTGCCCACCAGTGAGTGCCTGACTCTGCGAGGCCGTAGAGTGGCTTCAGCACTTCGATAATCGTGTCGTCCGGGTATTTGCTTGCCATCTCCCTTGGTAGGTAAGCCAATATCTTCCTCGTGAGCCTTGTCGCCGATTGGGTGTATGCCTGGGTGATATCACGACTCCAGATCCGGTATCCTCTTTGCCGTAGTGATGCCATCAATGCCATCATTAGTCGTTGGCTGCAGCGCTGAACTGTCGGCGACTGCGTGAGCAGTGCCGCCTTCTCGACGTCGCCGTAGCCTTGTATCACATGCCTTGATTTCTCGTACGGCTGATTTGTCCCCTTTCCTTTGATCTCGCGGACCATTCGCGACTTGAAGATGCGGAGGTTCGCGTGCTTCTCTGGGTCGTAGGTGATGAATCTGTAGACCCCTCGATCGCGCAGTGTGTCGGCTTCGATGAGGTCGGAGCCTTCGTACGGTCGTCCTGCAGTTGTGATTATCCCTTGTTCCCTTAGCTTGACCGCCATCGCGAAGTCTGCTTTCTCCTTGGCCGTGTAGAAGACAGCAGTAGCCTTGGTGTCAGACATGAATTGCCGTTGAGGTGCTTTTCGGGGTCTTCCTCGGCGTCTTGCTTGCGGTGGGGGTACTGGTTCTTCTTCTGCCTCATCGTCTGAGGGTGCTGCGACGATGATCTCGTCGAGGATGGTTTCCTGCCCCTCATCGCTTGGTTGTCCCTCATCGCTTTGTTGAGGTGGTTCCCCTGGCTCTTCTTCTTCTTGTGGGTTGGAAATCACTCCGCTGGGGTCGACGTGGTACGGTCGTACCGCAGTGATCGACACCTCCAGTGGTTGGTCTCGATCTCTCGCGACGACACAAGATCGTTCGTCAATTGAGACTAACTTGTATGGGCCTGTCCATTGCTTTGTGGTTTCCCTCCATACCCGTACCTCCGAATTCAGGGGCATGTCGAGGTTGAGGCTCACGTCGGGCCCATTGCGCGTAGCAATGGCTTCGTTGACTTGCCTTCTAGCATTTGCCTCGCGGAGAGTCTTCATTGCTTTCTCGATTGCTCGCGCCCTCTGGGTCACATCTGGTGACGGCGGTGAGGCCGTCGTCGTTCGTGGGTATGCTCCGAACACAAGCAGCGTCGGAACGAGCCCCTTGGGTCCCATGGTATCATTGCAGCACTTGAGTGCCGTCTGGAGGCACTCTTCGTCCGTTGAACTAGGGCTCTCTTCCTGGATGATCTTGAAAGCTCTTTTCAACTGCTGGTGTGATCTTTCTACCTTGCCAATACTGTGGTGCGCTTCGACAGGGACGACTTTCAGTTGGATGCCGTACGAAGTGGCATTCTCCCTGAATTCCGCCGACTTGAAGCTGGTGCCGGCATCGGTTCTGATGCCGTCTGGTGGACCTTGGTATGTATCGATCCAACAGCGCTTCAGCGTTGCCCACACGGTCTTGGCTTGTATATCTCGAAGGAATTGGCCTCCTTGGAATGATGTGGCTTCATCGATTATATGGAGTACTGGTCGACTGTTCAAATAGAAGATATCAACGACGATTTCCCAATTGAAGTTGAGGTCGTCGTGTAATTTGAACTTGAATCTGCGCGGGCTCTGGGCGTTCATTTGGCACTGGTGGCACACCATCGTCAATTGCTCTAGAGCCCCTATTTCCACATCGTTCCCTGAATGTTTGAGGAGATTGTATAGTCTCGTCGCCGACGGATGGCCGAATCGTCGATGTAGTCGCTTGAGTTCACTTTCCGTCAAGTAATTGATGGACTTGACGTCTGGTTCAAGCTTCATAAACGCGTGCCCCCATCGTCGATCGACGAGCTCAGAGTGCTTTCCATTGGACATTCTATTCCTTGTGTTGTCAAACACAATGCCCAATTTATCCATGTCGTTCAGGCATAGGAGGAATGGTGTATTGACGGGTAGAATGTGGAAAATCATCGTTCCGAATCGTGTATTTACATCCACAGTACCTAAGGCACTTATCTCTTCCCCTGGGCCGAAACTGATCCTCGCAATGCCCGCGTTTGTAGTGTTGAGGGTCACTGGTGAGATCTTTTGGAGTGCGTGGAATTGTCCCTTGCCCCCCGTCGACCATTGTGATGCCCCGGTATCTGGAATAATCCCGTGGAAGGTTTCCGAGCCATACCTTTCGCTGGCATGGAATGCTTGCACTGGATTACCGTAGAACCCTCCTGGTGGGTATAAATTGCGTGCTTGTAAGCCCATCGTTCTCTTTTCCTCCCCAGGCCCTTTGACCTTAGTGCGAGCCATGGCTGCGGTATTAGCATTCGTGTCCCCCGTGCTGCTGAGCGTTGTCGTTGGCTGAGGGACCTTCCCTTGCCAACCATGGAGGAAAGCCTGCTCATTTAGGGCTTGTACCGCTCTCTGTTCGTTCAGCATTGTATATCCTCCTGAGGTTGACGGGGCGAAGAAAGAATGGGTGACATCGTTAACTTCGTCGAAGTCGAGGTCTTGAGTGTACGGGGTAAGATCTTCCTCGCTCTCAGACGACTCGATTGCGTTCGTTGGATGGTCCTCGTAGACCACCAGGAATTGGTTGAATCGATCATGGCCCGTCTTGCCTTGTGTGCCCTTTGCCTTTCTGTATTGGTCGTACGACTTGGCGCGTTCCTCATCAGAGTGGTTGCTTGACCAACAACCCTCCTTTTTGCATATAAAGCACTTCCCTTTCCGCGGTGCTCGGTTGGTGTTGGACCAGCGCCCCCCTGAGGAGTCTGTTCCTCCCCCCTGGCGGTTGCCATACCTTGCCTCTCTTCCTTTGCCATTGTACGTGCGGTCCACCCAGTGCTGTTGGTGAGGGCCTTCGTGAGATTGGAGGTGAGTCTGATTTGGCATCCTGGCTTCGATGTTGAAGCTGGACCTCAGCCTCGAGCACAGCGTCTCGTAGTCCTCAGGCGGTTGATGTAGAGTCATCTTTGCCTCTGGTACCCTCTGTACCGCCGTACATAGATAACCGACCTTTCGCTCATTGGTCCCCTCATTTGGCTGCGTCCTCGCCAGTTTGTCGATCCTGTCGATGAGCTCCTCGAGGATCTCAATTCTCGACTTTCCTTCCATTGTTCTGGCTACAGAGCTAAATGACAATGCCCTCAGCTCCGAGAGGAGCTCGAGGCTCCTATCTTGGGTCTCGAATCGACTTCGGATTGTGTCAACGATGCTGAGAAAGTCGGTTCGATCGATATTACGCACCGCTTGATAGTAGTACTCGGCAGCTTTCCCTGTCAGTATGACATTGACTACCGAATGATATTGGTGTTCTCGGATGCCGACTTTTTCGCAGTAGTCGTAGAACATCGTGAGGGTTTCTTGCAGGACCTCATATCTCCCCCCTGAGTACAATTTCTCTTTTGGAAAGATCTTCTTTAGGTCAGTGAACTGTCTTGTGCTGGCTACCGCTGGATCGTTCTCTTCGCGTGCTTCTCGTGCGGCAGCGTAATTGGGTGGTGTCTGCATTGTCGACCTCGTACTTTGTTGGGTGCTTGGGATCAATCCTCGGATTGGTATTGTCGTTGGGGTCGTCACCGCGATGGGCGGAATCGTCGTCTGACGCGCCTCCGGTGTGATCCCCCTTGTCTGCGCTAGATTGGGCGCCGCGATGTTACCGTTGGTGATCTTCAGCAGAAAGTCCGGTTGGTTCACTCGTCTGCTGAATTCTTCGTACTTTGACACTGCTCTGTCGATCTGATTCTGGTCCCATGGCGTGAAGTCCTCTGCGGCTACTGTCGCTGCGAGTGTCTCGTGGGCCTTTCGCCTTGCCCCTTGGGCTGGCAGAACGCCTCGGCAGTGGAGGAATCTGTTCACCTCCTTGACGACACCGGGATTAGCGCTGGCGAACCATTCATCTTTCCAGTCGCCTAGGTCGTCTACGACTCTGTAGAACAGGGGTTGCCCTTCGAGCCCCTTGCGGGCGTACATCTCCATAATGAAGACTAACGCCGCATCAATTTGCTCGCCATTGGGGTGGTCTGAGTCTCGATATGACCATTTCCCCCAGTACTCCGGATTAATCTCAACCCAATCTTCTGGGATGGGAGTCCTTCCGCGCGTTCTGCGTGCTGACTCGCCCCCTGTCGTCCCTTGGCTTGTGCTTCTGTTTGTAGGGGCCGGCGTGTTTGATCTTGATGGGGATGTGTCAGATCCGCTTGTTGGTCGTGGTAGCAGCGCACTGTCGTCGCTCGCCGTGTTTGTCGGGGTCTGGGAGCTTCCCGCGGCCTCCAACCTCCTTGCGGCGAGCCTCGTCACCATCTGCTCTTGGTCTTCTGAATTGGCCGCCATGTTTCTTGTTGACGGTTTTCTCTTCCTGTGGCGTACCCTATCGTATAAGAGAGGTCTTCCGGTGGCCCTCTCTTCGTGTTCTCTCCTCAGACGTCTTCTTGGCTTTCTCCCGTGCCAACTGGGGCAACAGGCTCTTTCTTTGCCTTCGTAGCTCGGCGAGGATGTGTAGTCTGAAGAATTGGGTACCTCACACCCCTTTACGGGGTGAGCGTTGTGATGCTTCTGAATCCCTTCCTTCCTCGTCTCAACTCCGCCTGGCTCTTATTCCTTCGGAACAGCCGAGGGGTGGTGGGTGTAGGTGAGAAGGGGAAGCTTGACCTTGGAATCTCGAAGTCGGTCTTGATGATGGCGATATCGCCGTCGATCCCGGTAGCCTCCTCGGATTCGACCAAGAAATACGCCTGGAGCTACCGGCGGGGTCTGGTTCCTACCTGAACACCCTATTGCCTTGAAAGTTTGTTTCTGTGGTCCTGAGGTGCCTTTTTATATCCTCCAATTGGGCCTGTTTCGTCGTACGGTCGAGATCTGCGGTGGATTTGCCAATCTGGCGAATCTGGTGATTTCGCTTGTTTTCCTCTGTTGGCGTACGGGCCGCCCGTGGATTGTTGAGTAGGACAAATCGCGTGAGGGCGACGTAGGTAGCTTGGTCGCCTTCTCGCGATTCCTTCAATTGCGGTTTGTTTTTGACGTGATGGACGTCGACCTTTCGTGGGCAGTCAAGGGCTGCGATTCCTCTACTTCGTTCCGTCGTAGAGATTCGCGTCTTGTCGCCTGCTTTCCGTCGGGTAGGTAGCACGATTCTCCTGTCGCGTTCCGTTCGAGGAGGTCGTCTCTTCTGCTTGCGAGATGCCTTGCTGATCTGCGATAGTGGGATTTAACCACTGATCAGTGTTGGTATTCCTATCACAGGGATGGTTCGAACCGTGGGTGACGAAGAGGTCAAAATCTATATATATTTAACTTCTGCGTAAGGTGTAAAAAGGAGGTTCTAACCGGAGGTTGGGTAGACCGTAGATCTCGTAAGTATGGTCTGTAAGTGGCCCCTGCGCGGGCCCCTTGCCTCGAGGTCGAATTGGACTTCCAATCCGACAGCGGAAGTCAGTAGATGCTCCCGGCGTACCTTACGCACCTATGACAAGGAAGCTGTCATAATGGGACACAAAATTGAGTCAAGAGGTAGGTCCGCTAGGACCACCTCAGGGGCAGATGTCAACGAGGACGAAGACTTCTAACTTCCCCTGTTTCTTCACGCACAACCCTCAGCAGTCAATGCGATCTTCGCTGCCTATCTTTTTTTGTTACGAAGATAACAGCTAGTCTTCTCTCTATCTCCCTTCTTTCTCTGACATCCTACTTTGTGAATACAGTCCGTACTCTAAGTAAGTGATCACCCAGTAAATCAAGTATGGTTATTGTGATGAGCAGGGAGCATCTGATACATTGCTTTCATTTCCAACATTAGAAATGAGCGTACAAGCTGACATGATCTGAAGAGGTCGACCTGCATTAGCTATTAGAGCACAGGTGTCATTATTGTCCGACCATCGTCATGAGGCTACTTGGTACTGAAATACATGTACTATTAGATAGCACGCAAAGACAGACTTCGGCGCGGCAAAGTGCATCAAGTCTCATACCTCGCCGTTATGTGTGCCGTCGCTGCATTTGTGAGACCCGAAGATCTCCCGACCTCGCTGTAGTAGAGAGACTTCAACATCACACGTACGCGTGTCATGCGAGTTGCAACGACAAGGGTGGATTTCAAGAGACGGCCGAAACTCCCCGGGTCGGCACATCCCCTGTCATTACCCAGGCGCTCTTGGAGCCTTGGTGTCTTTTCCGAGCTGGATGATTCTACTCGAGTATTCTCACTGCTCTGAGAACGCGGGGTTGGGAGATAAGACGGGGATTCTTCAACCTCCAATCTCCACTGAGGTTCGTAGATCCCCCGCACCCCGCGTCGCAACGGCCCATCTACTCTGGGGATGTCCCTTACCCGAAGCCTGGATTATGTGCATCCTCTTGGTCCGACGACGCACTACCCGCCAGAGCTCGTTGTTCCCGAGGAATACGGCTTTTGGCAACGGGAAAACGTCGGCAGAAATGAACCGCCGAGTACCCCTGGTCAGGTGGACATCGCGTGTTCAACGTGCCATTCGCCGATACTCCACGGACCTGACTTCCGAAGACCTCTATGAAACAGGTTCTCAAGTTGGTTGTGGAGGGCGCTTGGAACTGCCAAAGTCTAAAGGAACTCGTACTCATGGAGTCGAGAGAGACACTTAAGACTATGAGTCGCGCAAAGAAACCAATGTTTTGTCAAAGGATCTCCTCGGTTTACCTTTTCCCTCATTGTGGGACCCATTCGCTACGTCTGTAGTCTCACGATACTGGTACAAGTCTTTATGTTTCGCCTCTGACTTGTAGCCACTATGTTCGGAAGATCGAAACCTTCTGCTAAGAACCTAGGCATCAGCCCAGAACTCGCCGCCGTCCTCCCAGACGATGGAATAGCGTGGTATAAACAACGGCATCTAATAGGCCTTAATTTCTACTGCATCTTTCTCGTCCTGCTCTGCGCAGCGAACGGCTACGATGGCTCAATGATGAATGGTCTCTTGACTCTACCTCAATGGCAGACATTCATGGACTCCCCCAAGGGATCGTGGCTCGGGTTCATCAACGCCGTCCAGTCACTTTCAACTATGCTTGCGTACCCTTTGGTAGCATACTTCGCAAACCGCTGGGGTCGGAAGAAAGGACTGTTTATCGGATACGCTTTCCTGTGTATTGGTTGTTTTCTCCAGGCGTTCTCGCCCAACAAGGCTGGATTCATCATCGGTCGTGTCATCATCGGCCAGCCGAGCGCCTGGTGGGGTTGTCTTGCGCCTGTTCTTATTACGGAGTTGGCGTACCCGACGCACCGGGGAATCCTGACGGCGTAGGTGCTGGCTCTGAACATGATACTTCAGATTCGTTAAGAAGAGAATGCTAAAAGATAGTGTCACAGGCTTTACAATACTGGGTGGTTCGTTGGATCAAGCTTGGCGGCGTGGGCGACCTTCGGAACCCGAAATTACGATAACAGTTGGTCTTGGCGTATTCCGTCATTGCTACAGATCGCCATCCCGCTACTCGTACTTCCCGCCGCTATTCTCGTTCCAGAGTCGCCCCGTTTTCTCGTCTCAAAAGGTCAGGCTGAAGAAGCTCGCAGCATATTGACCAAGTTTCATGGCGGGGGGGACCGAAACTCTATCCTTGTGGACTTCGAGATGACCGAGATCGAGCGAGCCATCGAAGACGATGAGATGGCGGCTAAGAGCTCCTCATGGTTGGAAATGTTCAACACACCTGGAAACAGACATAGAGCCTTCATCTCCATGTCGCTGGGCTTACTTGGACAGTGGGCTGGGCAAAACATCGTGTCGTATTACCTCGGGGCGGTACTAGACACAATTGGTATCACCTCTGTCACGGATCAAACGCTCATCAACGGTTGTCTGCAAATTTGGAACCTCATCCTGGCCGTATCAGCTGCTCTCTCGGTCGACCGAGTAGGTCGTCGGCCGTTGTTCCTCGTCAGTTGTGGTGGAATGTTCGTCAGTTTTGTCGTCATTACTGGCCTTTCTGGTAGCTTCGATGCTACTGGGGCACCATCGGTCGGTGTGGCAGTGGTCCCGGTGTTGTTCATATTTTATGGGTTCTACGACATTGCCTTGTAAGTTGACGACGCAACACAACGGAAGCATGTGACCTGCTAATCACATCATGAGCAGTACGCCTCTAATGGTATCCTACCCAGCCGAGATCTGGCCATACGAACTGCGTGCACGAGGAACAGCTCTGACGCAAATGACCACATACTTGGGAATCTTCTTCAACGTTTTTGTCAATCCGATCGCACTCGAAGTCATTGGATGGAAGTATTACATAGTTTTTGTCGTGATTCTCTTGATCGGTTGGATCACCATTTATTTCTTTTACCCAGAAACCCGCGGTCATACGTTGGAAGAAATGGCGGTCGTCTTCGACGGTGAGTCGGCAAGGGTTACTGATGTTGCATATGAAGGAGATGTCAAGAACGGGACGGCAGCTCAACACGAAGAGAATGCTTAAAGCAAACGACTCGAGGGAGAGATCCTCCTGCAGAAAATGTTGTCAGGGCATTGTGATTCCATATCACGCAGTTCTTGCAAGAATATACGAACAAGACTGTTCAAAAACTTTGATCTTGATCAAGTCAGATAGAAACAGTTGGTTTGCTGCTTACGTTTTTTTCGGTTGAGATCACGGCGACTTGGCCTTCAATCAGAACATTACGAATAATCCAATTCCAGAGCCCATCATTGCTTGCCACAAACACGAATGATCCAATCAGTATTAGCTTCTCTACCCCTAAAGTATTCTCGAGGGGATTCTGAACTAGAGTTCACTGACTAATCTGACCAGTACCCTTCGCACGCTTCTGAACCGGACACGTCAGAATCCTCAATCGTCCGAAGTTCCGCCGCCATTTATCGTTGAATCAGACTCAGACTGGAGCAACTGCACTTCTGGACTATCATGGAAGTAGCGTTTCATTGCCAATATCGGGATCTTAGCAAATCATGACGTAAACCCGATGTTCTTGCTGAGGCGGTGGTGCGAAGATTGGGCTCACTTTACCTTGTCCGAGCTGCTCCGAGCAGGGCAGGGACGGAAAGTTGTTGCCAACAAGGTATTGGACTTTTCATCAAGGGGCAATGAGAAACGAGATTGAGTGAGGGCAAGAATAGGCGATTTTCCACAGGAGTCTCCTTGCATTGAAATGCCAGAGTCGCCAAATTAAGCATATGGTATTTTTCATTAGCGATGACGAAAATCCCCCTTTCCGCTGCCGGAACAATAACAGCGTTTCCACGTGCGTTGCATTTTCTGCGTCATTGGCCTATCTCATGAACCCTGTATCCCTGGCTCTCACAAACCACCCCGCACCAACTCGTAACAGTGGCACCGCGGATCCCTGGATTGCAATGCAAGATCTCCAACCTGATCTTTTCTCGTCGTGCCCATCCAATCTTCGTGTCAGAGCTCTTCACGCCTGTACCTATGCCGAGCCTCCCTCCCTGTTGGCAGTCCCCGCCACAACAAGATGGACGTTTTTCTCAGGCCCCTTTCCCTGTAGGAGACGGCCTACCTTGATAGACTGAGGCGGTGTGGGTTTGCCACAGTTCACATACATACAAAATACTCCAAGTGCGTGGCGTGTTTCTTCGGCGCTAGCTCATCTCTAGAGCCGACGATTTATGATCTATCTTCACGACAAATAGCTTTGATTGATACGCGGCATCAATGTCGAGCAAATATTTTCTCAGCCTTGCGGCTTTGTCGGTCTTGGGCAATGCTGCTGTGACCGGCTCCCGCAGTTTCAGCTCCAGCGCCCTGAGCTTAAGGGAAGTTGGTGCCCGTAACACAGAGGTAACTAATCCCAGTGACGACTTTAGCCAAAGGTATCCTGAGTAACTGCTGAACACGCGACTTCAGGACTGGAGGATATGGCTCGAAAAAGACGGTGATCCCATTTCCTTCTGGCATGATGTGCCAGTTTGGCCGGATGAGAGCAACAAGCAAGTGGTGAATCTTGTCGTCGAAGTACCCAGGTGGCAGGACGGCAAAATTGAACTCAAGAGAAGCGAGCCATTGAGTGAGTACTTATCCTTTGGTAGAAGAAAGTTTCGCAGGCTAATGGTTCCTCCTCTTCCAGATCCTATTGTTCATGACTCCTTGAATGGCGCTCCCAGATACGTGGAGAATGTGTGGCCACACAAATCGTATCCTTTCATCTACGGGTCTATTCCGCAAACATGGGAAAGTCCGAATTATAACCACTCTTTTACTAGCCTGCTAGGCGATAACGACCCTGTAGACCTCTTCGACATCGGTCAGGAGTAAGTCTCAAGGGAAATCCGGCTTCATCAGGTCCCATGTTTGATCAAGGCTAAGAGGCTGACTTCGCATCTAGCCGTGGTTACGTCGGTCAGGTGAAACAAGTTAAGATTCTTGGTGGCCTTGCCTTGGCTGATGTAAGTCAACTATGCATTGCATCGTCAGCCCCCCGTGTGAGGTGTACTAATAGGGTATTGCCACAGGGTAACGAAACGGATTGGAAAATTCTTGGCATCGACGTCAAGGATCCCATGGCGTCCATTATCAACTGTGAGATCATTTGCAAGTTCAAGAGACAGAGTTCTATGAGCTTACTTATTCAAAGCTTTCGAAGATGTCGAAAAGTATCGCCCTGGGACCATCAAGACATTCCGAGACTGGTGGACTGTGAGTCTTCTTCTCACATCGCATGATGAAAGACCCCACTGACTAGTCTGCAGCACTACAAGGTAGCCCGTGGCGATCCAGTCATCAACATCATCGGTGACTGGTATCAGAATGTCACCTATATGCAAACCGTCGTTGAGGAAAGCCACAGGACCTGGGCAGAGTTGATCAGAGGGGAGGTCGACTCCAATGAGATCAATTACAATCAGACATCCCAGCCGGATGTTGAAAATAGCTTTGTAGACAAAGCAACGACAACTGCGAAGTTCCATATCCCAGCAAAGAGCAGAATCGAGCCTGCTGCCCCGAGGCCGGAAAAGGCTGATGGCTGGTATTACCTGGATAGCGACGCCAACTTGATCAATGTCCCTCAGACACAAGAAACCTTTCTCAACAGGCAACAGGCATAGCGTCTTCTTTGAACAGGAATTAATTTTCTTCGAAGTGGATGGGACATAATCAGTGTCTGCCTTTCTTTCAGCGTCATCGTCATACTTGGTGGGTTCATTGTTTCGTCAAACAGGTAGAAATAACGAGTAATGAAATGAGAGAGAGCACAAACACCTTGCCAGTTCTTCATTTACAGAGTGTGCAACTTTCTTTTTGTTCTTCCGACACTTTTCATGAGATCCGGCTCTCTGACTCGCACCTTCCTCCGTGGAGTCTTCAAGCCCGAAGACCCACAAAATCCCGCAGCCCTACGGAGGTGCGTCTCAATAGTCCTTGCAGTTGCTGCCAAGACCAACCCCTGCCATAGACAGGGGAGTCGATAAGGGGCTGGCTAGGGTGTATACAAGCAGCAGAATTCGGCCACTTCCACCCACTATAATTATCGTCAATTCAGTAATAAAAAGTCGTCAATTAAGGTTAATTAATAGTCGTTTAACAGTATAATCTAGCCCGACGACCCTCTTTATATTTATTACCGCCCTTTAAGGCAATTATCTACTAGATATAGTAAGGTACCCTTTCTATCTATTTCTAAATCTCCTCTTACGGTAATACTTTCTAGTACTCTTACCAATAACGTATTATTTCGGCCCATAATAAAGGCGCCCCCTTCTTAGTAGTCTATCTCTTTATCTACGGCCAGCAAGGTTTAATAGGATTAAGGTCGGGCAAATTACCTAGCTAAAGAAGCTTCGTAATCTTGAAAAGGCTATATATATAGTAAGTAAAGTGATGGTCGTAAGCGGGTACCTTATCCTCTTATATAATTAGATTACTAAGTAATCCTTTAATATAAGGGAATAATTTAGGTAATAGGATCTCTTTACGGTATCTATACTAGTTAATTCCGCCCTTACCGTTCTATATTAACTTGCCCAACTTTATATTCTAATTAAATTAGGGTTTACGGCCCGGTTAATTTTATAAACCTATTCGCTCCATACTACTCTCGAGCTCTTATTATTGACGTCGAACGGGCTCGAGCTCTACGTTAAGCTCGGTAATTACTACGTCGGCAGCCTTCTTCTTAACAGCAGTCTTGGGAATCTAATAATAGCACGGCCTTTTCGAATTATATAAGAAAGACCCCTAAAATATAAATTCGGAATAACCCTTCTACCTCTCTCGTATATACTACCTAGAGTAGGCCTCGTCTAGGTAATACTAGAGCTTATAATTACCGCAGTAGTAATTAAGGGTAACCGTAGTCTTGTCTAACTATATAACCCGCTTCTAATTATTAAGGGTCTAGTATTAATAATCGAGGCACTATTTAAGTCGCTCTTACCGTATCCTTTTTATTAAGCCTAGTTTATAGTTTAGTTTAGTTTTATAGAAGCTATAACGACAAAAGATTCGCTAAATAGTTATTATAAATACGTTAACGCCCTCGTCCCTTAATAGGTCCCTAGCAATATCAGTATAGTTCTTTTTATACCTATACTAGTCGCGGCAGACTTTATAAATAACGGCATCGTTAACCTCTTTTATCTATTTAGTTAGACGGCCACTTTAGGGGGCATCTTTGTAATAGACGGGCTTAATCAAGAAGGTAGGAGCAGTTAGGTCGAATCCGTTCTTTTTTATACAGGCAAGAACGTTGTTACGACCCAACACATATGACGAGGCCAGGGTCTCGCCCCACAAGGCCTGCGGCGGCTACCACACCATATATGCGGAGGAACGGATTCAGGGTGACTCCTCTCGGGTCGGAAGAACTATGGACAAGTCACGTGATGATAAGAAGGACCGACGGACGATAAGCGGTCCATGGACAGGACCGACGAGACAAAGGCGGTCCACCCCTGTAGGACCGACATCGTGATATCGGTCCCAACCACAAAGGAACTGTTCAGATAGTATACGGGACTTGTATATAGGATGGACTTGAGCCGGGCTCAAGGACAGACTTTCCATAGCTTCTTCAGCAATCAACTTAGTATCAGATCTTGCGATCACTTTCAGCTATCTTCACTGAGAACCCTTCTGACAAGACTACGATTGATCACCGAAGCCTTACCTACCTCACGACTTACAGACATAGCTTCAGGGAAGCTATCCACGACTACGACACGCTGTTTATTAGTATCGCAGCCTTAACTTCTGCAAACATACTCACTACGACTAGCTGGCCGTAACACTTTGATTGCTCCTGTTCAGTAAGTTCACTCTACGAAAAACTAACCAAACAGTACGAACATGTCGACCGTCAGCAGCAGCGGCACCACGCAGCCCGCGAAGGCAGCTGCGCCAACCATTCAGCAGTTACACGACATGATACTCACTCTCAAGAGTGAGAACGAGCAGCTTCATGCTCAACTCTTGGCACCACGACCTCCTTCTGTGCCTAGAGCCAAGTACCCTGAACCGGAACCCTATGACGGGTCCCCGGACACCCTTCAAGGATTTCTCACACGAACCAGGGCCTACATGCGCTACTACGGAACCTCCTTCTCTACTGAAGCAGATAAGGTTCACTACGCAGCTTCATTCCTTAAGAAGGATGCCCTCGCCTGGTTCGAACCTTCTATGAGAGACCACCTGGAGAACGAACGCAAACTCCAGGATGACGATACGAAGAAGATCTTTGACGACTACGAAGAGTTCGAGAAGAGACTCAAGGAAACCTTCGGCAACCCCGATGAAGAACGAATCGCCGAACGGAAACTCATGACTCTCACTCAAAAAGCCTCAGCCAGCAAGTATGCTTCGGAATTCCGACAGACTACCTCCAAACTTGATTGGGGTAACGATGCACTCATGGCAGCCTTCTATCGCGGCTTGAAAGAGGAAGTCAAAGACGAACTCTCCCGACAGGACCGACCGGACGAACTCCATGAATACATCGACATGACGGTCAAGATCGACAACCGACTCTACGAACGACGCCTTGAACGTAAAGGACAGAACATTTGGGGCAATCGACCCAAACCCAATGTTGGACGCAAGTACAGACCAACAACCACCGCAAGCGGATATCACAGCGGACCTATGGATCTCATTGTTGCTAAGAAAGAGCAACCCCACCAGAAGAAGGAATTCAAATGCTACAACTGCGACAAAGCCGGACACATGGCAAGAGACTGCCGACAACCTAAGCGTATCCAACACCAACCTGTTCCGGAAAAACGAGCCAATCTCGCGATCAAAGAGGTTCCTCATGTACAACTATCGTGGACAGCCTGCTACGACGACAGCTGTCTCACGCACCAAGACAGCAAGGAACAAACAGGATGGTACCCTAAGAAACCTAAGAACAAAGGTCGATCAGGATACGACACCACACCACCACCAGTCAAGACCCTAGCGGTAGCAAGAAAGGAAGAAATCCCAACCAAGTCCATCTGCATGATGAGACGAGAAGACGGAAACAAAAAACTCATTCGCAAGGTCAAAGAACAACTCGAAGACCTATCACGCGAAGACAGAATCGAAGTCATCAAGAGACCAGACCTTGACTTCGAAGAAGTTGAAGGAAGAATCGACTTCCGAATCAACGAAGAACCACAGGCTGGTTCTAGCAGCTTCGTCTTTGGCGAAGACTCACCTTACGATTCAGACGAATTTCATGAGGTCGCACGACGACATACTCAGACGGAAACCAGTCAAGGATCCTGTCCTAGCATTGACGATACCAGCTCTGAAGAAGATTCCGATGAACCAAGATACAGAAACATCGATCCGCTCGATGACGAACAAACCCTACAGTTCTATGGAACAAGGGAACCCAAGAAAGTGTCAATGACACCCCGAACCAAGAAGGATCACTCTCTACTCGACACCAAGGATGTGTTCCATAAGGAGTTGTTCTGGGCAGAGTGCCTGGACGACAAATGCCTTTGGCACCTATCACCCAAGAAGGACAATCAGTTCTACCCACGAAGACGCGACAACCAACCCATCAAGGACGTCTACGTCGACGACCAATTGCCGAACTGGATGCTCATCCACTTTGACAAAACCGACAGAGCGACCTTCGGACCAGACCCAAGCTTTCCCATGAGTTGCCAACACAACCAGGACATGGACTGGCACGAGTGCAGACACGACCAATGCCAGATCCACTACATCTACAAGACACAAGCATGGAGAGAACGACAAGAACTAGTCGAACAAGAAGACCGACTGAGGAAGAGAATGACAAAAAACTAAGAAAGCCAATCGCGAAGGAACGACGAGAGGCAAACATCAAAGACAAGTTCCTATGCGTAACCAGACAACGCAACGACGCACACCTATTAGTTCCACTCGACATACGTGGACGAAGACTGCGCGCTATAATCGACAGCGGCGCACAAGAAAGTTACATGTCACCAAGAATAGTGAATGAACTCGACATACCATGGGTATGCAAAGATAACCCATACCGACTACAAAACGTAGAAGGAGAAAGAGTTGGCTACGATGAAGGATATGTCCATCGAGAGACCGTACACCTCTCGACAATTATCAACAATCATCAAGAGCAACTACGATACGACATCACGGAGATTGGAGACATCGATGTCATCCTAGGAATCTCGTGGTTACGAAAATACAACCCATGGATAGACTGGACAACTGGCCAAGTTCAGTGGGGAAATTCAGTCACTGAACGACCTAAAAGAAAGGGTTCAAACGAATTCATCGCGACACCTGAAAAACAAAAACGAACACGATATATAGCCTTCATCAAAGCAGTAGAAAATCACAGGAATTTCGCACCGGGCACCGACGATCAGGGATCGCAACGACTCCAGACTATACCCAAGGAGTACCGGAAATACACAAGACTGTTCATGGAACCTGAAGAAACAGGATTACCAGAACACAGCAGCTGGGATATGGAAATCGAACTCAAGGAAGGAACACAACCTGGGTTCTTCCCAATATACCCCATGAATCAAGAGGAACAGGAATACCTCAACGAATACATCGACGAAAAACTCGGTAAGGGACATATTCGACCGTCGAATTCTCCCGCAGGAGCACCCCTATTCTTTGTACCAAAGAAAGGCAAAAAGAAACCAAGACCTGTTATCGATTACAGGAAACTCAACGAAATCACGAAGAAGAATTGCTATCCTCTACCCCTCATCACTGAACTCAGGGACCTATTGCACGGAGCCAGTTGGTTCACTGCAATAGACCTCAAGGAAGCATTCAACCAAATTCGAATCAAAGAAGGAGACGAATGGAAAACGGCGTTCCGAACTCGCAGAGGACTCTTCGAATACCTCGTTATGCCCTTCGGACTCACCAATGCGCCGGCAACCTTTCAAACAATGGTCAACCATGTACTCCGGGAGTACGTTGACATCTTTGTTGTCGTCTATATCGACGACGTCCTCATCTTCTCTCCCGACCTCGAAACACACAAAAAGCATGTCCACATGGTATTTCAGAAACTCCAGGACGCCAAACTATACGCCGAACCCACCAAATGCGAGTTCCACGTACAGAAGGTGGATTTCCTTGGATATACTATTACGCCAGGACAAATTCACATGCAAGCCTCAAAGGTGGAAGCCGTCAAGGACTGGCCTACACCACAGAACGTCAAGGACGTGCAAGGATTCTTAGGATTCGTCAATTTCTATCGACGATTCCTCAAAGACTATGCCAACATTGTCAGACCTCTCAACAACTTAACACGAAAGGATAACCCATTCGTCTGGGACTCCAAGTGTGAAGAGGCGTTTGTCAAAGTCAAGAACATGGTCGTCTCCGAGCCAGTAACTATGATCCCGGACCCCCGAAAACCTTTCGAAGTCGAGACCGACGCCTCGGACTTCGCCATGGGAGCTGTCCTAGGACAACGAGACGAGCAAGGAAAACTTCACCCATGCTGCTTCTACTCCAAATCATTCCATGGAGCAGAGCTGAACTGGCAAATACACGATAAGGAATTGATGGCCATTATCGAAGCATTTCGAGAATGGAGGCCACAGTTATCCGGAACCAAACATGAAGTTACAGTCTATACAGACCACAAGAATCTTGCAAACTTCACGACGAACAAGAACCTGAACAAGCGACAAGTCAGATGGAGCGAATTCCTATCGGAATACAACTTCCGAATCATCTATCGAAAAGGTTCAGAAAACAGTAGAGCAGACGCTCTCAGCAGAAGACCTGACCACGAAGTCACGGTCCCCGAGGAAACACAAGTTATCCTCAAACAAGAAAAGGACGGTAGCCTTGTACCAACTACGAAGCTTCTTATGCTAGCCAGAAAGATCAATACCAGCCCGACTGGAAGAATGACCCCTGAGCTCATCATGGAAATTCATAGTGCACCCGCACATGGCCACCAAGGAGTTACCAAAACATGGAAACGGATTCGACAACACTATGACAAATCCGCTACACGCGCTGAAGTTGCAGACGCAATCAAGGATTGCGCGATCTGCAAGAAAAGCAAGAACAGCCCGCACAAGCCTTATGGCGAGCTGCAACCATTGCAACCACCCACGGAAGCATGGCAATCGGTTACATGGGACTTTATCGTCAAATTACCAAAGTCCAAAGAACCACTCACGAATGTATGGTACGACAGCATCTTGGTTGTAGTCGACCGACTCACCAAGTTCGCCCACTTCATACCCTACAAAGAATCCAGCAGCGCAGAGGAATTAGCGTACACGTTCCTCAAAAACGTTGTTGCCAACCACGGCAGGCCGAAAGAGATCATCTCTGACAGAGGCTCTCTGTTTACTTCAAAGTTTTGGAGATCTCTGATCTCGCAACTTGGTACAGATCACAAACTGTCAACCTCTTTCCACCCGCAAACCGATGGTCAGACAGAAAGAATCAATCAGATTCTCGAAACATATCTCCGTTGTTATGTGAACTACGATCAGAACAATTGGGTAACATTGTTACCAATGGCCCAATTCGCATACAACAGTGCAGTTGGCGAAAGCACAAGAGAATCTCCGTTCTACCTGAACTACGGATTCCAGCCAACAGCGTATGGAGAAGCACGACAAGGACCACAAGCTGTGAAAGCAGTAGCAGACGTGGCGAAACTCAAGAAAATCCAAGAAAAAGCGTCCTTGGATCTCGAGTTCGTGCGCCAACGTATGAAGAAAAACGCGGATAGATCAAGGATTGGAGGACCAACCTTAGAAGAGGGAGATAGCGCCTATCTTCTTCGCCGCAACATCAAAACGAAACGACCAAGCGACAAATTGGACTACAAAAAACTTGGACCTTTCGAAATCATTCAGAAAGTCTCAAACGTCAATTACAAATTGAGACTCCCAGACACAATGAAGTGTCATCCAGTCTTTCACATTTCACTTCTTGAACCAGCACCCAAGGGTTCGCACACAGAAGACCACATCATCGTGGAACCAAACGAACCAGAATACGAAGTCGAACGAATCATCGACCACAGGGTCAGGAATGAAACACGAGAATTCCTGATCAAATGGAAAAACTACGGACACGAGGAAAATACATGGGAACCCATCACGAACCTCCAGAACTCCCGGCAACTCCTTGAGGACTATCGGAAGACTGCACCAACGGACCCAAAGACGAGAACTCATCGCCAATCCCGAAAGTAGACCAGTCCACATCATTTGGAACTTGCATAAACTGCAACTCCTCGACCATTCCACGCTCATGAGCATCCAACGCGGACTCCAGAGCGTCAGATTCATCCATCTCTTGCATTCCACGACGAAAGGTCTCGGCTTGACGCTCACGCACCAACCTCCGAGTTTTCCGAATGCGGGACAAACGACCAGCGGCAGTAGCCATCAACGACTGAAGACGGGCCAACTCCTCATGAAGCTTCAATAGCTCCTCACCCGCCTTCTCCTCCCTTTCATCCCATTCTCTCTGCTGGGCATTGAGTTTTTGAACTACGAAAGAACGTTAGAAGATACAAAAAAAGGTGACGAATGAACTCACGAGTCGAAGCCACCAACACCCCGTCGCAAGACTTCTTCGCCTCAACACAAGTCCGACAACGAGAAGAACCTTCACCAAACCGACACGGGACCTTCGCACGGAAACAACGAGTGCAAGGCATATCGGCGACAACCGAACGAGCTTCGATAAATTCTAAAAGAGCAAGGCGCTCACGATCCTTTATCTCTGTCTTTCTGGACTTTGCTTTGGAATTCGATTTTTCAATTCGACCTGACATTGTGTCAGCACATTTCGACGAAACACTTGACGATTCCCCAACCTGGGAATGGACGACCTACTTATAGGCCTAGAGGACTAGACCTTTGAGAGGAGGAGCTGATGTTACGACCCAACACATATGACGAGGCCAGGGTCTCGCCCCACAAGGCCTGCGGCGGCTACCACACCATATATGCGGAGGAACGGATTCAGGGTGACTCCTCTCGGGTCGGAAGAACTATGGACAAGTCACGTGATGATAAGAAGGACCGACGGACGATAAGCGGTCCATGGACAGGACCGACGAGACAAAGGCGGTCCACCCCTGTAGGACCGACATCGTGATATCGGTCCCAACCACAAAGGAACTGTTCAGATAGTATACGGGACTTGTATATAGGATGGACTTGAGCCGGGCTCAAGGACAGACTTTCCATAGCTTCTTCAGCAATCAACTTAGTATCAGATCTTGCGATCACTTTCAGCTATCTTCACTGAGAACCCTTCTGACAAGACTACGATTGATCACCGAAGCCTTACCTACCTCACGACTTACAGACATAGCTTCAGGGAAGCTATCCACGACTACGACACGCTGTTTATTAGTATCGCAGCCTTAACTTCTGCAAACATACTCACTACGACTAGCTGGCCGTAACAAACGTCGTAAATAGTTCGAACTAGAATTTCTAGAGCCTAAGAGACCTATTCAATAGTCTACCTAATAAATCGATTTTGTAGAGTAAGAATTACTGCCCTAACGCCTAGATCTAGCTTCTTCTTTATCGGTATCTTAGGATCCATACTAAGGAAAAAAGAGTAACGTAGTAAGTAGCGATTTAGCGGTTTTGATATTATTATAAGATTAATAGTAATATTATAATAGCGGTATATAGGGTAAAATCGTTGCTATGGGCAGTACTGGGGGGAAAGTAAGTAAAGTGGGTCAAGATCAATCCCTAGGCTCTTATTGGTTCAGATGGGCAGTAATTGTGGGTCTGGGGCTTGGCAGCGACTGCAATGACTATTGAGACGCACCTCCGTACCCGCGAGCTTATTTCTGACTTTCCCGATGTGACACCTTTCCCGCCTATCTTCAACGTCGTTCCTTTTTTCTCGCACTATTGCCATACCGCACTTCAAGTATCTGGACAAACCTCCACGCTCTCTAGCCCGCGCATCCAAGATCAAATATTTATCGCGGCGAACTCGTCGCATATTTGCGGTCAGGTTTAAAAGACTGCGGAAAATTTTTATGCGACAAACGAGACCTCGCCTATGAGTCAAGCATACCTTGCCTACTATTAACACCCGCCAACTCACACTGTCGCCCTTCAGCATCCACACTAAGACGTCACTTATCATGGATATCTCGACCGGCCATTCGGGAGACCTCGAAATGGATATGGGCAATAACCAATATCCGATCCATTCTGGTGTACCTCCCGTTGCCTCGCTCTTCGGGGCAGGACTAGCCACATCACAACCGGTGATGACCCCAGTCCGCGTCCCAGGAGACACATCGACAGTCAATTTGATCCAGGCAGGAACGATGCAGCAAAGGGAGAGCCCGCGGGACATCAAGCAAGGTGCGCGCGGACTACCTCGCCGAAAGCCAAGCCGAGCGGAACCCTACATACGCCTCAAGAAATCCGCCAAAGTGGAGAAGCAGAAGTCAAAGAGGTGGAAAAGCAAGACCACTGACTCAAGACTTTCCTCCGAACTGGATCGCCTCCTCGTGGGCGACGACGCCTCAGAGAGCACTTCATATGGGGAATCGCCCATAGCGTACAAGGTTCAACATCCCTTGCGAGCCGCTCTGCAGAGTCTTCCCGGCTTTGCGTTCGGCGAAGAGCTGGACAGCGTCATATTTGGAAAGCATCGCCGCGTCTTGTTTGGCCTCGCGGATATCATGGAGCAAAGCGGACGTGACGCAATCAAAGTTTGGCTTGAAGAGTTCCTCTTGCTTGCTTTTCAGACGATAGAAAACATTGTCGCACGCCATCCGCAGTTCAACGATATGGACGACGTTCCGATGGGCTTTGTTATCCTAGCCAGAGAGATGGAGTCGACTTCTGACAAGTCACCGGCATCTCGAACCTTTTCGCGAGCACGGAGAACCATGGAGAGACGGCTTCGTCAAAGCTACGACTTGCGAAGGCTCATTGAGTGGGTCATCGACGCTCGTCAACAATTTCTAGAGTCGAAGCCCAAGCCCATGCCTGGGTTTGGGGTCTTTGGACAGGCTGTGGTGGAGGAGGGTACGGAGCTCGAGAAGAGGCTATGGGCAGCTGTTGATGCGCAGACGACTGGTACAGCAAGATATCCATTGTGTTGAGGTATGGTATATGATCAGAGAAGCACAAATATTCAGTAGCTTGGTTTATTAGAAAGGCACTATGGGGAGACATACTTCCATAGGGAAATTGACAAGCGCCTATTTCTGGATAGACTCACGACTGCGAACTCTTGTCTTTTCAGCATCGCCAACGCCGCCAGAAACTTTCTTAGCCACGCATCTGCCCGGATGCCAGATAGAAAGCAGAATTACCGCCAAGACCACAGGCGCAAATTCGAGCACGCCAAAGAAAACTTCGTTTGAGTAAAGATATCCCCCAAGACCCTCCGCAGTTTCGGCAAGACGGAAGCAGGTACGCAGATAAATCAGCAACGTCGCCGCTGAAAATACAGCCACGAACGTCTTAAGCCTGTGCTCCCTGATTGCTGTTCGAGCCCGGAAGAGGAAGATTGAAGTCGTGATAACGAAGCATCCGATCGAGAACACCTGGTAAGCGAGTCCTCCCAACAAAATGTTATTGGCCGTCGTTGGGTCCTCGCGTCGTGATTGCTTGACTCCAATCAAAGCGGCGCCCGAGATCTGCGTGATGGTCGCGATGGCGTCTGAAGTGATGAAGAACCACAAAACCAACTTAGGCGGCAAAGGCGAGAACTGTCGCCCGAGGCGGTTGATGAGTGCTGAGAGAATGGTGTAGATACCGGCTGCGAGGAATACCGGGGCCGTGACGATGAAGAAGTAGTTAAGAATGAAGTATATGAGATTATACGGGTTCGCTTTCGCGGAGAGGGAGCGGGCTACGTAGCCGACGATTTCGAATAGGAGGCCGATTGGGAATGTGACGAAGTACCAGCTGCGGTAGCGAATGATCTGCCAGATGTGGACGAGGAGTAGGAGGAAGAAGAGGACGTCGGCGAGGACTGTTAAGACGAAAGATGGGGTGTAGCCGTAGATAATGACTGGCGTGTTCCATTTTCCCCCAGGGTTGACGAAGTCAGGGTCGACATAGCCGTACGTGGCTGTGGCAGCAGTGTCAGTGGTGGATGTCGACGCGTGAGCGGTTGGATGTCTGCCTCACCTCTTGCTTCACTCATCGTTTCGTTCAGGAAGCCCTCGCCTAAAAGCGACGTTGGGTCTGAGACTTGGGTTCGGGTTGAAATATTGTGGACTAAGAGCTTGCACGGCACGAGAGAGACTGTTCTTGGATGGAAAGGCTGTCCTTTAACATCGGCGAAGTGGTCACTGAGGTATCATTTGACGGCAAGGGACGTGCTGCATATTAGACACATCGCTACATAAACGATCTGCCTATGGGTCTTGTTGACACGCAGATCGAAAATAACGGTTCGGAACGGTCTGCCAAGCTGAGACCTCGTGGCTTCTCATCCCTTTCCGGCACTAGTGGGTGGATCATGGAGGTTCGCAGAACATGCCCCTAGTCTTTAGCGATAGCATGTAAGCACTCTCGTTCCACATCAGCAACGACGACGGACACGTTTCAGAGGGAAGACATACTGAACATATGCCTCTGGGTCTAGCTCATCAAAGAAGGGCTGATATCCATGAATCATCATTCCGTATATCCTGGTTCCATCTTCAAGCCACATTCTTATTCAGACAAACCTGCATGAAATGCGCATGCTCCTTTTGGGCATCTATCCGGCTGGGAGCCTGAATCAAGCCCTCTCTCGGCCGACTTGCACACAAGAGCTCACCTTATTGGTCGGACCCAGTTGCCTTGGCTACTCAATAAGCATCTTTCGGTCTCCTTGGTGAGAAAAGCCCAACGTCAAACCTCGTGCTTGTGCGCCGAAGAACTTGATGTCTCTCAGTTCCCCAGCTGGGTTACCATGAAGGTGCTACGTGTAATTCACTATGAATACGCCGATTTGTCTATGGTCTAAGTGGCCCATCCGGCGAATTACTTGCCTTTTCCGTACTGTCCTCCGTGTAAGACCTCGCACCTCGGTAATGCCAAGAAGTCCGAGGTCCGGGGTTTTAGTGGGTCTAAAGGCCGTAGCGGCACTTGCTTCCGATGCGGCGCACAGCAGTGTCGACAAATAGAAATGAAAGGTTTCGGCTCGGTGGTTCAACCAATCTCATATGTCTGTTTTTCATACCTAGTACCTAGAATACGTCTGATGGTAATCAAAACCCCCCTTTGGCTTTGCTCTTTAAAGTGATAGATATGAGAGAAGAGAACTGCGTAATTGGAGAGCCGCTTGATCACTCCGATCATGTCCTTAGACTATGCCAGAACGCTGTCTATAGGATTGCTCCTTTTGTAGACTGTAGAAAGATTCATTTCTAAGCGCTTTCTCAACAGCCTCTGCGTCCTCAATCCCGATACGTATTGGATCGTTGAGCTGCTGCTTCTTCGTCAAGTACTCTGTCGCATGTTCATGTACTACTCAGCTACAGGACCAGGCTTTCAAATGGGTATTATTTCTATTATCTATATCTAATCATTATTTCATGTATTCTATGGTCATATGCTCATTATGTGTTCGACTCAGTGTTCAACAGCAAATGCCTCTCGTGCTATCTTGCTGCTCCGAGCGAGGTTATCGCCAAATTTGATAAAGATGAATGGGATAACACCCATGGCCAAGGCGATGAAGCCCAGAACCGATGGAGCCCAGTGAACTCCGAGGCTACCATACATCTTACCTGCTGCCAAAGGCAAGGTGATGGCTCCAATTGAGCGTGTCATGCTGGCCGCGGCATGTGCCGATGCCGAATATTGTCGGAAAACATCGGTGAGGTAGTTGATCATGCCCATGAAGAGCAGATTGAATCCGCAGCCAAAAAGTACGCCGCTGAACATGGGTAAAACGGGGGACGTAGACGGCCACACGGTCCAGCCAAGCCAAAATAGAGCAATGACCATCCTGAAGATGCAGGTGTTAGTTCTGGGTTTCTGTCATTGGCATATGAGATTGTGGATAGGTATACATACTGCGGAGCAGCAATGCATGCAAGAGGCAGCCTGCGATTAATCGGCTTCAGAGCCCACTTAACGCCGGCCTTGACTTGCTTGTCGTGATACCATGTCCATGCGGAGAAGATGGCAAGAGCAAAGAAAACTCCAAGGACCACTAGCCAGATATGTTAGTCCACCTTATTCGTTGTCAACTCTAGCATTGTGGGCGTCATCTCACCTGGCAAGAACGCAAGTCCAGCCATTCCGGGAGACATGCCATAGAATCCTTGGAAAATGACCGGGTATGCCTGAAATAGCAGGTAAAATACCGAGTACGCCATCGTGAGGTACACAGATGTCGCCATGAGGATTGGCTCGGTAAAGAGAAGCTTCATAGGTCGAAGGAAGATCTTGCGCACATTGAATGGCTGCAACTGCAGTTGTTGTTGCTCTTTGCCATCGATTACTCCCTTGTTTCGCTTCAGCTGCTTCTTGGCTGCCTTGTTGTGAAGGACAGGCGCATATGTCTCGGGCAGAGTGAGAACGAGAGGCAATCCGCAAACTCCGATGATACTAGCGATCCAGAAAGGCCATCGCCAGGACATCGGGGATGAGAAGCCCGAAACGATGGGTCCTATGAGTGGGCCCACAGTCGTGACTGTCATGTAAAGTGCCATTGCGTTTCCTCGAACGGCAGGGTTATCGAGAATGTCAGCATACAGCCCCCCGATGACAGTTGTTGGTGCTGCCGCGTTGATGCCGCACAGAAGACGGAAGACTAGTAGTGCCGGATAAGTTGGTGCTCCAGAGCATGCCAGCATGAAGACGATGTATCCGCAGTACGTGCCGATGAGCACCGGGCGTCTTCCAATGTACTCGCTCAACGGCCCAAACAGCAGAGGCCCAAGCACGTATCCGCACATGAACAGGGAGTTGAGAAGAATGAGGTGGACGCGGTCTGTAACTCCGAACTGTTCGCTGATAGCGTCAAGTGCGCCTGAAGGCATCGATGATCCGAGATTGCCACTGAACGTACAGGTGAAGCCGGCCACAACAATATGCAGTTTGCGCATCTGGGATTGATCGTTAGAAGGCAAGTAGTCTTGATAGAGCCATGTCAAGGTTTTGGACGATCCGTTCGACCAAATCTTCAGTCGAATCTTTGCTCCACGCAGAGGCCACTTACAGGTGACAACGTCGTGGCATCAAGGAGATCCTCCGTTGTTTCTTTCAAAGATGAGCCGTCAGAAGTGTCGCCGCTCCTCTCAACATCCGTAATTGGTTCTTGCTTCCGGTCTCCATTCTCTTCGTTTGTGTATTCGAATGGACGTGCGTCCATTATAGCCCTTAATTGTGTTGTGCGTCTGAAGTCTGCTCAGTATGGTTCGTCCAACGGTCCAAGTGGTAGTGATATCGTCTGCACAGTCCTGGTAACTCAGAATGAACTGCCCAGCTCCCCTTATATGTCGTAGCAACTCCATCTTTGCCCATTGCTACCCGACCATCGAAAAAAAAAACCTTTTGCAAGACCCTGCTAGATAATTTTACGTATTGGTTCCATTTTCCTACTGCATTCGATGTTTCGCAAGTCGCTCGGGAGTACTACAAGTCATTCTCCATAGTTGTAATTGGTTCAAATGACCGACACTTCGCTGCCCAAGCTCCCGCACTAACAGATTTTGGAGGCATGTGAAAAGTGAAGAATTATCTGATTGGTTCATATTTCCGAGATTGCAAAATTCTGCTGACATAACTCCCGAGTCCACGCTTTTCGGCATTTGAATAATCCACTACAACTTCCGACTTATATCCAGTCCCGTCCACATTGCCTCCACATGTGTCAAGCTCTGCGTCAGTGCAGTCATGGGCGCGCCATCGCAACTGAGATGCTGTGATCACCGAATCTAGATCCCGCTCGGAAAATAGGTTTCCAAAAGGCGCCTTACCGCCAATAGTGACTCATGTCAGCCGTAGGGCGCAAGGGCGCATCCTCTCCGACAGGATCAGCGTCTAGCCAGCCGTCGAAGAAACCGAGAACCAGTATGGCCCCCCAGTCCTCGGCTTCTCTTTTTCAATGGCTCATCCCAACATCAAGAAACATTCTGACCGACAATCTTGTCTCTGATAATTAGATGGCAGGGCCTGCGTGACGTGTCATCAGCGTAAAGTGCGTTGCGACATCCTGGAGAAGGGCACGCCATGCTCCAAATGCGAGGCAAACAATATTTCCGACTGTCGGATCTTCGAGAAGAAGAAAACCAGATCCTCGACAAGGGTCTCTCAGAGCCCCAATGTCTCTATACAGCCAAGGACAACAACAGCACCGAGCTCTAGACCCACAACCACGCCGATAGCATCGAATGCTGCTAGTCCATGGGCACCAGTCAACGTCGACTCGCGGCCAGCATCGGCTCCAGGAAACGAATTCACTGCTCAGACCCATTACGCCACTGAGGTTGCAACGCGAAACTTGGCCGACTTTCTTGACCGAGAAGAGACAGGTTATCAGGATATCCTACCAAGTGGCCGGTTATATTTCATTGGTACTGAGTTCTCGAATCTGAACTATCTTGTTCGACAGCGATCTCAACGGCCCGATCAGCATGTCCTACATTTTGGGAGTCACCCTCTTGCCCCGAGGATGTCTTCAGTGCCACCCGAAGCACTAGAACTACCCACCAAGGCCTTGGCTGATGAACTCGTCCAGGCGTACTTTGTGCACATCAACCGTGGCATTCCCATTGTTGACGAAGAATTCTTTATGAAGAAGTACAACAACACAGAGACCAGCGATGACTTTGCGAGACAACGACCGTTATCTTTACTCTTGCTAAACGCCATCTTACTCGTTGGGGCGCACGTCTTGTCCAACCAGCGTGACGACCTCAAGGCATTGAAGGCAGTCTTCTTCAAGCGAGCGAAAGCCTTGTTCGACTGCCGTTTCGAGCAACATCGCGAGACGTACCTGCAAGCCGCTATCCTTCTAACGTGGCAATGCGATGACCTTGAGGATGTCATCTCGAACTCTTGGTACTGGGTCGGCATTGCTGCCCGAACGGCATATGGAATGGGCATGCATCGAGACGCTATGCCATCAGGCCTCAACGTTATGGATAAACGCCTGTGGCGGAGGTTATGGTGGACGTTATATCAATATGACGTTTTAGTTTCCATGGCTCATGGTAGACCTCAGGCCATGTAAGTCAATTGCTCAGCCGATCATCATCACATCACTATTGGGGATATCTTCTGATTGACTCTCAACTCCTACAACAGAAGCCTCGACGACTCCGATGTACCTTTCATCGAGGAATGCCATCTAGAGGACACACCGGGAGCTGAAGCGTCCTTCATAGTTCAGCATACGCAACTGTGCATAATTTTCGCAAAAGTCATGAAGAAACGGGTGGCTTTGCGTTGTAAAGAAGGAGAAAAGGTCGAGGCCACGAGGAAAGCCGATATTGCTCTGGCTGAGCTAGTCACCAACCTACCCGAACGACTCCAGTTGTCCTCCAGAGATCCAGACATATGGCAAGCAATGTTCCACATCACATACAACAACTTTCTGATTCTTCTACATCGACCGCCTCCTCGTGCCGTACCCGGTCCTACTTCGACTGAGGCCGGCAACGACTTGAGCATATGTTCTGATGCAGCAGCTACGATCGCTTCTATCTTTGAGTCTCTACGGAAGAAGGAGATGTTGGCAGGTCTATGGCTTCCAAGTCTGCATATGCTCTTCACAGCTCTGGTTCATACGTCAAGTCAGATGCACTCCAGCAACCCGATCGTCGCAGCCAAGTCGAAGCGCCATACAGAGTCCATGATACAGACATTACACGCGATGAAATCTCAGTGGTTATACGCCCAAAGTCTATTGAATCTGTTCGAGCCTAAACGACCGAGGAATCGCGGTCTTGCACAGCAGTCCACTCGGCCGAATAACACGGGCAACCGAATAGGTGGTAGTGGAGAGCAGGATCATTCCAGAATCACTCTTCCTACCGATATTCTCGAATTTGAAGATCATGCCATGGCAGGACCGTCAACATCTATGGGAGATGGAAATTCAGCACGGCCTCTTGTTTCTGGCACAACATATGGTTCGCAGAGCACAAACACGGCACCAGATCATGGGCTAGCTAGAGACCCGGTGGGACAGTATGCGGCGGCTGTGATAGGGAACATGTCGCAAGGCGGCCAGCCATACAACACTGAGTTTGGAGGAGACAACATGGGCCTTACTGATGCTGATACCATGGACATGTTGCAGCTGCCATCAGCTCTGGAGTTCCTGCTAGCTGGCGCTGGGAACAACTTCGACTTCTGATGGTCACAATACATCATAATACTTTGCAAAGAAAACTCAATCGACTTCCTTGTGATGGTATCCAGGCGGAACTTGATTCTGAAGCTTGTCTTGCTACACTGTAGAATTCATCAAGCAAGATATTTCACACCACTTAACATTGCCCTATAACACGCGGGATATTCTCGCACGAATAATCAGTTGCCAAAACTATCCAACACACTCTCACGCCAATAGTAGAAACCTGCAAGCGCTGCACCAGGGCCGACAGCAATGCCACTAGCAATGGAGCCCAGAGAGCCCAGCAACGCCTGCTTGGTAGTAACAAAACCCTCTGATCGCAAGTCCCACGCCGAATAGAGAGACAATGCAGCAGAAGCGAGTCCAAACAAACCGGTACTTGTAGGAATACCATCTGGCAAGCTGCCAGACGAAGTTGTAGCCAAGGCCTGAAACATAGCGCTCGCCACGTGAATCGTAGCGCAGACCCCTGCCGCGAATGCGTAGGCCGTCTTGAGCGGCACTACATCTTTCTTGTCGTACATGTCAGTGAACTCCTTCTTGTCTTCTCCCTTGACTTCCTTGTCGGCCTTTATGGATGAAGTTACATCCTTCACCTTTTGTATGACCGAGCCGATGCCGTTGACTAGAGCCGCGCTGAAGACCGGGGCCGCAGAGGCAACGAGACCGACGGCATGTCGGAGCTGCCGGTTTTGTATCGGCAGGCATGCGAGGATCGTGGGGATGGCGTAGCCAACGATAGCCGACGGAAGAATTGCCTTGGCGTATTTAACAGGTACATGCCTACCAGTCAGGGTGTTGGTGCCTTGAGTAACGATGCCGAGACCTAGAAGTGGCATGATAGCCTTGAAGCCGAAGGCTGTGAAAGGGGCAGCAGAAATCGATGGCCTGCAATTTTTCATGTTAGATCAGTGTACAGCAGGATACCAACGGTAGAAAGCCCACCATAGAGGAGCTGAAAGCCTGTTGCCGAATCGGTGCCCCTCTACGAGCCAGACGACGAGGGCGGAGAAGAGGCTTGTCTTGAATTGGATGTCTTCGACAAGATGATCAAGCGAGAATGTCTTTGTCAAACCTGAAACGAGGTCAAGATCCGAAGCTCCAGAGATCCATAGTCTGGCGCTCTCCTTCAAGTTGAAGAAGTGGGCGAAACCGTTAGAGTAGTAGAGCAGCGCTGCAAAGGACCCAGACGCCAAGACTAACGCCATTCTCGATGCCGCTTGATTTGCCATAGGTAGGGCTGGGAGTTCGTCGTCAAAGGGCACCAAGCGGCGTCGTTTCGGTAGTGGAATCCTGTAAACCCGGCGGCTAGCCTTGCAAATGGGGACCGCAGCACCGAGGAAACCTTCGTCTCCCAACAGGGGGACTAGGTACTTGGTTACAATCTTGGAGTATGGTGATCTCCCGGTCAAAACTTGCTGGAGCGTGTGGGCATTTGCTACCAGGGTTTTCGCTCGATCATGGCGGTTGACATGGACCTGGGCCAGCGCGGCCTCGACAACTTCAGTGGGTTGCGCCTTTGGATTCTTCTCCAGCATGTCGGCCAGGGCGTTTGTGAGCAGCGCCGCAGCCTCCAGGGCACCGTTGCCTCCTTGTCCAGAGATGGGGTCGATCTACAAAGCAAGCCAAGTATCAGCCTCAAGCATCGACAGCAAAGGCTAGGGTTTTAATTCACCTTGTGACTAGCATCCCCAATGCATACGATCCGTTGATAGTGCCACTTCTCAAAGACGTACTCTTCCAGAGGCACCAAGGTGGCCATTATCTTGTTCTTGTAGATGTCCCCAAATGTAACATCTTCAAAAACTAGATCTTTCCAGTGCTCGAGAGCCAACTTCTCTGTATCTTCCTTGGAGTACCTCGGGATGTCCTTCCCATACATAGTGTCTCCAACGCCCGCGAACAAGAACCAGTATGTCCGATTGCCGGGTGCGCTGATAATGAGGTAACTTCTTCCTTCGTTGAAGACCATCTGTTGATTATGCATGGGAAGGTTACTGGGGCGTTTGGAGATGCCGAAAATGCACTTCGTAGCTACGGGCACTCCTAAACGACTATATCAGTACTTCAGTCAAGGCATTACAAGTATCATTGCCAGTCTCTTCAGGCTTGTGAAGATCATGCAGCTACTCTGGCAGCAGGGCCTGAATGATCGAAAACTTACGAGAGTGTTCGTCAACAGGAAAGTAGCCAGGCCGTTGTTTATGACCAATACGCCACATCTCTTCTCGAACAGTGCTATGGATGCCGTCTGCTCCGACTACGATGTCGCCCTCGAATACGGAGCCATCTTTTGTGTGTACACGCACTCCTTCCTTGAGAAGCTCAACGTTTCCGACTCGTTTTTCTGGGATGACTTTGTCCTTATTCTTCAGGTTGTCGTAGAGAACCTGAAGTAGCATCTGTCTGTCTATGAAGATGGAAGGGTAACCAAGTCTAGTCGAAAGAACGATCATCAGTGACTCTGCTAAGCTGTTATATCGCATCACTCTCAGATCTCAGCTTACCGTGCTTCCATGTGGTGAATATTCACCATGCTTGGTGTGCTCAACGGCTTACCATCCGGACCGCGAAGGCTATTTCTCAGGTGATATTCTCCAACCATTTCAAGGATTGGTTCGAAACATTCAAGTTGATCAAGGATTCGGAATCCATTGGGAAGTAAACCGATGCTCGCACCTACCTGCGGTGCAATGGTGGGGTATGCCTCGAGAAGGGTGTAGTCGATATCGAGCCTCTCCAGCATGTTAGCTAAAGAGAGGCCCGAGACGCTGCCACCAACAATGATGATTTTGAAGCCCATTATTACTATTTTGTACTTTGGAGAAAGACTGCAGTGTCGGGTTCAGGCCATACAACGGAAGTAAAGTAAAAGCTAATGAATGATGAATCTAAATTTGTTCAAAGGGTCCGGTCGACGGTTCATCTATAAATCATCGATTGCCTCATTTAGCATCAAAATGGTCAAAGTGCCGAACAGGAACAAGACATGGTTCGATCATCGTTATTGGGCAGAAACTAAAGGGCGAGGCATGTGATTGTTACGCTAATACCACCGACAGAAGCAGAAACATGGTTGTAAAGGTGACCGAAAATGTCCGTATCCCGCGAACTAACAAACGCGACTTGATGCCAAACGGCGGGAGACGAACTATAAAAGCCGGACTTCGCGAAAATTTGGATGCCGAATTTGACATGGAGCATGTCATCCGTAATTCGGGTCGTATTTCTTTCCCGGTCGAAGCACGCGGCGGCGCGGGGACCACTTCCGACAGGGGACCGGGTCATAGCAAAGCAAGATCTCGGGAAAATGTAGCTGCTCCGGGACAGGACCCCGAGATCCTCACGCAGCCCACCCTAGGGAGCTTTGACGGGTACCCTGAACTTTGAAGGGTACGCCCCGGCGGGCTGGGCCGCAAATCTTTACTTACCAGTCTTGGACGAGACCGTGCCAAGTTCATCTAGTTTATCAAGGGTTCACGCTGGTACTGAATCATCACAGTAAAAATGGTGTATTCGCTGTAATTAAAGGGAAAGTCCGTTGGATTTGCCGAGTGGAGAGTTGAGTTGCGCATCAACAGTGTGCATCATGTAACGATTCATGTTCGAATGGCTTCCCTCTCAACTCTCGAACAAGAAGGTAATTGACACTGGAGGCGGTGCGAAAACACGTAGATAGGAAATCGAACGAGACCTCGGCCTGCATTCTTCTGCCTCTGTGTACTCTGTACCTTATAATACTACAATGTCGGCTTTGGTAGAGAAACTCGAAAGCCTACTCAAGCACCTTTCAAGCCCCGCTCTCAGGCAGTATACTAACAGCTGGTACGCATATAATTCTCCTGATCATGTCTCCTATTTTGAACATGCTATCAGGACTTACGAAGATCGAAAAGTGGCGGTTCAGAGTAACCTAACAGGATTGAGTCGACGCAATACGGCATGCAACTTGTCCGTCCGCCTCTTGCTCCTGGGTTGACAGGTTGGAGTAATCTCGGGACAAATCCTAGCCCAGAAATCGATATCGATTGTAGCCCTCGCACGCTAGTAGATCTGTAGAGCGGTTTCGCCGGCTCAATGCCTCCTCGAGTATCGAAATGGGACAGTTTATCTGTACATCATCTTAGTCAAGAAAGCTGCCAAACGCGCACTTATTCTTCCTCCATCTCACGCTAGGGGGGGCGGAACCTAATATTGCGAGTAGACCTCATGTAACCCTGAACCAGGAATAAAACTTAGAGAAGCACAGCGCCGTTCGGACCAAGAAACGCCCCATGGGGCAGGGATGGACGACGTATTACATAGTGACAGAACTCGGCTCACCTTTCCGAGCTTGGCAAGGAAGTCCGATATCACGTTGTTGCACCGTTATCTACCACATCTAGCTAAGATATCGAGTGCTACTACCACCAAGCCTCATCGGCACTCATCCAGTTGAGCCTTGGAGGCAACGAGGTATAAATCTTGGGAGATGGTGACGAGGGTTGGGCATGTCGATGAGCGGCCTGATAATTTGGGTGTGAAGCAGTGTATGGACACAGTTGGCAACTTGTGATGGGGTGGTTCTGCTCTTGTGAGTTTGCAAGAAGTTCATTAATCGTATGAGTATCTAGACTCCTGAGTATCATTTGGGATGCTGGAAGGCAGGCCACTTGCTAGTTGTTCCCATTCCCTATAAATAGCTCAGCGTACATATAGTAGAAGGCCTTAAACAAATCTCACTGCAATCAAGTCGTAGATTATCGACTTTGTACAAGCGTTGGGACGACATCTCTCTAGTAAGGCTAGCTGGCTTGCCTTAGCCTCAGACCAGGCTCGCGCCAGCGGCTCGATATTGCAGGTCCGGCACTGTGCCATAGCATTGACCTATTTCCCTCATATAGATGGTTTGCTGTTCCATCCAGCCATGGATCCGGCAACGAGAAGACTCGTCTTGTGAAATGACGCGCAACGCCGGGGAGTAAAGCAAGGACCTTAATCAGTCGCATGGGATTCACTTCATGTTCAAACCGCCAAAAACCCGGTCTAGCTCTGCCCCCTGATCGTTCAGCGGCATCTCGCTGGTCCCTGCTATCGCTGATGTCTGATGCCCAGCTTCCTCCTCGGATGGTCCGCCCACCTTTTCCGGCTCGAGTATCCGGGCTTCACTGTCTAACCAGCCGGGCGCAACCCTCCTCTTCTCGGCCAGTTCCCGCTCGTTTATCCTATTCTCGAGGTCCCGTAGGTCACGCTCGGCGTCCTCTTGCATCTTTGTGATATGCGCTTGAAGCGCACGACAAGAGGCGATGATATCATCCGGATGCGCTGCGTGTCCCGACTGCGAGATCACATACTTTGGTTTGCTCGCCGAGGTGTCACCAGCTGCAGCATCGTCTGTGACGGCAGCGGGCACGCCTGTTGCTGAGGGAGGGAGGGCTGAGGGCATGGCCTTGTAGTTGTAGGAGAGCGTTGTGGCTGCGGGGAGGGAGATGAACGGGGAGACGGTCAGGGGGACCTGCTCGAGGAGCGGATGGGAGCCTATCTCTATGGTCAGTCTCTCAAGTCCCGGAAAGAAAAGCCACCGAGTGGTGGAATACGTACGATTGCTATACATGGTGGGTAGCACGTCTTGCCTTTGGTGGGTAAGTGTCAGTGTGCAAATGAGGGTGGGACGGGACTATATGAGCCGTTTTGAGGGTCATACAAGCTCGTAAATGGTAGCAATAGGCCTCCTTGAAGTTTCCTGGTAGTCAAAAGGGCTGGTCAAGAACGTGTTTGCAGGATGTTGTGTTTGCGCCAGTTGAGGGGGATTCGTCAGCTCTGCGCCAATGGAAGAAATGCGATGCGAGTGCGTAGTGTAGCTGTCCGAGGCAACGGAGTGCGATCGGACTCTGGAAGAATGTCGGTGGAGAGAGCTCAGACCCCACCGAGCGTTTTCAGTGGAGCATGCGGATCAACCATGCTGGCCAATGACCATCTGATCACCTGACCGTCTGCTCCTTCTGATTACCTCAGCTCCTACCAAGATACCCCGATACTTCTAATCAATGTCATCACGTGGTGATAGCGATAAGAGCTTCACATTCTCCAGCTCCAAGGCAAGCACCCCACCATGAAGGGTCTCACAGGTCAGCCCAAGCAGAGTCCTTTCAAGGATCTCTTACACATCATCAACATGCTGCCCACAACCATTCGCTCTCCTCCTTCTCTTGGAGACTTCACTCCAATTGAGGAGCACCAGTCGCAAACCCCCGCGAGCTTCTTCGGAGGAAAGCCCGTCCTTCATTTCCATCTCGAGGGCGCCAAGGCATGGATCCCAGCGTCGCAAAAGGGCAACTTGGCTGTCTTCCCGGCTGATGTCTCGACTACGGCCTCTGCCCCCGATGGCACGACATTGAGAGAGGCGACCGAGGAGCTTGTGGAGCAGCACGTTTCCGTGTTTGTCACTTCTGAGTATGTGGTCCATCCACTCTGCTACGCGTGTGCTCCTCCCGACTAACACGCCTTCTAGGAACTTTACCATCTTCTCTACGGCCCAAGGCGCTGGCGTTCAGATCCCCTACCCCTCCATCTCGATTCACGCCGTGAAGCAGGTGGGATCTATCTCCCACGGCGCCCCTCTCCAGGCCATCTGGATGCAGCTGCAGCTTGCCGACGGCGGTGACGGCGACGACGACGACGACTTCGATACCATCGACATGACTCTCGTGCCCGCGATCACTGCTGGCACCCAGGCCGATATCCAGAAGTTCTACGACGCCATCTCAGCTTGCTCCGATCTTCACCCCGACCCTGTCGACGAGGATGATGAGGAGGAGGATGGCCGCATTGTTTTCGAGGGCGAGCATGAGCCGGTCGAGGGATACGAGGGAGTCCTGTATGGCGCACCAGATGGAGGTCTGCCTCCTGCCTTTCCTGGAAGTGGAGGCTGGATTACCGCAGAAAACGTCCATGAGCATTTTGACGCCGACGGTAACTGGATTGGCCAGAATGGCAATGAGGATGAGGGGGAGGAAGGCGGCCAGCTGGGAGAGGGAGCCGGTCGGGTTCGCGGTCACGATGAAGCCAACAACGGCGTCAACGGCCATGACGACCCGGGCAACAAGCGTCCGCGCGTTGACGAGTCATGAGTGTGTACAGCGACTGGGGCGTGGGAATTGACGAAGAACGACTTGATACCAGGAACAGGACTCGGGCTCATGAAACCGACGTAAGAATACCATTCTTTTTCGCGCTTACTCAAAATCATCTATCATGGTTCGATATCGAAGGAGACTTGACTTTCTCTTGTGTTACAATTCGTTGATTTGAATGATGGTTGTATCTTGATTTTGCTAATGGCCTACTGTCTAGGTATTACAATGACGCAGTGCTCAGCTTAGAAATATTCAACCCTGAAGAAAGTACTCGCTAACCGTCGCTGAACGCAACAACCCCAATCAATGCGTACCACTGTGGGACAAAAGAAAACTTCTCGGACTTAAACCCTCATGTCTGGGCTCTGTCTCTGGGCCCCTGCGGTGAGGCTGTCTGGGGAACTTAGCAGATAGTCCTCTTTCCCGTATGCGCCCAAGCTGGTACCACTGTCTTGATGCTTAATCGGCCTCTCCAGATGCTTCTGGTCCGCGGCATCGAGGTTGGACACTCTTCTCCGAGTGGGACTTTCCACCGTTACCACGCTGTCTCTCGCCACCCCTCTTCCGGCACTCCTAGGTGTCGGGTTGAGCGGCCGAGGTCCTCGAATCAGAGAACCGTTTCTTCTCTCGTTTTCCTTCTCCTCAACTGCTGCGCGTAGCGAATCGAGATGTTTGTTGCCCCCTGGTCGACTCTTGAGCACGGCGATGGAGTTCCTGGCCGATTTGATGGACTTGGTCCGCTTTGCTGAGCCTGGGCTCGTGCCTAGAGACAAGTAGTTTTGTCGACCCATTTTGCTCACGCGGCTGTTGCTCCTATCGGGGCTGAACCCGCCTCCTCTCAAATTTGGTAGTGTTGGACTGTCAGGATCTGAAATGGATGAACCGGCGCTAAGAGTGCTCATTTGGCTGTTCATACGTCGAAGCTGGGCCACAGTAGACTGGAGTCCCATTACCGCGAAGTCGCGGTGGTATGAGCTCCGCTTAGGTGAGCTAGAGGGCTTGAGCACAATTGAAGGGCAGTCAGACCTAGAGAGAACGCGCTCGACACGGGACTCTCTGGGTGTAGGCTGTCTCGACAACGCGCGGTCGCGGATGGGACTGGCCATACCGCGTTTGTATCGCCTCGGTGTGGGAGATCCTCCCCTTGACAGGTCGGGACTCGGCAGCGGCCTTCGGGGAGGCGAGCCAGGAACCGGAGACGCAGACGCAGTGGCGTCGACCGATCGTCGACCAGCACGACCTGCTGCAGAAGGGCTGCCGCATGACATCAACATTTTCCCATCTGGGCTGCCCATAACCAGGGCCTCTCGGCTTGGCGATCCCTTGCCAGCTTTCAAGTTCAGGGGCGGTGGGAAGACAGGTGCCTTTGGACCAAAGGTCAACCTGTTATTCGGCATGACTGGCCGGCTGCCATTGTCCTCGGGAGACGTGCCAGGACTTGCCCTCATGCTCACGACGCTGTGACTCGAGACAAGGAAGGTGGGCTTCATCGACATGACGCTCTTTGGGCGTATGGTCTCGGGCGATGCTGCCAGGTCGGATGGTTGCATCATGATGGAATACCGCGTCTGGAGTTGATCGGCCGTGCTGCTGCGCTTGATGACGTCTAGCGGTCTCGGTACAGGAGAGTTGGCAACAGATGTCACTTTCGTAGGCGTGCGGTTCAGGATTTCCTCTTCAGGTGGCGTAAGGCGTCGGAGAGGCGGCAAGCTGGATGACTGGCGCTTGGGACTCCTTGGGGGCACTTCTGGCGGGCCCGGCGTGATGAAAGGGTCGCATATCTGAGTATCGATGACAAGGCTCCTGGGTTTCCTGCCGCGAGGGGTGCTGTCCAAGTGTCCGGTGTGTCCGGTGCCGCCGGTCTTGCTATCATCCTCGGGTTCGTTAACACTGTACAAGGTCGAGAGAGACGACGAGGCATCGCTGCCTGGAGATTCTATTGATTCGCCGTTGTTGGGGGGCTTGGTCGGGGACTCGTGCTCGGATCGTCTGCTGGGGCTCGACAGTCCTGTTGGCAGGATTTGTTCGACTTCCGGGGTTGTCTCGCCAAATAAGCTGTCTGCATCTGAGACGACAGACGACTGAGAAGTGTTCCTCTTGTGGTGGTTCGGAGTCTGGACAAGCATCGGAACAACCATTCGCTTCGATGGACTCGGAGTTCGAGCTCGCTGGGCATTGAGATCCAACGCTTGACCGACGTGGTTCATCACCTGTGTCTTTGTTGGGGATCGTGATCGGACGGGAGACTGATTCTTAAGTGGTGATGGGATCTTGACCGGTGACTGGGCCTTTATTGGGGAATACGACTTTGTCGGTGACCCGCGCGGGGTCTGTACACTGGACCCAGCTGATGCCGATGCAGCCCTCTGTCGTGTGGCCGGTCGGCTGTTGGTTGGCGTTCCGAGCTGTAGCCTCTCTTCCGTGGAACGCAATATCTCAGCCAGGTCCGACTCCGTCGTCTTGTGCCGCAGTCGCTGTAACGGCACCGGTCGAGGTCCTGGTCCCTGTGGGCTTGGAAGTACGGGCGGTCCGCCCCTCGCTGCCGCAGCCAATTTCTCAGCCAGCTCATACGAAGCTGTTCTCGGTAACGGCATCCGCAAAGGCTGGCCCCGCTGTGCTGGCATACTGACCGGCCGAGGCTGTTCGATGGGGTAATTCGCAAAGTCATCCTCAAAATGGCCGCCCGACTCCCCTTTGTGCCCAAACAAATCCGGCAACGTCGGCGTGCGGAGGATGAAGCTGTCGCGGATACTCAGCCGCCGGCCATCACTCTGCACCCTAGGCCCGTGAATTGCATCTTCGTCGATCCAGCTGTTATTCCTCCTCAGGTGTCCCCCACGATGCTGCCCGCCAGCCCCTTCCGCAGGCGTACTGCTAAAGACACTCCAGCTCTTGCTCCTCGGCACGCTGATGATGGACGAGAGCGAGCGGTGGGAATGCTGCTTCCCCTGGACCTCAACCATGTCGGCGTACGGCTCGCCTGGCTTTGGCTTCGTGAGGCGCCGCGGACGCGGGCTGGGCGTGTGGATTGAGCCGCCGTCCGAGTCGAGGTCGAGTCTTGTCCTGGGGGTCGGTGATCGGGCTCGGGCGCGGGCTCGGTGGCGGCGGCCTGCTAGAGCGATGAGGAAGAAGGCGAGGCATATGAAGAGGAGGACACCGCCTCCTATGGCGATGGCGAGGACGAGTGGTAGGGTCATGCCGCCGCTTCCTCCTCCTCCTTCTACCTCTTCGCGGACGCGGAGGAGTAGGCTCGACATCACCGGAGAGGGTCCGGGGTGTCGCGATTTAGTTGACTGGGTTGGTGTCTTCAGGGACTAAGACGAGATCTAGTGGTTGACTGAGGGACTGATAGTGATGAGATCACAGATCACGAATAGGATCTCTCATGGCGTGAGTGTGTGTTCGGTATTCACAGTCGACTCTCCCCTTCTCCCGTCTTCTGTGTAACTCTCTAGGTGTTCGTATTAAGGATTAGATTAGGAAGAGTTGGGAAAGATGGAAAGGAAACGGTCTGGAAAGAAGCTCCAGCAAATGACTGTGTGTAAACAAGTGTAGGAAAAATGAGAACCAAATTCAGAATAGTAAAGGAACAGTGGTACAGAGCAGAAAGAGAAGAATTGCAGCACGACTTGGGCTGAATCACGAAGACGAAGCAAAGATGGATGACCGGATTTCCGCCTCACGAAATGGAAATGGCTGGCAGCATGCCTTCGCATCAAAGGGTATTTTTCGCTGCCCAGACCAACCAACCGCCATCTGCGATGATGACTGTGTTGGTCTTGTTTGGTTCTGCTCAGAAAGGGTAACGACTTGTGGGTTGGGTCTCAGTCTAATCTAGCCACCGGGAATGCGTTGTCATCCCGTCGTCCTGGGGAATGCATTCCAATGGAAGGGAGGTAGGAAATCCTCCTTTGGGTTCTCTTCTTCGGCCAGTCGTCCACCCGAGCCTTGCTGTCTGGTCCATTTCCACGCAAAAGAAATACAGAAACGGGCTAAAAGCGAGTGATCAGCAGAGGCGATGTGCGGGAACGTGAGGTAATATGAATTTGCTGGGTCGGCGGGGTGGCGACGCGTGAGTTTTGGGAATAGCTTCGTGGGTTGCTGGTATGCGCGGGGCGGGTAGCTGGGCGGTAGGTTTAATCAAATGTGAGATGAGATTGCGTGCTATCGGCGGGGGTAAACAAGGTCGCACATAACACTGTTGCATTGCTTGGGACTTTGTGGAAAGTTATTCCACATTGGACGTTTTCCTATTTTCTTTCGCCGCTGAATCTAGATGGTTTAACTCATCTCAGTTCTAGCTCTCGTGTGCTATATGTACGTGCGACCACTTGTCTGCAGAGCCATATGATCTGCCCCTTGCATCCAGAACCCAATAGACTCATTGACGCGCTCCAAATTCAAGTGACCAACTCTTCCCTTTCCCCTCGGACTGGATCCCTTTGCTTTCATCATACCTGCGCCCTCTTGACGCACTTGACCTCATTGATCCTCAACGCAGCCGTATCGTGACTCTCCAGCTCAATCGTGTACTCGTCCTCAAACACCCCGAGATCCTTGCCAGTCCACATGTCATGCACGACATACTTCTTCCCGGCCTCCAGGCCGGGGACATCCTTGAACGCGACCGTCTTCTCCTCCGTGCCACTCAGCGTGTTCAGCACAAACACGTGCGTCCCCTCCACCGAAGCGCCGGACCAGAACTCGGCAGGGTGTGTGATGTTCCACGCCCCGTCCGGGTTCACGCCCCACTTATACGGCTGCGCCGCGGCCCCGAACTCCGGATCCTGATTAAATTTCACCAACTCTTTCGTCGACAAAATCTTCAAAATCTCAGGCTGAATGCCCTCCAACTTGGTTCCGATGATTAACGGACTCTTCAAGGCAGCCCAAAACGCAAAATGGCTCCTGCTCTCCTGCAGCGTCAGGTTTCCGTTGCCGACCTCGAGCATATCCCAGTCCCCGTGGCCCCAGAACCCATTCACATCCGGTCCGCTCCAGAACGCAGCATGATTGAGGATCGGCATCAATCCCCAGGACCATTGGTGCTGGCCGTACCATTCGGGGTAAATGTCACCCCACATGCGCCAGCTGTGGCCCGTCTCGTTGCCCCAGGCCTCGACGTGGGCGTGGCCCCAGGCGCAGAGGGAGTACTGGATCGTCCTGTCCTGGGCGAGGAGAGCGTCGCGCATGAGGCGGTAGCGTTCTGCCGTGACGGAGGTTGACCAGTCGTAGCCTGCGGGTGCGGGGAGGCCCGTCTTGGAGTTGACGGGGTCGCCGTTGTCTTGGTCTTCGTTGGGGGGCCCGCCGAGCCAGAGTTCGGGGACGTATTTCCAGTCGTCGAACCATTCTTTCGGGACATTGCAGTTGTCGTACTTTAGGTCTGTAACAAAGTGAAATGGGCATCAGAAGGTGATTTCCAATAATGCATTTCGTGGTGAGTCTGTGGGACGGTGGAAGGGGTTGGAAGGGGTTAAGTTGAGGGATGGGATGATGCAGGGAGAACGGCACGGTCAACGGCGAAGGAACTTACAGTCGATACCCCATTTCGCAAACGTCGCGGCGTCAATTTCTTCGAAGCCTAGCGACCCCTCGAATCCGCCGCAGGTAGAAGTTCCTGCGATGTTTACGTCAGATTATCAAACGTCATCGCAAGACCAAATACTAGAGTCATCCAGCATTCTCGCGACTTGGACCACAGCCAAAGCCCCTCAAGGAGAGCCCTTGATAACTTGGCATACTCAGCACCAACCAAACGGCAAGAATCGACTCACCCGCATCACTGTAGATCCCGACCTTCAACCCCAACTCATGGATCTTGTCGACCGTATGCTTAATCCCCTGCGGAAACTTCACCTTGTCGACAATAATCTCCTTGGTGACGTTGTCTCTCCGCAGCTCCTTGTCGCTCCAGCAGTCGTCAATGTTGACATACTCGTACCCCAGATCCTTCAGCCCCAGGTCCACAATGTGCTGCGCGACGGTAAGGAACACCGTCTCGTTGATGTCGCACCCGTACTCGTTCCAAGAGTTCCATCCCAATGCGGGAAGACGGCCAGTCTTTCCGTCGCGGCTAACAAGGGCCGCGGCCGTGGATGACATGCCCACGGCGGCGAGGATGGCCGAGCGCATTGCGAAGATGTCGAGGGGTTCCGGCTTGTGGCAGGTCTGATTTCGAGGTTTCAGTTATCACGACCTCGCTCCAGAGCTTCCAATTCTCTCTAGACTATGGATTGGCAAGACGGACTGGAGAACAGCTGGGCCGGCGGGATGGAAGGGTACTGCCTGAGAAGTGGCTTCGGGGGTTCATATAGACAGAGGAAACATTGTAGATGCATGCAACATGATCTGCCAATTCTAACCCACCATCATCCCATCCGACAACCCCTCAGTAGCATCCAACGCAAATGGGAAAATGTAACATACCCCAAGTTCATCCCAGTCCCATTGCTGGGCATGGGCGGATGGCCACGCGGTGGCCAAGAATAAGGTGACAGCGCCGATCGCCGTCCTTCTTTCACGACGCATCTTGGACCTGTTATCCCAGGATTCTGGATCCGTTGTATGATACTACTGGGGGATGTAAATGATCCAAGCTCATCTAGAGACGAACCATGCTGGCCAATTCATAGTTTGTGGTAATACGGAAAAGCTAAAAGAACCCGGATTCGTGAGGGGTACGTCCGCCAGTCTGTGAGGCACCAAGGACACCGTGAGGGGAATCCCAAAAGAAACAAAATACTCTTCAATTGTTGGTGGGCTGCCCCCGTCGCATCCAGGAGAAATGCAACGCCATCACCGGCGAGGCCCCAGATGCGCGGAGGATCGCCGTCCGAAGAAAGATGGGGCCGCGTGCATGGGATGAATGAGGGGAAAGCTCAAATCCTCTTTGACAGTCGTCCAACGACGAGAGGTCAACTCCGCCTCTGTTCGCTGCATGTTGGAGAAACCCAGCCATACACGGAGTTTCGGGCCCGTCCGACAATGGCGGGGGTATGTGGTTGTTGGGTTTGTAGCCTGCAGCTTCTGGATGCATATTGTTAGGCGACCTTGGCATATTTTACCGGGACACAGTCGTTTGCAACCCCCCCTCACCCCACTTGAGATACTTGGACGAGATTGTTCTCTCTTCTTTCTAAAAGTTCTTGAGAATGAAGGCTTTAAATACGTAAAAGGAAAATTGTAGAGAAAGACGAGAAGCGAAATGCCGTGGTAAAGTCTTCCCTAGTGGTGTTCATCGCCTGCCTTATGGATTGACATGATCTGGGCCGACAACATCCAGTCTTGTCGAGATATGTGAGTGATGCTCCGGTACAGAACCTTAGTTGCCGAACTTCTGTAGTTATTCGTCGCAGCCGTTGAAGTAAAGCAAGGTTCAGCATCGATTTCAGACAGCTTCGGCATCGAAGCGGTGGACCGTGGTTGTTTGTGGGAACTTCGAGGGGAAGAATGAACTCATCTTGTAACCTTCTGGTCGCCTGGGGGACTCAAGTACTTATTCCTCTGTGTACATGAATATTCATCAGCTATAATGGCCTCCAATCCACTCATATGTAGTAAAACTGTACCGTAAGAGATCGGGCCAGTGTAAAGAACGCCAAGAACTGTTACCTTAATGTCAGCAAGCAGGGGTGTCATCGGTGACCGGACTTATTGGTAACTCCACCCATGCTCAAGTGTTACTGTTATGGTATTTCATGCATTCGTCATAGTTTCGACTACCACATCTGAGTATCTGCTGACAAGTGGTAAACAAGGTACGCTTCTGTCTAACTTGATGATCTCCCCGGCCCTCCCTCCGCCATAGCTTAATTCCAAGAGTTGCTAAGCCCATGAGTGGATCATCGAGATGACTTCATCGCCCAAAACAGGGGCCTAAATGCTTCCGCACTACTATCGAGCAGCTATCTGTCGCTGTGACCTACTGTAAGTGGTAGTTGGAAGCGCTGACCTTCTCCTGTTCGCCCTGTCCCTACCGCTTAGGTTGTGAGAGTCGGATCCAATGTTGGCAATAAGTTCCATGAACTCTATAGCTGGGATAAGGAATCGTAAGATGTGGTTTGAAGTTTAGTAATCACAATGACTAGATCAGAATCCGTGAGAAAGAAGCATCTGTCACATTTTGTCTGCTCTGAAAGAAATATGGGTTAGCGGTGTTACACGTTACGTCCTTCCGATCGCACTTGACACGTACAGAGTCAGTTCAACTTCCTGTTGATATTCTATATCGATGTTATATAGGGCAATGCTGCAAAAGACTACCGGAAGACAGCTTTTCTTAGTATTGCAGCTTTTCGCCAGTATGTTGCCCAAGAAAACATTGGCACTTACACGCTCTAAGCAGTTACACAGCCTCACGGTGACGTGCTCTCACGGCAACTCTATCTGTTCGATAATCAGTCTCTACCCCATATCAGGAAGGCAGTGTAGTTCAGGATAGACCAGGGCAAGCATGGGTACTTGAGGGACGAGTGAACGGCAATCGGACCGAAAACTAAGACGACGTTCTCTGAAATCCGGCAAATATTGAACCAATAACTAGATTCCGCCTGGCCCAAAAGAGTCCACCTCTGGATACCTCTGCCGTAGCGAAATGGTTCCACTCCTTGAAATAATGAGAATCGAGCGAGTTGCTTTCCAGAATCAATGTCACCCCCAAGTCGGAGCAAGGAGGTTTGGTGATTGCTTTGCTTTTCCCGTTCCTGTAAACTAAGTAGCCAAGCGTACATATCCCGCCTCAATCTCCGAGGGTCTTGTCAGCAGAGGACATAATCTCCATACCGCCGGAAGTCATCAGCAATCCCAATATGTCATGTTGAACGAGGCCTCCGTGGTGTAAGGACTTTGACATTGGCCATGTGAGATCTTCGCTTCACCTGCAAGTCGATTGTGCATCGGGCGTAGTATAAGACCCGCGGTCACCCATTATCAAGTATCGTTCCTTATCCGCAAAGCACCCAAGTCACGAAAATGTACTCGAACGGACTTCTCGCCTCTTGCCTCCTAGCCGGAGCCGCCGCTGCCATCGGCGTGCCAGCTGCAGCAGCAGAGATCCCAGTTGACTGGCATTTGAGAAGAAGCCAGCTCGCAGAACCGGTCTCAGCATCCTGCGTACAAGCAGTATGGCCATCCACCCCAGACTCTCCCTCTACCAACCTTCATCAATTACAACTAACAAACTCCCCTCTTCCACCAAAACTAGTGCGCCCAGCTCTCCGCCACATTCCCTTCCTCCCGCTTCCACTACCCATCAAACGACACAACCTTTACAATCTGGGACGCCAAACAGCAAGAAGTCCGCCCCGCATGCCGGGTCGAACCTACCAACGCATCCGACGTCTCGCTCATTCTCAAAACCCTCGTCGACAACTGGTGCCACTTTGCCGTCAAGGGCGGCGGCCACTCGCGCAACGCGGGAGACTCCAACTCCATCGCCGGCGTCACCGTCGACCTCGACCGCATGAACTCTGTTGAAGTTGTCAGCAACGGCACCGGGACACCCACACGCGCTAGGGTCGGTGGTGGCGCGACGGTGATTCAGGTCTACCAAGCTCTCGAGGGGAGCAAGCTGTCCTACGTCGGCGGTCGATCTGCAACTGTTGGTATCGGGGGTTTCACGCTCGGCGGAGGAACGTCGCCTTTCTCGAGTAGGTACGGATGGGCTTTGGACAATGTCTACGAATACGAGGTACGTCAAGACACAGGACTCTTTTGTTCTTTCTGGGAACCAGAATGTCACTAACACTCCCCTCGAAAGGTCGTCCTCGCAAACGGCACAATCACAACAGCCTCAGAAACCCACAACCAAGACCTCTACTTCGCCCTCCGCGGCGGCAGCAACAACTTCGCCATCGTCACAACCTTCACCGTTCGCATCTTTCCCCAGGACGCCGTCTCTAGCCAGCGTGCAACCTACACCACCGCAAACCAGACCGAGAGCGCCCTCGACGCCATTCATGACCTCTTCACGAACCCTCAGCTCACCGACGACATGGACATGGCCTACGACTTTTACTACATCTACAATCAGGCCTCGGGCGCCTTCTCGTTGATGGGGTCGGAGTGGTACGCGAACCCCGCGGTCGTCGAGCCAGAGGTTTTTGAGGCTATTCGCGGCGTTCCTTCGACAATGAGGACTGCGAGGTTGGGATCCATGGCGAATCTGACGGGGACTTTGCAGCCGCCTGTTTTAGGCACTACGCGGTATGTTTCCTCCCTCTCGTTCTATATTCACTCTTCGATGGCAGTCCAGCCTTTCTCCCACGTGTGTCTCCTCCAAAGACTACAATCAAGACGCTGACCATCAATAGCCACCTCTTTGGGACAATTAGCACCCTACCCTCCCGTGCTCTCTTAACTCAGGCTCTCGCAATCTTCAGAGAAGAAGTATCAGCAATCTCTGCCGTAGAGGGCCTGGCACCGAACCTCATCTGCTACCCGCTCTCGACAACCGCCATCCAGGCAATGAAGCAGCGCGGCGGCAACGCGCTCGGCATCGACCAAGATGAGCCCCTCTACAGTAAGTGACACGGCGCCCTGCTTCACCCTCATCAGCTGCACCATCCGAACCCATCCATTGATAGCCTCGCTAACGTCCAAATTCTTCCTCGCTAGTCTTCCTCGTCTCAACAGCCTGGTCCAACGCCCAAGATGATGCTGCCGTGGAACGTATGACGGCAAACGTCCTCTCCCGCATGGAAAGCTTCGCCCAAGAGTCCGAGATCGCACACCCATACCTGTACATCAATTACGCGTCCGCAGCACAGACGGACAAGATCTTTGCAGGGTACGGAGAGGAGAATGTGCGTCGTCTCAAGGCTGTCGCTGGTGAAGTCGATCCCGATGGTGTCTTCTCATCCGAGGGTCTCTGGCGTGGGTTTGTCAAGTTGCTGTGAGAGGATCTCGCCCAACGAGCCATTGGTTCTGACGGCCGAGGGGGTTGTGTTCTCTTGTAGATACCTACACACCGTCAGCAGATCAAGTTCTTGGCACCCGTATCAAGTAGATCTCCTCCCATCCTCCGCCTAGTACCCCTGAAGGCAATTGATTTATAGAAAACTCAGAGACTGTTCCTCAACTTTCGCTAGTTCCAATGGTCTTAGTATCCGGTGGGCATTGCATCAATCCCTCCAAATCACCTTTGCGTCTGCCCACCCGAAATACGTGATGTTTCGAAGACCCTGCCATCTTCTTCAATTTCTTTCAAGAGTAAACATCACAACCAGCCAGGAAGCAAGAAAAACTGACACACGAGTACCTTGGCAACTGGGCACTAGGTCGTCCTCTTCCTTCCCAAGTCCATCATATCCGGTCGGCGCCTTCCTCAGTTGGGTGCTTCCCCCTAAGATAGGCAACACGGATGAAGGCAGGCACGCACCTCCCGATTTGGTCACGGGTTGTGCTGAAGTAAGGTACCACCCCCTACCTCCCCCTACTGAAAGAACTGTAACGAGAGAGCCCACGCGCAACTTTCCAGGCTACATCCTGGAAGGCTGTATCGATGGCAGATCTCTGAGTTCTTTAATGTTAGTCGGGGGGACCAAAGAAGCCTGGATAGACCTCAAACTTACGGAATGTCTTTTTTAACTCCTTGAAATTTCTTTCATCAGGTTGAAACCCGGTCTGCAAGTGCGAGACGCAGTACATAACTAAATGTGGCTTGCTGTATTCTTTATTTGCTTTTGCTTTTATTTTGCTTTGATTTCCCATAGTTGGCTCATCTGGAGGTCGGTCAACAGCGCGCACTCTACCTCAATGACCAATACATCATACAATATGGGCTTCTGTCACGGATGCTAGTCATGAAAGTGTAGAGGCGAACGTTGACGATGACCTCACACAATCGCAAAGGAAGCCATGGATGGAGCAAGTGTTTTATGGATGGAACCGTTGGAATAACCTCAACGCGAATAGGTATCTCTCAAACATCAACCTACAACGCCTACAACATGGACGCACTCAATGCGATGCAAATGCAAATCCCCTTACGACGCCCGCCTCACTCGGACTACCATGAAAAGAAACACATTTAAGGACCAACTCGACTTGATGATTTGCCTCCTAATGATTGCCGTAAACTCATGACGCAGGCCATATCGTGCCCGTACCTTGCTAGCTACCACCAAGAAGGAAAAAAGTGTTCGTCTGCTCGAATGTCCAGACAACAACAATGATGTTCTTGAGCAAGATGCGAGAGAACCAATGGGAAGCCAAATCATCTCAATGGGTTAGGTTTTCCACTGGATAGAGAGAAAAAGACCGCCACATCCCGATGTGGCGTCCCTTAAAAACGACGTCCGCAACCCAGATTTTTTTCGCACCCAGATACAAGAGGGAGTATCAACTCCGCAAATTGAGAAAACACGTTTTCATCGCCTAGACGTGGTGATGACGGTGCTGGTGAAGGTGACGCTTGGCGCGCATGGCGGGCGCCGAAGCCGACGGAGTGGGAGTCACAGTCAGCGTGGCCGTGACATCCTCGTACTCGGTGACATAGACAATATCCTCCTCCCAGCAGATGATTGAAACCGTGTTGACAGCAGTGATCGTCTGAGTAGACACGCAAGACATGCCCGGGGCAGAGGAGCTGGCCGGAGTAGAAGTGGTGATGGGCTCAAAGACCGGGGTGGGAGTAGCCTCGGGAGTGGGAGTAGGCTCAGGCGTAGGGGTGGCCACAGCCTCAGCAGCGACCGTCTCGGAGACAGAGCTGGATGAGCCGTAGGGAATCTTGCCAGTCTCCTTGAACACTTCACCAGGGAGAGGGTTGGAGGTAGCGGTCTTGCCAGGCTTGTAGGTGAGGGTGGGAATGGTGGGAACCGCAATGCTTGAGGTGGAGCTGACAGGGTCAGTATCGCCGCCCTCAGATGAGCCGTCAGCGTAGGTGATGGGGCAGTTTCCGGGAAGCTGAGCATCGGGACCGGTGACATTATCCTTGGCGACGAGGTCGGGAATCTTCATCTCACACTGCTTGGCCGTGGCCTCATCCTGGAGATCGAAGACGGCGCAGTCCTCAATGCGACCGGAAAGGTTGGTGCAGGTGTCGACGGCTGACTGAAGGAAATCCTCATCCCAACCGGAAATGAAGTCGGCGTGGTATCCATATCCCTGAGTGTCACCGTTGGCAACGACGAAGCGGCCAGAGCGGTCCTTGAAGGCATAGGTGTTCCAGATGATCTCGTATAAAAGGTTGGGAGTCGAGGTCTCGAATCCATCGGGGCAGGTACCATCAATGACGAGGTCGGGGTAAGCCATGTGAGACTTGTGATCAGTGGAGTCGACGTCCTTTCCGTTCCAGCACGAAGGGAACATCATCTCAAACCGAACGCCATTAGCGCAGTTGGCATCGAGATAAGCCTTGTCGGGAAGGAAGTGGCGGTAGAGGGTGCCCTCGGGGGCACGGGCATAGTTGAGGCAGTTGAAGCCAATGGCACGCTGACGAAGGACAGACTGGTCGGTCTGCCCAAGAATAGCCCACTCGGACTTCTGGGGGTCAGGCTTGGAAGGGTCTCCAGCAGTGTAGTTGCGGCGGTAGGTGTCGCCAGCAATCATGCGGAAGCCGGGGGGGAATGCCTTGATATCCTTTCCATTAAGAAGGTAGTACCTGGCACGGTCAGTATCGAATGCTTCATGTGGTGCTTTGTGAGCCACGAGACTTACGCAAGCATTCCGCCAACCTGATCAACAAGCTCGAACTCTCCAGTGGTAGAGTCCTGGAAGTACAGGGCCGGGTGCCAGTAGGCCGACTTGTCCTGCTTGACACGGCAGGAGGTGCAGTCGCTGGCGGTAAGGTCGCCAAAGTCGGCGGTAGGAGAGATGCCTGAATTCAAAATTAGCGAGTTGTTCAAAAAATGGTAATGGCACGAGGATAGCAAGGCAGGTCGTGTTTGCGATATCAAAAGCATTCAGACTTACCGCCGGAACCGTGAATAGCGTGAACGTGAGGAGCGGCCTCTCCAAAGGACATAAGAGGGTCGACACGGGTAAGGCCAACGCGGCCAGGGCACTCCATACGCCAGAAGGCCTCAGCACTGGTGATGAGAGCACTGACAAGAGCCAGGGCCTGGTTGTTGGACAACTTCATCGTGACGGTTGATGTATACTGTCGAGAGGGAGATGGGTGTGATGAGTAGTGAAGGGTGAGATGAGGTAAGGTGATACAAAGGTTGAGTGGGTATCAAAGTATGAAAATTCGACTGAAAGACAAGTCCGTTTGCTGGTCTTGAGAAAGATCTGAAGAAAGTCCAAGCCCAGTTGGATTCTTGAATGAAGGCTGGAGAATGAGAGATCTTTGAGAAGGTCAGCTTTGCGCAAACGATATTTGTGAGTTTTTCCGTCGAGGTGTAGTGTGTGGTGTGTTGTAGTTAGGAAGTTTCTCGGGCAGAGCAAGAAATGCGACGCGCGATATGAAGACCCGGCCGCTGTTCACCGATGAAGGTGCAAGGCAGGAAGCAACAGAAAGTGAAGGGCAGGTGCGATGGATCAAGTGGGGCACTGATTGGGTCGTCGGTGAAGGTGGTGATGGAAGGAAGGAGGGAAGGAGCAGGTGCGACCCGACTCACCTGTGACTTCTGCTTTTGGACTCTTCAACGATGGAATCAGGGTCAGATGGCAGAGACACAAAGGGTCCTACGATCTGCTTGGAATGTCGAAAAAAAGTTTGATCCTTCCAGATGATTTTCTTCCGTCGTTTTTTGCGCTTTCCAGTGGCTGGGGATTTCCTAGACACGTGATGGATTTCAATGGTGGAGGTGTTCGTGGTGGCTCGGTGAGAGAGTTGGCGATGATTTTCGACCGGGCTCGGCAATATCTACGAGAAGTCGGATCTAATTCTTGGCAATGCTGCTTCGAGGCTGTAACAACACAGGAGTCCTACGAGATTCCGTCGTCGATGTCCAGCACCACCGGCAGAGTCCAAATTCCGAATGTGTTGAGTGAATGCGTTTTGACGGCGTAGAGAGATGCGCGTGTCGATGACTGGAGAGTCTATGAGTCAAGTTGGCGATTTACGCGACAAAATTGCAGAATCTTTTTCTAACACAGTCACAGGGTACGTTCCCACTACGACGAGTGAATGATCTATCCGTATTGGCGCCGAAAGGTTGATATGTGACGGTGTTGCGAGGCGATACGTGGTGTAAGACGATGTCGCAAAGACGGTCTTGATACCGGACACCAAGTGCAAGGAAGCGGGAGGTTGGAAAACCGACACGATGATACTAGAAGATGGCGAATTCGGTTTTTCGTCTTGTCGATCCTCCGACAGATTGCCCAAAAAGTTCGAGTCGGGAAACGAATGCGATCAACACACACACCAAACGGGGTCCGAGAGAAATGAATGTGCTGGTAAGTCCTGACTACAAGTAGCAGGAAAGCCAAGAAAAGGAGCGGAATCCGCAGCTTGGGATTTTTTTTTTTTGGTCAGGTTTAAAAGACAGAAAAAGGAATGGCTGAGTGCGACGTCCAGAGAAGGGCGACACCACAAGTGCGAGCGAGCGAGCGTTGAGAGTGAGCGTGGGTTGAGAGAGTGACAGTCGAAAGACCCCGTGTAGGTGACGAAAGGAGGGGGAGAGAAACGAGGGGACAAGAGAGGTGAACACTGGAATGAAGGTGATGCAGAAAAAGGGCATCTAAAGAGAAGGAAACGGGTGGGCAGGTGGAGTGAGAGACATGGCTAGAGGATATGGCATTTCTGGTGGTGGGATGCAAGGCGGGAACTCTCAAGGGGGGGTGGGAAGGGTGAACGGGGGGCGCAAGACAGGGGTCGAGGGATGGGATGCCGAACGAGGTTGCTGGAACTCCTGGAGCCCATTTTGCTGTGCAGTTTACGGCAACTTCTTCCACTCCCCCTTCACCTCGTTCTTACTCTTGCGCTCTCACTCGGACGCTAGTTACAACTGCGTAAGTTACTTCGGAAAGCAGGCACTACCATGCCATGGCTCTCATCTCCATTGATCCCCATTCTTGGCCACCGGGGGGAACGAGCGAACGAACGGGGGAGGCGGGCACTCATCGGCCGGCCAGTGACTTTTCACAGATGAGATGAGATGAGATGGAGCGCTTGTTCAAAGTTGTTGTTCTCTTCTCGCTCTTGGCCGCGTTTGGTTTGGTTCTGATATCTTACGACGAGAATGGCCAAGGAAAGGCAAAGGAAATGGGAGCATGGGGTCACGAGAAGAAATGGCGCATTCTCTTCCCGTTCTCAATGAGAACATGCATCTTTCTCTCGCCCTCAATTTCAGGGGTAGGGTTTAGCCACGCTGCCAGTTACCAGTGTCAGTGATAAGTGTTCGTCTAGTGTTCCCTGCCATTCGTCTGTTCGTTGCTTCAATGCTCAAATGCTCAGACCAGACGAGGGCACTGGCTGCCGCTACAAAGGAGTCATGGGCCTCATGACTGGCTTCTAACGGGCAAGCGTCGTTGCTTCTCTGGCTCTGATTGAGGGGTCTCTTGAAACTCTCCTTCTTGGCTCGAGATTGTGTTAGTGACAGCGGACGATAGCCGCCTCCTGTCTCCGAGGTGCTGCCACTGCGACGCTACGACTCTGCGACGCAATCACTGAGCGATTGAACCAGGGCTCCGGCGTTGACTACTGTGCATGTTCCCTCCAGTCCTTCCAGCATGGAACGGCGATATGCCCCAGGGCAGTGGTCGGGCGAACAGTGTGGTCGGGATCGCTCTGCATGTGGGTTGGAATAGATTAAGGCACTGCTTCAAGGGGCCGGGCCAGCGCGACGCGACCAGGATCCTGCTGGCTGTGTGACGGGGGCAGGCTGGGTACACGGCGAATGTACCGAAGGTGTGGGAGGTGGCTTGTACCCCTTGACGTTTGACTACCACACCAAAAGGTACTGGAGGGCTTGCCGCTTGCCGCTTGGCCCCTCGCGGCCTTGCCCTCTTTGCATATCATCCAATGCTTAGTGCTTGACCCCGTGGAGCCAAACACCACGCCCTCCTGCTGTACTCCAGACGACGGCGGATGCGGCAGTCGAGGGTATACTAGAAGCGAGAGGCGAAAAGGCAACATCCCTTATGCTCTACTCTATAGTCTATACGATGATAGACTATAGCGCAAAAGAAGCATGAAGCAATGACCAGAACAGAGAGGCGAAGCGACATGCTTGGATCCATCGCAGAAGAGGGGAACGACCCATATTGGTACGGACATTGCAAATTGACCATCGCAGCACCGGTTAGACTTAGTGCGAGGGCAGCCGGCCATGCCAGTGCGAGTCTGCGAGATGGAATTGGGAGACCCAACGGGAAGGGTCAATGACGAAGCGCGAATGGGTTGCTGATCATGCTGCGCCGTGCGATGCGCCGCTGCGATGCATTTCGATGTGTCGAGCAGCCGGTGCTGGCGGCGCAGCGGCGGAAGCTAATCAGACGCTGCTGGTGGGTTAAATTGTGGCTGCTTCACGTTTGTATCGCTGGCCTTACAAGCCGGCCGAAATGGAGGGTTCTTGTGATGCCACCACATTATAAGCTGTTTGGCCAGTCCACGTTCGGGTTACGGCTGCATCGTCGCGCCGTGCATAGCACCAAGCAACTAGCACCAACGGTTTGGCGGGAGATGTGAAGGACGGTGTGATGCGATAGCTCGGGGCGTACTGGCGCAGTCTGCAGAATTGCACTACCTACTGATTATCAGTACATGTACTTTGTACGGGCAAATGATGATGGAAATGCCGCGAATGGCTCCAGATTGACAAACGGGATATGCAGGTACCGGCTGTTGCATCCACAACCGCAGCCACCGTGCTGGGCATGGTCAAATTGGGGGCCACTTGAGTAACGACCGAAAGAAGCAACCAAATATCCGCATTGCAGATGATCACAGATGGATCCGAAGCCGAGTGGTCGTACCTTATGGAGTAAGAAATGGAGTCTTTGACATGGACAAGAAGAAAATGTCAAGCCAAGAGGAGAGGCGTACGAATCCCCAGAGGCCCCTTCTTTCTTTCGTCCGAGGATCTGCAACCAATGACACTGTGTGACGGGATGCTCCTGTCCCGATGTGGGGGGAGGAAAGGAGGAAGAAAACGAAACCTGCCTTACTTGAGAAGGAGGGACGAACACCAACTCTGACTGGCTATCACTTCCCTGGTCTTGCAAGTTGCGACTTCCATACCAGCGCACAATAGGAGGAGTAAACCTGGGAAGGTACGGAGTACATGGAAAAGTACTTGGGTACTTGAGCCGTTGGTTGGGCGTTCCTCTTGCCCCCTTTTAAAAGGTACCCTACTTGGGGAAAAGGCAGGAACGGGGTCGATGGAGAAGGGCAGGAGGAGATCTCACTTTGGGTACGTACTCCATCCCAGTGGGATCCAGTTGCATGGAACAATGTAAGAGCCAATGAGGCACCCTTTCCCCCTGACAGCTCTTGACATTTTTGACCAATGGAATCGACGCCAGTCGTCAGACAAGAGGACGAGGTGGGGCCAAACGGGCGGCTGGGATCTGCGCTAACGTTAGGCATCTGCAGACTGCCCGCCTAATGCAGTAAAGTCCCTTTGGAAGCCGAAATTCCCAGCAGGCGCCGGCTCCGACGAGGAAGGAAGTCACGAAAGTCAGCGTCTTGGTCCTCAGAGAGCAACTTCTCATCTCGAACCAGGGGACGACACGCCGGCGCCGCAACGGACGCTTTGCCTTTGCCTCTTTCAACTTCTTATTCACCCACCGGCCACTCGCCCCCGGATCATCGTCGCCCTACAATCTGTCGGCCCTCTTTAATATGGATATCGGAATCAATCCACGGCAGCCACGGCAGGAGAATTGCCCAAGAAACCTCTGAACCTCTGGACTCTGTGGCTCTGACCCATTGTGACATACAGATGCGCAGACGAAAGAAGCAATCACAAAGCAATCATGCCCATTTTTGCGGCAAATTTGCGCCGGGTACATGATAGAAATGATGAAACCATGAGATTGCCATTCTTCTCCTTGTCATTCGGCCGTGGTACCGAGCAAACCCTCGCGACCTTACGGATATTTGTACCCGCTTGGAAGTTGGCTCAGCTGTCATCGGGATGACCGGCCACCATGCTCTCTGTGCGCCAGGAATAAGAGAACAAACCCCGCGAACATTCTGGCGATCCAAGGAGATTATTCGTAGGGCGACACACGCATCCCGGGAAGAACAACACTCCGATGCTGCCCAGTGTTCACAGCTCGAGCTGCGGCTGGGCCTCGCAACATCGCCCAGTGAGCAGGTGCCAATTTCCATGCAGACACAGCAATCAAGACAAGCCCTCGCACAGCAGGCGCTCAGCTGAACCTTCACTTTCTTTCTTGGCAGTGGGCATCGAGAAGGAAAACAATTCCATCACGAGAGTGAACATCCCTCCTTCGCACGACAGCATTTGCCCAGTCCTTCATCCATGTAGACACAACCGCTCATCTCATTTAACTCGAGGCAACAGATGCCACTTGGCACCCCCCCGTGCGACGGCGCGTCGTCCGCCCTTGGTGACTGCTCAAGCCCCGTGTAAATCGCACGAGCAGAAGCAAACATTCTAGCCATGTCACGATGACACTGGCGTTCTTTCTCTTCTCATTTCCGCTTCAACGGCCGGCAGTCTTCGGGTGATCGCCAGACGGCTATCATCCCAACCTCCAAGAAGAAAAGGTGCCCGAACATTCCTGGTGTTCTTCGTCCGATGCACGGCGCGCCTACGTACACGAACAGCATTTCTTGCCACATGCGACCTTGGCTCGTGGCTCTTGACGCTCTATTCATCGCAAATTATGTGCTAATTCTGATGATCATTTACGAGTCAAGTCTGAGATTATCGTCATAATCCAACGCAAGGATCCGTTTGCCAGATCTTCAGATTAGCATGGACACGGCTCGCTCAGCAATCCGAGCAGCGCCCCGCGACTCAGCTCCGAACCAAAATAAAGTCGCCCGTAATCAGCGCTCATCGGCATCTCCAGCTCTTCATCCTCGTATTCTGAATTTTAGAGTGACGACATTGTCGTTGAGCCACGTATCCGTAGTCCGAACTGAGGAGCTACAGTACCTACACTCTGCCTGTAGGTCCCGAGGGAATACTTACGGCAATGATGTTGGAAGAAACTCTTCTGGTCCACGGCGTTCTTACCACGCCACCACCGTCCGAATACACTAGCATACTGTACGCATACAACACCGCTAGCCCAGCTCAGCTCAGCCTTCTCGAGATCTTCTTCCCCTGATCACCATCTCCAGGGAAGATCCCAGGCTGCGACACATCAGCGAGTTTCAGCACCTGGCTGAGGGTGGCGGTGCGCCAATCATCCGAACTTCTAGAGAACGGTACCAACAGCCAAGGCTTGTCGTCCCAATGATATGCGGCGCGTTGCACCACACTGCCAGAAACTTCCGACGTTTGCGCTGCCCTTCAAACGCAAGAGATTTGTCTGCCTGTCTTCCAGAGTCAATTCTTAAGCTTACTCTCGTTGTTTCCTTAGCGAAGAAACAATGGTTGCATCCACGAATTAATCAGAGAATACCCGTAGGCTGTAGCTAAGCAACTCACGGATACTTGCAAGTCGAAAACTTGAGCTTGGACGCATAGAATGTGATCCTCTAAGGCGGATCTCACTCCGTATGTCATATTATGCTGGTCTTCGTCGTTTGCCTCAGTTTACTCTTCGGGCCGAACAATGAATCATCCAACTAGTCACATCTGCGCTTGTGAGCCTGGGAGAATACGTACCCCGCAAAGTTTCTCATCACTCGTTCCAGTGAAGGAACGCTATCTTCCAAGTCACAACTCACTAGGCTCCTAGCCCTTCAAGATACAATGGGATGGAGCCACAAGCAAATCGACGACACGTAAGATGATTTCCTTCCGAACAATCAGGGGCATACATCTCAGGGACCTGAATCCTACCAGAGACCCAGAATTGAGCGGGACTCATTCGGCCGAACAAACCGCGGTAGCAGACCCGTCAGCCGGGGGTTTCGAAGTGATTGAGATGGGCTTCTATCCCTTGACCCTCTCTGTCAATCCTAGGAGTCATGACGTACTTCTCAATGGGGTTGTTCCGGCCTAGAGGCGCGTTTCTCAGCGAATATCGCGGCAGTCGATGTAGCAATTTTGCTACTCGTGACCTGCTCAGTGCTAGTAGCCTAGTAGAGATAGACTTTCAAGACTTGCTGCTGCTGACTGATCCTCTGGGGTTGGGAGATGCTTCCCAGGAAACAGCATCGCGGATAGAGATTGCCGAGATGTGAGTCGGCCTTACTCGCCAGCTGAGCTTTGCCCCTTTGTACGATGGTTATGTGGAGTATGAGTTGGAATGTGCAAACAAATGCTTGCTGGAATTCGCCAGCAAGTGGAATTCGGCGCAGTGTTCGATGTGGCTTGGGCTCCGAAGCTATGGAGAGTCCTATTCATGCAGCCAGAGCTTGTGACTTTGGTCTGCGCATGCCACAGAGACATCCCCGCGACGGCCAAGGCCTGGGAGCTCATCGAAATAGTCGTGGGTACCTCTCAGCAAATGGATTCATGCCACCATCTCAAAGTGACAGCAGCGATCATCCCGAACGCGGCACAAGTGTTTACCCCTATTTTCGCTTTCGGCGCCACCCGTGAAATCTCCTGGGTCGTGCACTCTGAATGACACGGCAGTCATGTTTAACGCCGATGGGGCACATCACCGAAGAAGTGTGGCTGATGCCTCGTATGGCGTAGTCACCAGAGTGAGGCAGCCACCAGCCACATCGACCACAGCTTCAGCCACACGTGTCCCACATGCCACCTTACGTGCACACGACACCGCACGCAATCAACGAAGCCCGATGCAGGAACAAGTGACAGTCGAAAGTCAACAAGCAACCGAAAACGATGCATTGAGCCACATTCGATGCCCTCACGATCTCACGAAGCTCATGAAATGAAGTGTACACTCTGACCATCACGAAGTTTCAAAGATGGATGACCTCTCGGGATTAAACTGGTCGTCGTCGACCAACTCGACGAACAACAAGCCGCCGCCGATGAACCCCTCGGGTGCCAACTACTTCGGCTCCATGCGACCGGCCAACTCGACGCCATCACCGTTCCCCTCCGGTCGCAACACGCCTCTGTCTGCACAGGGATCTGGAGCTGTGGCTGCGAAGCCTCCGCCCGCGAAGCCACCCGCTGACAGTTTCAGCAACCTGATGAACTTTGGTAGTGCCGGGCCTGCCAAACCGACGTCGAAACTCACCTTGCTAGAACAGCAACAGAAGCTCGAAGCGGAGAAGAAAAAGAAGGAAGAAGAGAGACGGAGACAAGCGCAGGCGCAATTTGGTGGTGGTTTTTTGGATACACTTGGATCAGGCTCCGTGTCGAGGACGACGTCCCCTGGTATACTGTCCCCTGGCTCTTCTACGGGCAAGAAGGCCAGTGACGATGACGACCTCTTTGCGGCGTTCAACTCTGAGACCAAGGTCGACAATGCCAGCCACTATCCTCCGCCTCCTCAGAAGAGCGCCTCGCCTGCGATTGCCCCAGGGTTGGACCTCAGCAACCCAAGCGCATGGAGTCAGGCACCTCCCCCTGCCAATGGCGGCTTTGGAGACGACGACGATCCGTTTGGTCTGAATCAGCTAAAGCCCAAACCTGTGTCTCCCGCGTCCCAGCCGACGAACGACGACGACGACGACGACTTCCTCGGCGACCTAGCCCGCCCGGTTGAAGAGGTTCGGCGCAAGCAACCCACCCCGCAGCCCAAGGGGCCTGAACCCGGAAAGCCGATTGAGGCATCCGATTCCAGCTCAGATGATGAACAGCAGCCAGCTCCCAGGGGCGAAATGGCCGAATTTGACAATGCCGTCGCGCAGCTCGTCGATTATGGCTTCACCCCTGAAAACGCTCGGAGGGGTTTGACAGAGAGTGGTGCGGGGTTGAATGTGCAAGCAGCGGCCAACTGGCTTTTGGACGATGCGCACCGACAAGCCAAGGCAAAGGCCCAAGGAAAGGACCCGGTGGCCGCTTCAAGAAGGGGCCGGGAGGATAGTGGCAGACACGACAGTCAGAGGCGGGCCGATACCAGGTCTCCTGCCGGTGAAGCTGACTTTTCAAAGACTGCTGCGGCTATGGGAAATAGCATTTTCAAGACAGCCAACTCTCTGTGGAAGACTAGCAAGAAGCAGGTCGCGGCCGCAGTGGCAGACTTTAATCAACCTGAGGGAGACCCCAGCCAGCCAAAATGGATGCGTTCAGCAGCACAGGCAGATCGTGCTCAGCCTGAGAGGCGGGTGGCCGAGGCTACAAACGAGGCCATGATGCTAGAGTCTGGCGGTCGACCACAAAGGAAAACCGGGCAATCATCGCAGTCGCCGAGACCAGAGGCGCCTCGTCGGACAGCATCCCCTAGAGACCAATCTCCTGCGGTGTCGGCCCCGTCAAGCGGGAGAGGCACCCCGGTCCCGAGATGGCAACAACAAAGCGGTCCAGCAATGCCGGATTCAAGAACTCGTGCAAGCAAGCTGGCCATGGCAGACGACAGCGCGGCCTCGTATGTCAGCCCTGCTAGGAGGAAGAAGGCTACACCTCAACCAGAAGCGCCTCCACCTCAGCAGGAGGAGCCGGATCTGCTTTTTGGTTCCCAAGCACTCAAACCCTCGCAATCTCTCCCTCAGCGCCCGGCTCAGTCATCGCAGCCATCACGACCCGCACAGCCCGCTCAAGCTGCACGGCCTGCCAGACCCCCTTCTCCCAAGCCTGCCCCTCGACCGGCTCGTCAAGTCCCACCAATCACACCTGCGGCGATACAACAGTCGACGAAACATCGTCTCGATGGAACTGCCCATTTCAAGCGCGGAGATTACGGCGCAGCCCATTCATCTTACACGTCATCCCTGTCGGCTGTACCATCTTCGCATCCCCTCGCGATTGTCATTCTTACAAACCGGGCACTGACATCGTTGAAGAACGGTGAGCCCAAGCGGGCGGTTGAGGATGCCGATGCCGCACTGAAGATTATTGGTCCTGCTGGTGGCCAAGGCGAGCAAGTGTCTGTTGTAGGTGACACCGGCGGTCAAGAAAGCCGTGACATGCGAGACCTGTACGGCAAGGCATTGAGCCGCAAGGCCGAGGCCCTCGAGCAAATGGAGCGATGGGGTGATGCCCACGCCGTCTGGTCAACCTGCGTGAAGAACGGCGTCGGCGGCCCCACCGCCATCTCTGGCCGGCAACGATGCCAGTCGGCCCTGGCTCCGAAGCCCAAGCCCAAGCCTCGACCCGCCGCCGCTGCTCCTGCTCGGTCTCGCCCTGTCGCGGCTTCTGCCAAGAACATGGAGGCCGTCGAGCGCTTGCGGAAGCAGAACCAGGCAGCGGCGCAAGAAGACGACGAAAAGTTTGCGCTGTCGGAGAAGGTTGACGCCAAAATCGCAGCGTGGAGGGACGGCAAACGGGATAACCTGCGCGCTCTGATTGGTAGTTTGGACTCGGTGCTCTGGGAAAACAGCGGGTGGAAGAAGGTTGGGCTGCACGAGCTTGTTATGGCCAACAAGGTGAAGATTCACTACATGAAGGCCATTGCCAAGTGCCATCCCGACAAGGTACGTTACTTTTGCTGGGTGATGATGGAATTTTGCTAATGATGTGTAGCTTCCCCAAGACGCTAGCACGGAAGTGAGGCTTATTGCCGCTACAGTCTTTGCGACTTTGAATGAGAGTTGGGATAAGTTCAAGTCCGAGAATGGATTGTAATTACGGGGCGGCATGATTGAGGGGTTTTAGACGCGTGAGTGACGGATTCGGAACTACGAGGACGAGCATGAAGGCATTCGTACCGAACGTAAGCAAGCATTTATGATGGAAGTGAATATTTGAAGCCATATTTGATTAATTCCCCAAACGCCGTGCTATGCTTGTAGTGTTGACCGCACCTCCTTTATGTCTGCGTACATTGATCGTTTATAGAACGGCGGCCTCGCTCTCTACGTAGTCCGCATCGAACATCCGCTCTATCGCCTGCATATTTTCTCTGTATACATCTCAGAAGTCCAGCATAGGCTTACAGGCCGAGCGACCGCCGGACGCCGTCACGGACCTTTTGCTCGTACTCTGTCCTCCTCTCGCGCCACATTTTCGCGGCCTCGACGTTGGCGGGACTCTCGTCGTTTGGCTCGGCGAGCATGCTCATGACGGAGATGAGGATCTTTTCGACCGACTGGATCGGGGACCAGCGCTCCGAGGCGTGTTCGTAGTGGTTTGGGTCGTCGCCGGGCGGGTGGAGGATGGAGATGCAGACTAGGCCGCTTGGGTAGACTGGTGGTTTGCTGTCAGCGATGTGTTTATCCTCCCTACTAGGTATCTACGAGGTGATATCGGGGGGGGGGGGGGGGGGTTCGTAGAGGGGGAGGGGGAGGAGACTGTACTATTCGGATGCCACATGTCGACGAGGAACTTCATGGTCGGCGGGGCGAGAGGATAGTCCTTTGGGAACTTGAGCTCGGCGGGGAAGACGCCGCCTTCAAATGGGGTTCCTTCGGGTCCTTGGATTAGGGCTTCCCAGTGGAGGAGGTCGTCTTCGGATACAGGGCCGGCGGTGATGCCTTCTGGGGGGTTATTTGTCAAGGCGCGGTACTCTTGGAGGAGGCGGCGGTGGGCGGTGGATTGGGCCATGGCGGCGATGGTGGCCCGGTTGGAGAGTCGCGGGGAGTTGAAGATGGAGAGGTAGAGGTGCGAGGTTTGTGGACGACGGCTGAGAAGGTCGGTGATTATGATTTGGCGGGTTGATGTCTCCGGTGACTTACACAACCCAAGAGATGGACGTGGACGGGATGGATCTCCGGGTAATGGTGGTCATAGTGGTGGCAGATTGGCGGGGGTGGGGGGAAAACTTCCCTGTCCAAGTGGTTCTCCGAAGTTTACCCCGACGGGTGGCACATGGATCGGAGCTTGGGTCGGGTTCACCGAGCATTTTTTGGGAGCTCTGTCCACCCCGTCTCCCCGGCCGACATCATCCAACCACCAATCCAATTCTCGACTGTCGCTTTTTCTCACAGTTCTGCGTACCTAGGAGAGCAAGAGAACGGGGACGCCAACTCCCTTCTTCTCCATTGTGGCTCCTACACGATGCCTCCACGACTCCCACTGAGGCCAATCGCAGGCCGCGCCGCCTCTTCCCTGGCAGCGGCAAAGCAAAATGCTGCCGCCCCTTCGCGCGCAGTGTGCTTGTTCTGCTCGCTTTCTACTCCCTCGCGACCGACGACGACAACGACGAATGCAACCACCAACAGCCGATGCCAAGCGATAAAGGCATTGAGGCAACGCCGCTTCCAATCCACCGAATCGACAGCACCATCGCCATCATCATCACCAGCAGCAGAGACCACCGCGCCCGAGAATCCGAGGGCCGAACTCATCGACACCCTCCTAGAGCTCCAGAAACACGCCGTAAACCACGTCAACCTCTCCCGCTTACAGCTCGCGCTCCAGGGTCTGCGACAAGAACCCGGTCAGGAATCGATTCGCGTTGCAATCCTCTCCCTCGCCACCGGCGGCACGGAACAGGGCAAGGCGGCAAAGGACCTTCTCCGACTGCTCCTCGCGGATCCCTTGGGCGACGAGGCAGAGTGGGAAAGGGAGCTGGCGCAGCATGACCCGTCGCACCCGCTCGTGGTGCGCATTGGACAGGAGCATAACGCGGCGGAGGCCGGGCCGCGGGTGACGATATCCAAGACGAATCTGCTGCACGAGCTCGATGTGTCGTCGCCTGCGCTGAACGGGCATGGGATTGAGCTTTTGCTGATGGAGGTGAACCCCTTTAGCTCCGTGCCGGGACCGGGCGAGACCGCGGTGCAGGATGTCGAGGAAGCTGTTCTTGTGCCGACGGTGGATATCCCGTCCAACACGGGGCGGTACACGCCTATCACGACGCCGGTGCACAAGGCTTTGATTGTTTCTGGGGGCGTTATGGGGGCTGCTTCTGTTGCGGCTTTGCCGTTGGCGGAGTACCGCGATACTGTGTTTGGGGCCGTCAACTTGCCAGAGTATCCTGTGGAAAAGGAGGCGGGAGTCACGTTCCAGCCGATTGATGTATCGGTGGGCAGCAAGGGCCTTGATCTTATTCGCCAAAACATTGGAAATGCTATGGAATACGAGAGGTCATGGTACAAGAGTAACGTGCCCGTCCTTATTCAATGGCTCAAGACAGGCGTGCAGACGGATGAAGGCCAGGCTACCAAGCCAGCAGTCCGTCTCCTCGTTGCCTCACTCCTCCGCAATGCCCTCGCAGAGATTGAAGCCGAGGAATCGCGCTTGCTCTCAGGACGACTGTCCACGGAAGCTGCATCTTCCGGACTGACCGTCATGAACGAGAGACTGGCGCAGTGGTCCCAATTCGCGCACGAGGAACTCCAGCAGCAGCTCGACCTCGCGTTCGCGGGCACGAGGTGGCGGAAGCTAGGCTGGTGGAAGCTCTTCTGGCGGGTCGACGATGTGGGCGTTCTCACGACAGACATGCTCGGCCAGCGATTCCTCCCCGGCGCGGAGAGGGAACTCGTCTACCTAGCCGGCCGCATCGCCGAGTCGGGCGTCGCTTCAACCACGACCGAACCGCCCGTCTACGCCCAGCCGACGTCCGAACTCCAGAAATCCCTGCCCGAAAGCAGCACCGTCGCCAAAGCCGTAACGCAGAAGCCCAAATGGCCCACGCACATCGCCTTCACGCGCCGCTACCTCCACGAGGAGACCGTTCCCGCCCTCCAGGCCCTCGCGCAGAAGCTCGTCCTCCAGGCCTCGAGCACCTCGGCCCTGACGACGGCGCTGGCGGGTCTGCTGTACGTGTCGCAGTACGCTTCCTCCGTCTACGAGGCTGGCGCCGTGGCGGCGCTGGGCGTGATGTGGAGCCTGCGCAGGTTGCAGACCAAGTGGGAGACGGCGCGGACGTACTGGGAGGGCGAGGTGCGTGAGGAAGGGCGCAAGGCTGTGCGGGGCGTGGAGCAGAGCGTTGCGGATACGCTTGATGGGTCGAGGGAGGGTGCTGCTGTCGAGGGCGCGGAGGAGCTTCGTAGGGCCAAGGAGCTTGTTGGGAAGGCCGAGGATGCGCTGAAGCGATTGAAGTGAGGTGACGAGAGCAAGAAAGAGGATTTACATGTCACGGGATTGTATCATCATCTGTATAATGTATAAGAAATGTCCACGATAGACATACACGCACGAAATCCCGATACCACGAGAGATAAGAGAAACAAGCAGGAGAGATTTGTTTGGGGCGCCGAGAGGGCATTTGCATTCTATTGCTGCGGTATCTTGGCTTCGACGCCTAACTTTGATGTGTCAGCTGAGGGTGGTTGACGCCTGGCTCATTTAGATAGAAAGAGTTAAGGCCTACCCTAATGACCGCCATTTCCCACATGCTGCTCGGCCAGTAACATCCTCAGATCGCTCGTACTTGCTCGGAGGAAACTTGAGGTCCCGTGGCACAGTCATCGGCAGTATAATGCCTCGCGCTGGTTTTGGTGATTTCCTGATCCCCCTCGACTGGTATCCGCCTATGGAACGTTGAACCATTCCCTAACAAACTCTCAAAAACCACCGTAAAACGCCAGGAAACTTTTCTTCTTTTCCGCAAGAGCCACATTTTGAAGCTCTGGGTTTCCCATTCACGCAAAAAACCCGAACGTCGGCCTCCGTCCTTCTCCTATCCTTCCACCCTTGAAAGACTTGTAATGGGCAGGCTCGGTGGTTTCCATCGTGAAGGAAATGCGCGCTGATGTCTCGTATCGAAGCAATACACTGTCGCTTCACCCCTATTCGCCCTCTCTCTCTCTGTGTCTTTCTCGCAATAACAATCGAGTATTTTCTTTTCTTTTCAAATTCAAGACAAAGTCGAAGAGGCATGCTGCGAATGCTACGACGTACGATCCTAGCGTCCTCCGCGCCCGCTGGCCCTCGCCCTGCTAACAGTCGCGCGACCACGCGCCATACCGACACCGCGGCCACGGACGTTGCGGGAGCGGAACATGGGCGCGTTGCGCAGCATGTCTGGGACGATGAAGAAGCGGACGTGGGAGCCGCGGATGTAGACCTGGTCGAGGTGGGAGACGCGGCCGTCGCGGGCGGTGACGGTGATGTCTTTGAGTTGGACGTTCATGTTGTCTTCGGCTGTTGGGTAGTGGAGGTGGACGTTAGCGGGGGGTGAATGCAACAGCAGGATTAGGGAGGGGAGAGCGTGAAGGGCGGAGGAGGGAAGGAGGGAGCGTACCTTCGAGGAGCTTGCCGCGATAAGTTTGACCTGATGTGATTTCGAGGGTGACGATGTGGCCCTGCGCGCGCATGGTAAGCTTCACTACTTCCTATGGGGGCCGGAAGAAAGTACCTGTGCCTCGTTGAGGAGCTTGATGGGGATGCCAATTGTGGAGGTCATGATTGCGGCTGTTGGGAGAAATCGAGGTCGAGCTATCGTGGGTGTTTAGGTTGAGATGGATGGGTGGAGGGGGGTCGGGAGTAGCTTGTCGCGATCGCGGGTCGGGGCGTTTTGGGTGGTGGATGATGAAAAGTGAAGGCGGGCTCTGGAGGAGAAAGGTAGCTGGAGGTTGGTGTTTTTCCGTGCCGCGATTTGGCCTCACCGAGCGCCCCGTGGTGGCGCCAAGGTGAGTGCAAAGGTGGGGTCGTTAAACGGGGCCGTCGCGGTCACTCAATTTGCGGAGCTATGAGAATGTCTGCCTCTGGGTGTATTTCCACTTCCGCCCAGTTCGATCCTGCTTTCAATCAAAAACAACCCGTTTATTGGAAAAGTCTATCTCTATCGTCCCAGGCTGAATTGGCGGATTATCGCATGTATCTTGGCCTCTTGAGTTCAATGATAAACTTACATCTGATTCGTGACCTACCAAACAAGGCGCAAGATCTGTTTGCGAACTGAACCAATCCGTCAAGACTCACCAAATCTCGTGGTCAAAGTCTACTACAAGTCAGGAGACTTGTGGAGTTCATAAAAAATACCAGCGAGGGGCGGGATCGATGTGGTCTTGAACGAACAAGATTGAGGCTCGATTGGCCAGGACAAAGTTGTTCTTCCAGAGCACTGGACGCAGGAGAAGTAGATGTTCGCTGACAGGCCATCGGAGAATTCAAGAATTGCATTGTCCTAGATCAGATACTGTGCAAATGGAACCTTCCGAGAGCATTTGCTTGAGTCTTTCTAGTTTACTAATACTCACCCCTTTTAACTTTGCGCTTTCAATCCCGCACGTAGCGCCGCTCACCATCACATAAGGTAGTTTAAAAGGTGGCACAAAGACACTCTAATTCTACGACGTATCACAATGCGGTATTCTGAGTTTATTGATTGAGGATTGGGATAGAGCAGAACTCCTCACACCTGGGTTTCCGTCTTGACTCTTCCTGGTCGGTAGGACATCTCTCTTCGACGAGAAGATGACGGCCTGCTTCTCTCGCTAGCTACTAACCGGTGTTATGACCCAGAGGGGAAACCATTACGTTCGTTCACGATATAGTAACAGGCTGTTTTGGACAGGTATGACACATTATCTTTTCTCAAAAGTGGCACTAAAATATCTACAGCAAAGCCAACACCACGCCCCTAAGACCTCTCAAAGTCGAACGTCTCAGGCAAGCTCTTCTTGCTCCACTGGTGAACAAGAGGATCCCCAGATCTTCGCTTCTCTCTGAACAGCGCCTCAGTCAAGTACTTGTACAGCCAGATATTGGCACCATTATAAGCGATACTGTGGTCACTGTCCGTGAAACTCAGCCACTTCATCTTGGACACAGGCACCCCGGCGCCGACGAGGAGGTCAATAAGCGCGGCCGCGTTCTGGTAGTG